CGAAATGGACCTTTCAGAGCACGATTCCGAATTGGTGCGCGTTTCCACCCAATGCTCGCGGCCTGCCATTTAACGCGCCGTTGTACAGACAGAAAGTCGGCTCGGACATGGACATCGATGACCTCCTGCTCTATCGTTCAAAGAACGAGTGGTACGCAGAATGTCTACCCTCAACCCTCGCTGACTCCGGCGCGCGACATCAGAATTTCTGCTCCCTAAACTGGCGTTACTTGAGAGGATCTTGCCCTCAGGATTGGATGGTGACTGGAAAGAGGCCAAGAGCATACTTCAGGAGACCAAATGCCACGCTGAGGCAGTACGCCCGTATAAAGTTGCGCTTTTAGGTCGCACAGGTGTGTTCCTCCGTTGCCTGTTACCTTTTTGGCGCTTCATTCACAGTAGGGGTGAGTCTACACACACCATCCCTTTACCATAAATTAACCATGCCAGTCCGGAAAATCCACACTCTTGAACGCCCTGCTACGCAAACCCATTCTTGCCGCCTCTGCCGCTGTACGTTCTTCTCCATACGTCTGCGCATTGTCCTCACGGGCGTTAGGGCGCTTGCACAGCAGTGATCACAGAAATCAGCTACAACGGTATGTTGTGACCAGTCTGGCATAGCGAAGCGTCGCCGGACTGAATACGATCACAGATACGCTGCAGGCAGAAGTAGAGTTTAAGCATGCGGACCAATGGAGAAAGGTCTGAGCTCTCTGTCATCTACACATTCATCTCGTCATCTGATCGCTTGATGATGCGTAGGAGCTGTGCACGTTGTACACAGAAGCGTGAGGGATTCCTGCAATCGCTGAACTGTGCACTGAGTGGATATAGAACTGACAATGACGTCGACTCAGACGAGTACAGGTGGAAGGCGAGGAGTTGAAGAGCTCTGCAGTGAGTCAGCCAGGGAACGAATGCGTCAGGTGCGTCTCCTCACCTGCACTCCATCCTCGTGCCTTAGAACTCGTTCCAAGTTGTTTCCGGGGTGGGTTTCGTGTTGAAGTCAGCACGAATCTCGTTTATCGAATCCTTATTGCAGGATCTCAGACAAACAGGTCAACCAATGGCCGAGCTTTGAAGCATTTCGTGACGACAATGAGCTTGCAAAGCATCTAGGAACTTCCGTTAAACTGAATGATACAACTTTCGACAACTTTCAGAAGAATGTCGGTGCAGACTGACTAATGGTCAGGCTGCTCTATCCTCACATCAGAACACAGCTCGAGACATTCCTGGCCTCTACCTTGAGTCAGCAAAGCACACGACAGCTCTGGCCGATTGTTCGTGTGTGCGTGATAACCAATGTCCACAGAGCATTCGCTTATTAGCCCTGCAGTGTGCGAATCTGCGGCCCTTTCGAAGTCTGTCTTTTCTCGAGTGTTTCAGTCAATGCAAGCTGACTTGTGGATAGATTCTCTCGACTGGGGTAACACTGGTCGATCTGCCCGGCTTCGGAGACGTGGATCACTTGAGAGATGCCGTCGCTGCGTCTTATCTTGAACAGGCCGATGCGGTGCTCCTCGGTGAAGTCATACTCGATATCCCGCCTGCGTGCTTCTCATGCAGTTGTCTAGTTGCCGGGATCTCGAGAGCCAAGGACGATAAGGATGTCAATACCCATCTCAATACCTAGTGAGTGTGCCGTAAGGTTCTCGCGTACGGTGGTATTCATCTTCCAGTATTAACCAATGCATCGTTGATGGTCGGGTACAAGACCGGTCGATTGCGGTCATTCTCACCGGCGCCGATGTAGGTCGAATTCATTTCCAATTTAGTTGGAGCGACATGCTGACTAATCATCATTTGTCAAGAACCGCATCAGCAGTAATGAGTTTACATTAGAACAGTCGGAGCAAGTAAGGGTCAACGCTCTGGAATCGGTGCCTACATATACTAGCAAGCATTACAACTCGTCTAACACGTTAATCAGAGCATCCAAGCTCTTCTGGATGACGAAGATGAAATCACCAGGAAACTCGAGAAGAAGATGAAGTCAAAGTCAAGGTCAAAGAAACATCAGGATGGACTGAACGATCTTCAAAATCAGGTGAACCTCTTCGCTCATCACGACCTATCGCAGTGTTGATGTATTTCGGCAGGTGCAGAAGTGCCACGACCAGAGGGTCGCCGAAATCAAACAGAGAAACACTCTCCTAGCTGTAGGTTTGAAAATCCAGCCGCAAGCGACTCTCATCTCGATTTCAGAAAGGACGCGCACAGCTAGTGGAATTGCAGTTTCAAAACAAGTTCAAATACATGTTCCAGGACTTGGCGCCCAAAGATAAGCCCATACCAAACGTGGATATACCCGTCTTCGCTGTTGGTAAGTCGAGTCTCTTTAGCAAAGTGATTATGAAACTTTTCGCTCTTAGGGAGTAAAGACTTCATGTAAGACACCAGGCTTTCCCTCGAATACTTATTCAGACGTTCTGCAGGTGTCTGAAAAGAATTGAGACCGACGATGCAATGATGTTTTCGACCGCAGAGGAGGTGAGCTCATATCCAAGATTGCTTCATTCCCGCACTCAGTCTAGACAGACCGGAATTCCCCGATTAACAGACCATCTTCGAACGGTCGGAGAACGTCGCGCCTTGACTCATGCTCAGTCTGGTCTAGTCGGTTTTTGCGACATCGTTCAACGGGCAGACAAGATTGTCAGCATCAAACCTCATGATGCGGGGACGCAGCAGGAAACTGATCTGACGAAGCTCAAGAGCGAACTCGACCAGGTTACGATCGTCTTATGATGGGCCGACCTGTCTCCTGACACCCTCAGTAGAAGTGCGCGGCCGTCCTGGATCGAATGCTGGGCACTGTCAACGATCTCTTTTTCCACGAGCTGCAACACGTCATGAAAACCTCGCTGGCTATCGCCAAGGATCGCAGCACATCTGTCTTCGAGAAACATACCACGAAGAAGTGGTTCCGATATCGGTGAGCACGAGACTCGGCTCACTACCGAAGATTCATCGGCTCACTCACGCAGGACCCTTATGCGACAAGAGGGAGTGTTTGAAAAAGAAGACATCAACGTGGAATTGACGCAGAATGAGCTCGTTTCGGTGCTAAACGCGTGGAATGACATATACAACTACAAACTGGGATCAGCCTTTCGACTGTACTACGAAGAGTTGCGCGCAGAGATCTCGACCCATAGCCTATACTTGACCGCTGCTGGTGCGTTTCATCCTCGACAGCCGCCCTCCGTCCTCACTCGTTCGAAGATCCTCTTCGTGCACAATCTGATCTTGACCTTCTCAAAACTGTGTTGAACCAAGTGAATTCGGTCGCTGTCACCGTGACTCAGAGACAAGGTGTTCCACAGCGTGCATGGCCTCTTGCGACCAAGGCCATCCTCCAACCTCAATATGAAAAAGCAGCAGCCCAGAAAGGACCGGGAATGTACAAGCGAATGAAGGTATTATTTCGTGATCTTCTACATATACTCTCATTTGCTAACAATCTCCACAGGAGGTACTACATCACACAGCTTCTAGCTTCTAGTATGGCTGACTCAGTTCTTTCCAGCTCAATCGCGATTACATGCACATGCACGGCGCTTCACTCTTCCAGCGTCTCGAAGAAACTGTCAACGAGCTGAACCGGGCACTTGTCATCACTCTACGCACTGGGAATGATGAAAAGCTGAAGCGGCACATCAATCAACTTGCATTGGGATCCATCAGTCCGTCATCAGACCACTTTCATATCCTCTCCACTTCTGACTGCTCTTTAGCCATCGATCCCGTACCTGAAAAGACGGCCATGTCGAACACAGAGCTCAAAACGTTCATCGCAGAGCACGAAGACATTGCATGCCATTTGCTTGATGAAATCAAGAATCGATTACAAGCTCTGGTTGTATAATTTCCTCTCGGTCCCATGCTGTACCTTTCCTGGTCTACCTCCACTGTAATCTGTATTCTATCGCATGTTCTGTGTATCGCGCTCTCTCGTCGCACTCGTATCGCTTGCATCATCTACAACCTTGTACATAATCAGTGTAACGTTACCATCTTTGTTTGGAATCGAATTCTTGCTACGATTGTCATCCATCTCCATGTTCCCGGCGCAGGACTCCGACGCGGCAATCCGTCTGACAGACACCGACGCGGCGTTGGCAAGACTCTCGGCTGTACAAAAGGGGTACCTCGAAGATCCATTTGTCAAAGCGCTGATCCCCCGCGCACATCTCCAATCTCCTCGTCCGCCGCTGATCAATATCGGGACGTTCGTCCGCGCCACTGCTATCGATGATCTCGTCTTCCGGTGGCTAGACATATGTGCGCAGCAGGGCACTAGGTGCCAGATCGTCAGTCTCGGAGCAGGGAGCGATACACGCTTTTGGCGGATTGCGGTTCGTCACCCACGGGCCTTGATTTCCACCGACCGGTCATTCTCATACAACATACGATCCATCTCAGATAGACAGGCGCGAGCAAGGATGCGCTCGCTGCATATGTCGAGCTGGACTTTGCGGAGATTACGACCAAGAAGGCGATGGCCATCCGGAAGAGCAAGGATTTGAGCGCAGTTCTAGGTTCTACGTCCGACGTCAAGATCGGTGGGTGCTCGGAGGCTAGTCAGACCCGGACTCGAGCTCACAGTGAGGCGCGATCTTTTTGTTACAGTTCAAGGCGGTATGGGCCTGTCCTCCCCCAAGTACCATCTCTTCCCCGTTGATCTCCGACAACCGCCGGCCGAAAGATGGGGCACACTGCTCAGCCCAATTTTACATGCGGACCTCCCGACCCTCATTTTATCCGAATGTGTGCTTGTCTACATGGCGCCGGAAGCTTCTGCTGCGATCTTCAAATGGTTCACGGACTTCTTTTCAGTGGAAGGAGGCGCAGTTCTCGGTAGCATTGTCTATGAGATGTTCCGGCTGCAGGATTCGTTCGGACGCGTCATGCTCGATAACCTAAAGGTGTGATATCCGTTTTGGCCGCATTTACCAGTCTTACATCGATCATCTCAGGCTCGCAATGTCACTTTGCCAGGCGCAGTGCCGTACCCGGATGTGGCTTCTTTGCCTCGCCGTTTTACGGATCTCGGCTTCGCAGCTGCTCGGGCACTTACCTTGAAGGACATCCGGAGGTCATACATATCCGTCTCGGAGCTCCAAAGGTTGATCTCCGCCGCAGTCCGTGCTATCAGTTCGACTGACGATCGATAGGATATCACGCCTGGAATTGGTCGATGAAGTAGAGGAGCTGGACCTCGTCCTGGATCACTACGCTATCACATGGGGTCTCTTCGTTCCGTCGTCTACGACTTCGGGCCCTTGGGCGCAGTGGGGTATCAGTCCGCAATCAGCGAGAACAGATGATGAGGATTGAATGCATCAGGCGTTAGTCTACTGAGTTTTGGCTGCTTTTTTCAAAGCACGACGCCGGATGTCCTTGTGCAGCTTGTGTGTGTACGAGATCCCAGCAGCGGGGGAAACAAACAAGGTGATGGCGTAATCGAGCAGTGCATGCGACCAGTAAGGGGTGCTGGTTTCGGGGCGGCCGCTGTAAGAAGCGCCGCAGCCGAGACCGATCTTGCTCAGCACGGAGCGCACGTAGGGCTTCGGCTGAGGAATCATCATCGAAGCGCGGCGAATCTTAGAGAGCTTGGAGACCTAGGGGTAGATGAGAACCGGATCATGACGGTCCGTAGAAACACGCACGACGAAGTACGTGTTGACATGCTCAACGACGACGCCGTGCTCTCGGACTTCTTCGGCAAGGGCACTGGTGAAAGTGGTCAAGAATGCCTTGGTTCCAGAGTAAGTAGCCAGCATGGGAGACGGAACAGCGCCCGCAAATGACCCGATGTTGAGAACGAGACCCCGCTTGCGCTGAACCATGCCAGGAAGGATGGCATAAGTGACGCGCAGAGTCGCATTTACGTTGATCTTGACTATATCGTTCATTTCGGGAAGAGGGGTGTCGACGAGGTAGACCGGCATCGAGTGTGACTTTCCAACGTTGTTGACTGTCGGGAAATATGAGTGTGAGTGCGGAGATGAATGGCTGACTTCGTACCAAGGACACCAACATCGAGAGCCTGGACAGCAGAGGTGAAGGATTGATAAGCACTCTCGTCAGCCGCAGCAAAGTCGATGGTGTGTATAGCGGTCTGTGCTGTGGGGTACTTTGATTCTGTCGACCATCAACAAGATTTTTGCGAGACAAGGAAAAAGACTGACTAATTTCCTCAGCGACGGTATTCAACACAGCGGCATTCCGCGCCACAAGAAGCACGTTGAATCCCTGGCCTGCTAGCTGGGTAGCGAACTCCTTCCCGATACCATCCGAAGCGCCGGTGACGACAGCCCACGCGCCCTTCTTTGCACCGAAGGTTTTGAGCTACACATTACCATGAGAACAGCGTCGAGAAGTGCTTGTGGAGCAAACCCACACTGATCCCTGGAAGGACGAACGTCTGGAGAAGGACCGAGACCGTTTGTTGCACGAATCGAACAGTCACAAAAGAACCTAACGCGAGAAGCGTGGAGAGCCACCAGGGAGAGGTTTTCACTGCGGAAGAAGGAAGCTTGAGAAAACGTTCGACGCAAAGACTGGGGAAACGGACCGAAGGACTGAACAGCGTCGACGTAGGTGCTCATCGTGCCTGAAGACAAGCGGATTTGGCAGCGCACCGGACGAGACGGAAACACGCTCACGTGCTGACGTGGCAATGCCATCATCGTTTGATGGCAGCTCGAGACGCGCACTCGGTCGTTCAATGGGTATTATTGGCGAGGAACCCGCTTCATGACGACATGTCGTTACCGAGATACCCGAGCTTCTGGCTATGTTCCGGCTTAAAAATAACTGGAAGGCGGAATGAGGAACATCCTTTTTATAGCGTGGGTTTGCCGCGAGAACCGCAGAACGGGCGCGGCCATCGTTGCATACCGACGCCTCTTCTAAACAACATTCGCAAAGATTGAAATTTTCAAGAGCCGAAAGCGAGCAAACTGTTGCTTATCTGAGTTGTGGCTGGAATACAGCACTGTCATGCTGAGGGCGGCCGCGATCGCCAAGAGCAGGCCTTTGAGCGCGAACTTTCTTCTCTTGACAGATTTTGCTGCGGATTGCGCTTCCACGTTGGAGCGGGCGGCTGAGTTCGAACACTTTGTGTCATCAATGGCTCTGCGACATTGAACACATGGGCCGAGCTCAGATCACTTGATTCGTGTTTTGATCTCGTATATAACAAGCATATGCACCGACCACGAGCCATGATAACGCGGCGACGCCCAGCCGATGAGCACCAGCTTGCTCTCCCTTCCAAATGAGCTCCTCATCATCATCCTGGAAAACCCCAGACTCCCGTCGGACGCCCTCTGTAGCCTCGCAGTCCTATGTCGTCGATTGCACTTTCTGGCGCTTCCCATCTTCTTCGCGCGCCAAGGCATGCCCGACCCATCCCAATCGGCTTTCGTATCACTCTCGAACGACGGCGCCGATACATTAGCCGCCCTAAACATGGCGTTGTTCATTACGGGCATCCAGGACCTCACCTGTCTCATGCCCCATCCCAGCTGCGATTCAGTCCTCCCGCTGCTCCCTCACGTACGGCGACTGCAAAATTTCATTCAGCGTTTCCGCACGGTCGGCCGAGTGACCCTGCAGCTAGACGCGAGAAACAGCATGTGCAATTCGACAGGAGATGATACTGCGTTACGGGAATGGACCCGAGTGATGGGTGGCCTCTTTAACGCGTTGCTTGAGCGAAGATCCACACATCTCACCATTCGGTACGGGGGCTATCTCACCCGGTCATATGCTCTCTCTGTCGACAAGTCCGTCTCTCGGCGAGCAATCAGAGCGATCAGGAAGCTCTTCACGTCGGAACCTCTGATGGCCGGCAAGGAGTGGGAGTTCCGACGCGCACCGGAGCAGGGTCGTGAGCGCGGTGAAGTCTCTTTCCCATCCCGAACAGTGGACGGCTACCACCTCACTTCATTGACTATCCAGTCCGCTGTGCTGCTCACGCCGCCTTTCCTCAGCTGGACGCTGTCGGTTCTACGCCGTTGTTCTCCCGCATCCCTCGCCATTTCTGAGATATCTCTGGAAAAGGAGCTTTGGGGCCCCGTCTTGTTTCTCATCGGCCAAAGGGCGGGCGAAGTTTCTCAACTGTCGCTGTCGGAGTTAGATTCCATATCTGACGTTGACATCCTGGGACTGTGCTCACGCTTGCCTCGATTGCAATCACTTACCATCGGCAACAACGACGAAGCACCGGGCACACCGACCAGGTGGCAGGAGGGGATCGTCCCCAAGTTCTTGGCTCTCAAGGATCTTGTAGCTCCTGTCGAGTTTATTCTGCACATCCTAGAGCCTTGGGACCGCGTTCCTTACTTGGAACGACTGACCGTGGGGTTTCAGGGCAAGTCCGAAATATGGCGAGTCGGGATTAAGCTTGACAGGGTCTGCGAGGCCCTAGCCGATCGAGGCCAAACTCCGTATATCACACTCTCCCTTGCTCTATTCTCGGACTCGATCGTCTTTGATTTCGACGCGATGTTGAAGATGACACCCGACGACAAGAAGTCGTTTGGCGCTGTCTCGTGTCTGGACCTGGTTGTCGCGCCGTACAACGCCGAGCAGATTGCGCAGTGGACCCAGATCTTCCGGTCGGTGAAAGAAGTGCGGCTCACTCTGCGGTCGAGACCCGGGGCCGTAGTCGATGATCCTTCCATTGACGAGAAATTCCTCCTTGCTCTATCGAGACACAAATCCTTTTTGCGGACTGTGGCGATCAATGGCAAGCGTTACGAACTGGACGACTGGAAGCAAGCAAGGCGAATAGCCATGTCCCGGAGATGATTGTTATAAGTATCGTACTTGAGGCATAATTAGCACCCACTTACTTGGGTTTGTACAAATATAAATAGATCAGGACAATTACAATACACCTCGCTATCAACGTAGCCAAAGCATGTACATGACACGAAAGCAAATCACGGCCACTCATTCTCCGAGCGAAACCAACACCATACTAGTAACACCAGCAAGCACACTCCCCAGGGCTAGTGCTCTGCGACCAGGACTGGGATGGAGCCCTGGCTGTTCGGCTTCCTGATCGTCATCTACTTCGACCTCGTGTGAATGACCGCCGTGTCCGTGGCCATGCCCGGGGCTGTCCTCGAGACTCCCAAACACAAAGTCAGCTGCGAGCATCTCTATGGTGGCGGCATAGATGAGCATTCCTGCAGAGATTGCCGACATGATTCCTTTAACGAGTGTAGTGCTCGGAAGATCTGCGTCCATTTCAGTCAACGTCGGAAACGGCGTGCGGGATATATCTCACTCTCAGCGTGACTTGAAAAGGACGACATTCCGATGACCATTCCCACGGGTGTCGTCAATGCGAACAGTAGCACCAAAGCTATCGCAAACCAGTCTCGTCCACCGGTTTTGGAAGCAGGAAGTGACGCGATCCGGATCCCAAGGGAGAGACCCTCAAACAACTGGTGGAAGATGATCGCCGTGAGCAGGGAGGCTATGAGCAGTTTCGGTTCCACGCAGCTCGGAGAACGAGGCGGAACACATACTGAAATCGCCACCGGAAGTGAGGGCCAGGGTGAGTCCAATCACTAACGAATGAAGCATGATACCCAGCTGGAGAACCTACCCACACGCTCGGAGTCAGGATATATTCCAGAAGAGAACGAACGGGCGCACAATAATTCCAACCAGCTGCCTTCCTCTGCCGACTTTGTGGTCCTCTTTCCGGGGCTCTGGATTCGCTTCGAAGTCCTGGGTGGGATACGCGAACACTTCTCCGTCATGGTTCGCGGTAGTCACGCAGACACTGAGCATCCTCCCGTCATGTCGGCTCAGCGGGCAGTGTCGGGGTGGCGCAAATAGCGCTGCTAGGAAAGCAGGCTGCAAAGGCGAAGCTTTCGGCCGAGCGACGAGTGGAGTCACTTCTGTTGGAGGAGGAAGGCGGGAAACGGGGATGTGCGGGGATTCGACGGGGGATGAGGGTGCAGATGGTTCCGCATGAAGGTAGTCGACGTACGAAGTCGAGACGTCTGGAGCTGGTTAGAGATTATCGAAGTGACTGCAAGCCGAACGAACATTCAACGATGAAGATAAGCAGCAGCGAACCCAGTCTGCACTATATTCAGCGATTGCAGACGAGAACCAAAAAGGAGCGTACATTATGAGACCGGTCTGCTTCTGGACCCGAGGATACTTGTCCTGTACCTCTGGACTCTGCAAATGCTCGAATGCATCCTGTAATAGGTGACAGAACGCAGTTGACAGTATGACACCCGTCCCGAAATGTTTTCCGATAAAGAACGCGACATGAGGTATGCGCAACAGGCTTGAGCGCTGCGAAAGGCCTGGGAACGAGACGGCTATTCCAGGTCAGTGACCCCGTGCTTGAGATGGCTAGAGCACGCCTACCGAAAAGTGAGATGAAGAAGATCCCGAAGACCGATATTGTCTTGGATGTGAGACCTGCGAGTGTATACACGCTCGAGTTCCTCAGGAGCGAAAAAGTATCGGAGTTCATCGCACAGTAAAGGTAAGAAAGTGCTAGGCAGCTGTAACGCTCACTCAATACCTCGCTGGTACATAATAGCACCCTGGGTACCCCCGCGGTGCCACGTGATCCAATCAATGACGTACAGGCGATCATGCCCTTTCTCTCCGCCGTTCACACGCGTTACTCTCGCCAAGAGCCGATAATCATGAGAATAGTCAAACCTTCGCGTCAAATTAGCTCAAGTTTATATTCAGTTGGCCTCTACATCTTCTACGGCCTGGTAAAATTCTTGTATGATGCGTTTCTGGGCATCGACATTCGACTCTTCCTGAATTGTAAGAGACGGATAAGCAAAAGCAATCATCGGGAAAGATAGAACGCGACTAGCCTGACTTGTTGCGACACCACGGACTACAACGTACTTTCTCCCCGTCAATATCGCTTCCGTGACATCACCAAAAGCTGCAGTCTGAGCCGTAGCGGCAAAGGCGTCGTGACCGCCAGATACGATACCCCCGGCTTCCTCTGCAATCACGATTCCCGCGCAAACGTCCCTGAGAGTCAAATCAGCTGATACTTCCAGTTCTGAAATGGTGCGACATACCAGGGCCAGCACCCGACTTCCCTGAAACAAATATGAGTTTACTAACTTGTTTATTCGCAGTCAACTTCACTTACCAGTATAGATCGAGTCCTCCTTGCGCAACAAGCGCAAAATTGAGAGCCGCAGATCCAACAGAACGCAGAGAATGTGCCATCTTCCCTCCTTGCACATCTTGCGCAGGGTTCCCTGCCAGACGACCGAATGAAGAGGACTTGGCTGAGATTGTCTTGTTCGCACGGTCAGATCCCCACTCGATGGCTACAGAGCCAGATTTAGCATCCATCAAGTCCTTTGATTACGGAAGAGCCGCACCAATGAGCGCCTGCGACAGTGAAGGAAGAGGCTTGGGGGGTGAAGAGAGCGGAAGTTTGACCGGTTGCGCGCTTCCCCGGGTGAGGTGCGAGCCTTGCCCTTTGATCCCAGTGTACTAGGCGGGGTTCCATCGTTGATCAAGCACCAAAGAGGAGTTTGCTCACGAGATGGTCGAGAAAGGGGTTGTAGATGACACCAAGCACCGGTCGACGTTTGTAGATCAGTCCGAGAGAAATACAGACAAAGGGGAATCCGTGCACGAAGTTGGTTGTACCATCGATGGGATCCACACAGAAGGTGGGTTTGTCAGTCAGCGGAGGGCGAGATCCAGCTGAATAGGATTCTTCGCCAATGAAATCAAAGTCCGGATATCTGCCTGCAATCTCTTTCTTCACGAGCTCCTCCACGCGGACATCATATTCGGTGACCAGGTCAACAGAGTTCTTCTTCTCGTTGACATCTTTTCCTGCACTGGCCGACTGGATCGCAACAGATCCTTCGAGGATGACCCCGCCTGCTGTGCGGGCCAGAGCAACAGTGAACTGGAGAATGTCCTGCAGATCTTGTGCAGTCAGTTCAGACATGCTGTGACTTATCACGGGTGTTGAACGGCGTGTTTTCAGATGCGCCGTTGTGGTGGACAGCAAAGCAGTGAATACGAACGTGCCATTATGTATTTAGAAAGTTCGGGGAGTGGCTGTTCGGGGTCCTCTGAGCCCGTGCTCCGATTAGATTAGATGAGGGACCAGAGTTCGTGACCGAAGTGACGCACATACGCGTCGCGTCACGCGTGTCCTGCTTCCACCCACTCTACTCCATTCGATCCGGATTTCAAGCGTCGTAGCCATCCTTTCCGATCTTACATTTCACTGGAGAAGCTGCCATGTTTTTGACGCGCTCGGAATATGGTGCTTTGGCTTTCCCTTGTCATGACTATATCTCACCGAGTGCTACAAGATCGCGGTGTCAACACTTTCTCACCGGAGGGCCGGCTATTCCAAGGTACGTTCAACCAGTGGAATTCATGTCTTTGCGCTTACTCAGTTCAGTCGAGTACGCTATGGAGGCTATCAAGGTCTGTACTGCTTGCCGGCTACGCGCCGCCAAGTCTAACGGCCTTGCAGCTTGGCTCAACGACAGTCGGTATCCGGACTCCAACTGGTGTCGTGATTGCAGTCGAAAAGCGTGTGCACTCCCCCCTCCTTGAATCCAGTTCCATCGAAAAGATCATGGAGATTGACTCTCATCTGGGATGTGCCATGTCGGGTCTGACTGCAGACGCGCGTACCATGATCGACCATGCACGAGTGACAGCCCAGAACCACTCTTTTACTTACGACGAGAAGATCAAAGTTGAAAGTGTCGCACAGGCGGTATGCGACCTGGCGTTGCGATTCGGTGAAAGTGTACATGACGAAGAAGCCATGATGAGTCGACCTTTCGGTGTTGCGTTGCTTATTGCTGGTGTCGACGAACTTGGTCCTCAATTGTGCGCGTTTCGTAAAGAAACTAATATATCCTGTCTGACGGATCTGAAGATATCACACGGATCCTTCTGGGACCAGTACACGATTCGACGCGAAAGCAATCGGATCTGGTTCAGAAGCGGCGCAGAGTGAACTGCAGGACAAGTGGCACAAGGTTCGTGCTGCTCCTTCCTTCTTTGGTCACGTCCCTTACCCTGTGCCCGCAGCAAATGACCTTGCAAGAAGCCCAGATATTAACGCTCCGAGTGCTAAAACAAGTAATGGAGGAGAAGTTGGACCAACACAATGTCCAGGTCGCTCAGGTGCGTCGAAACGTATCTGGTCATCTCATATTCAAATGTATCCCAGGTTACACCGGAGAAGGGTTTCGAAATTCTGGACGAAACCACTTTGAAGAACGTTATCGAGCTGATGTAAACTTGATACATTTGAATTACATTTTCCAGCTGTACATGACTACTTGAGGCTGAGCAGAGTTGGTCAAGAGTGCTGTCTAACTCATCGGAGATGGTACACAACTGACCTGGCAATGCATTCGATCTCAAAAAGCACGTCTTTGGGCAAACGAGCAACCTCCACACACGACCGAGCCGGCTTGTGGTCCCCGAACACCTTAGCATAGATGCCGTTCATAACCACGAAGTCGTCCATTGACTTGAGGAACACCTAAGGAGCCATTATCAGACAGTGTGTGGCGAAAACGATCGCGACGGAGCGACGCACAGTGGTTTTCACCACCTTCAGACTAGTCAGAATATATCCTGCACATGTGCACTAAGAGGCCGCGTACCTTGTCCAGCGACGATCCCGCGGCTTCCAATACACTCGTCATGTTCTTCATTGCTTGCTCGGTCTGCTCAACGATACCACCGTCAACCACTGTGCCCGTTGTCGGTTCGAGAGGGATGGACCCCGAGCAGAAGAGCAGATCGCCCAGTTTGATTGCCTAGACCAGCAAGCGCTGAGACCAGTGTGGAGTGTCTTGAGATCCGATTCTCACCTGGGAGTATGGGCCGACAGCAGCCGGTGCGTCTGGAAAGGAAGACATGACGCGTTTTCTGGACCGCGATCATCGAGGGGAACGCACTGGAAGTAGACACGATGTTGAGCGACGACATGGATCTCAAGTTTCGTAAGTGGCGAATCGATTGAGAGCGATGGATGGTAGTGGTTGGACGCAGGGAGCAAGATACACGCAGGATGGAAGCACGAAACATTTGCAATCGACGTCACGCATCGGCAAAGTGGTCAACTGCAACTCTCCGGACATTATTAGGGGCAGTCAAATATGCCGATTCAGACGTGATTCAGAGTGTGATTCAGACACGATTCTGTCGTGATTTAGATACGATTTAGACACATGAATCACCATCAAAGCGTCTCTGAATCGTAAGTGAATCGCTTCTATTTTGACCACCATGTTATGCACTCTGCTTTACTGTCGATTTGACTCTCTTGAGTGGGCTTATGTTTCCTCCATTATGTAATCAGTCTCTCTCTCTTTCTTTTCTGCCCTCCACATGCCCCGCGCGTCGCGTCGCTGTTGGAAGCTTTGGCCTTGGCCATAGTCGGTGTGAAGTGTGACTGTGCCGCTCACATCACTTGTAAAAACGTAAACAGATACAAAACATGTGCCCCTATGACATAAATGGACTTGTAAACGAGTCGAGTGAAGCTAAAGCAGAAGCAGAATCCGTCGTTGAAACACCTCTGGAGGTGTTTCGACGATTCACGCTCGATTCGCCAGTGATGCGATTCTCCCACGATTCAGGATCTTTCTGAATCGCGTCTTGAATCGCTTCCTGAATCAGATCGTGAATCGGCATATTTGACTGCCCCTAATAGATTATTGGTTTGGTGGTAATGTATACAGAGATAGCTATTAGAACCCGTAGTCAGATATGCGCGTAAGATACATCAGTGCGGAAAGCAAGGGACACAAGCGGAGAGACAAGCGAGCAAAAACTGGGATATGTACAGTATTAATAGAAGTGGGAGATTTGTGAGTTAGCCAAATGAGTGGAAGAGTGGCGAGATTCTTGATGCGTTATACGAGCTTCATGTTCCTGAGATTGCCCTTGATAATGATATCCCGGACTAATTCAGCCGGTAAGAGAGCGTCAAGCAAGAAGCAGCGGAGGCTGACCGTTGGAAATGATAGTAGCAGTGCGCCTTGTGTCAGTTACGGCCGTGAGATGAACTGCATGGATGTCAATGCTCCGTTCATTGAGGGAATCAGCTTGTGCATACTGTACAGTTCTCGCTCCTTGTTCGGGGTCATCGCATGGTGGATCGCGCTAAATTTGTTACGGAAATCTGCCCATGCGAGTCAGTAAGAAGTATTGCGACTGGCATGGTCGGATGACTTGCATTTGGATACAGAATCATAATCATTTGGCCGGTCACCGTAGGATATCATTTGATGGCTCAGTCGCACACCAGCTTCTAGCTTGGCCTTTGAGAGCGTCAGGGACGACTAAAATTGAAGGGGTCAAGAATTTATGCACCTGGAGCAGATCGCATTTGTTCAAGAAGAGCACGATGTTCACTTGAGCAAGCAGTTTGTTGGACACGACCGACTGCCATAGCTGTATGGAATCTTCCAGACGATTGACCCGAGGATCCTGGAGGAGTGAGTAAGTGAGGGTTTCCCCGTGAAAAGAGACATGCTTACCTCAGCCAGCACCTGATCGAAGGCCGAAGCCGCCACCATGAACAACAGGCAATTCACTAATCGAGTGTCAATTCAGGCACCCCAGAGAAGGGACGACATACTGTCATCAAAGTATGGTGCCCATGCTTGCCGCTGGTTCCGCGCTCCACCGACGTCGTATATCTTCCATTCCACTCCGCGGTTGCTACCCGCAGAAATGAGGAAAGTGTGCTCGACAACACCCATCGTCTTCAGTCTGGCCTTGAGAACATCGGCTGTTCAGCAGCCAATCAGTGACGCGGGTACAATTGACAGAGGTCGATACGAACCGTCAGTCGGAATATACATCTTGGCTGTGATCCGAGGGATCTCGTCCAGATAGCTGGAGGGAAACAAGTTAGTGCGGTCCATCAGCAGCACAGGGAAGAAACATGACACACAATCCGCTGCTCTCCTCCAGTCGCAACCGTTTCTCTCGAAGCCGCTGGCGGACAGCAGGATCTCTCCACATTTCTTGCATGAAAGGAGCGCAGGCATTCAGAGCGTGAACGGGATCGGTGGGATCTTCCCACCAGCCTTCAACTTCGTTCGAATGCACGCTTTTCGGACTCTTTGCTTTCCCGCCACCAAGAGAAAACGCCTTTTTCCAGTTGCGAGAGGTATGCACGCTGACTTCGTTTGTGCTGGTTGGCGACGAAGATGCCGACGTACCGAGCGGTGAAGGGTTGGCTGATTGGCTGTAAGGAGGGATAGAGATCGTGGGTGTCGGCCTGCCATCGCTGCCGTATGATTGAAGTGGAGGGGCCGGCTGAGGTCCAAGATGAGTCGCTTCTTCCTCATCCGCAGAGGAGAGCAGTCGGATGAGCCGGGCTTCGAGTTCTACGAGAGGTTGCAGTCGCCGGCGATAACGCTCGTAGTTCGGAACTTTTGTCCCCAGTATGGCAGACGGAGGTCGTCCACTTGACGAAATGATCACAGAAGCAGTCTCAAGTGAATCTCCGTCATCGTGTTCTTCGAGCTCAGTCTCCGGTTGAAGCGCGTCCAGAATTCTGTATAAGTTTGAGAACAGTCTGGAGAAGACCTAGAACACGAACAAAGCACATACTGTCGTATAGACCGGACTAAGTTGAGGTATATTACAGCGCGCCAGGCAATTCGTTCCGCGTGAAAGGCAGCCGGGGTATGCAACAGCTGGAATTCTACAAAGAACGCATTAGTCTATCTTCAGACCTGTGGCCCCAACTCTCGGTCGGCCGCTACCGCACCCGAGCCAGCATCTCAGGTGGAATGTTCTTTTCAGAATTCCAAGCAGACGGAAGCGACACAATATGTGCACGATGTGCCTGGACCACGAGACATGGCAGAAAAGACCGCCCCGGACACTGGCCCAGAAAAAAGGTGCAGAGAGAGAGAGACTCACGCTTGATACAAGTGCTCTTGCCCGACTCGGACCTGAGACGACCATCCAGCCCGAATTAGAAATGACGAGAACGAACACGTACTGGCCCAAGAGGAGAACGTGTACCTCCGCACGCGACTTCTTCCGCGAGCTGCGCTCATTCCTTATCATCTCGTCGATTCCATCGCTGACTCTTTTTGCGTCGTCTGCAGCCTTCAGCCGTAATTCGCGTGCTTCTTCAGTTTCATTTGCCGGAGGTAGGAGGGCTGCAGCGAGGGGGTCCGAGAGGGACCTGCGTCGAGTATCCAGCTGCTTGGGCTTCGCCATATGTCGTCAAGAGAAAAGAAAGAACGGCTCCAGCCGTGGAAGTCGAAAGCGTTCTATCTAAGGTCTTCAATTGGCATATTTGATCGTGCACGTGAACCAACCGCATCCGAAGACAAAGCGCCGAGGATGCACTCTTTCGTCTTGACCGTCATTGTCGGGAGAGGTAGAACATCTATGCTGGATCAAACCGCGTACTAACCACGTACTCGAATCGAAGCAAGCCCAACAAAACATCATGTCTCTGTCCGGCCTGTGCCAGGTTTCAGATCTCAGGAGTAACATCAGCAACCCCGTCGGTCCGTCTGTCGCAGGTCCCTCCGTCATCATCCCATCCGGACATGCCACGCACGTACTGTAGACGGCTTCCCGTATCAGCTACCACCTACAGCAACATGTGTGATAACTTCTCTTCGCATCACCCATGCATCACAACTGATTCCCTGGCTAATGGGTTGTCATCCGGCTATGAACGGAAGACGCTGATCATTTGTGCTTTCTTCCTCCCTCCATGTTCTTCTGCTACTAGTCGATTCGTTCGTACCCTGCTATGCCCGCTTTGTTTCGTCACTTCGGTCGTCCGCGAGACCTTTCTCCTGCCGACGGTGCGCTTTTCCGTGATGCACATCTACCCGCATTGACTCATTCGCGTCCTCGACATCTCAGCTGCTCAGGTAGCGCGTCAGCCTTTCTTTCCTTCTTCGGGCTCTTCCTCTTCTTTTTCTTCGGATAATGACGTGACGGGCAATGGTACGCAGCCATTCTAACGCGCTCTCACGCGCATCACTCACGCACCGCATAGCTCTCGGGTCTCGGGCTCACTCAAACGAGAGGGCGGCAGTGCACACAGGTATAGCCTAACTCTCTCACCATCATCATCAAGGTTCGTTAAGGGTCACTTGTTCAGATGCGGATGGCGTTGAGACGGATGAATCAGCATCAGTTGTGAGTAATCGTAATAAGGCGTTCCGCTCAAAAGATCGAGCGGAACCCAATCGATTCATGAATAACCAATTGTCCTCTGCTCAGAAACGCTCAACAACTGCCATCTCTGCCAACGACGCTGGTAGCGTAACGGATGTCAGCCAGGGTGCGTGTTGTTGTTGCGATTGGGTCGGGTATCTTATGTCGTCTAGATGCCAAATCCTCCGCTGGATTGAAGACCACTTCCAGTGCGGATTCGACGACTAATGTGAAACCGAAATCGACGGCCGCTCCCACTGCTGCCACTTCGTCCGTCGTTGAGACGATTGCGGATAAAGCATCAAGCACTGAGGCAGCCATCTCCAAGACCGCGCAGTCGGCAACTCCGCAGTCGATCTCCCAAACGTCGGCTGATGTCAAAACGTCTGCCATTGTTTCGAGCACTGCCGAGATCTCCGTATCTAGCGACGCAGCCTCGGCCTCGGCCCTAGGTCCGAGCTCTGATGCGGCCACCAGCACTACCAGCAGTGTTGTAGCATCCTCTGCGGCGATCACAACTGTGGCCCCGACTAGCGTGGCTGCTAGTGCGTCGAATGCTGCTCAGCCCAGCTCGAGCTCGGTTGCAACATCTGTCACCCTGTCTGCAGCTGCCACCAGTCAGTCTGCCACGACTCACAGCCACCATGGGCAGAGCAGCCAGGGGATTGCTGCACCGTCCGGTTCCGCCCCGTCGACGACGTCCTCGGCTTCGGCTTTAAGCGTGGCAGCTACCGATTCGTCCAGCCCGTCCGTTCCGGTGGAGCAGCCGACTAGCAGTGTCATCATAGCTACTACGGCGACTGCCACCCAGTCGACCGACACGGCTGCTTCGGCGACCGCCGCTCCTCCGTCGACTATCACCGCTGGGAAGCCGCCTCACAAGGGCTCAAAGGGCAACAAGTCTGCGTCTGCCACCACTTTAGCTATCCAGACAACGGTGTCCGATGTCACGACTTCCGTTCCAGTCACGACTGCCCAGGTCGGAGGCTCTAATGGACAAGGCGACTCTTCGACCGCCGACGCAGCGACTGTGACAGTCCAAACAACAGCCGCTGCTGTTACCCCGACGGCTGCCTCGACCACGGCGCAGACGGTGGCTCCGCCTGTGACGACCACGTCCAAGGGGAAACCCAAGGGCGGAAAGGGCCCCAAGAGTTCGTCCACCGCCGCCGATGCAACCACCGCGGCAGTTCAAACGACGGCCACCGATCCCGGTGCGACCGCGACTGCGACGACTGCTGTGGTCACGGCTCAATCAGCAGCTCCGCCATCCACGACGGCCACAGACAACTCTCCGCCGAGCGACGGTGGCCAAAACGGCAAGGGGAACTCGAATGGGAGCGGGAAAGGTGTCAAAACTTCGTCGACAGCCGATGCGGCGACGGCGACTGTGCAGACGACTCCCGGTGCAACTGTTACCGCGGCGGAGCCCCCGACGACTTTGGCTGATACCTCCACGGCTGTGGCTGCCACTTCGACGACTGCTGCTGCTCCCGTCCAAACGGGTAAAGGCACCGCCGCTGGAAGTAAAGGACAGGGCAAGGACAACAATTCTTCGTCCACAAGTGAGGCTACGGCAGCTGTTGCCACCGATAGCGTTTCTCCCCCCACTACCCAAACAGTGATCGCCACGACCAAGGGTAAAACGACTGTTGCGACCGCCACGGATGCCGCGAATGCTGCGACTGCGACCGATGCCGCGGGTGTGAATACTGCGACGACTCGGGCCAAGGCCAACACGAACGGTGTGGTCACTGCGGCGGAGACGACGGTCGTCGCCGTATCTATCCCGCCGCCAGCAGCGACGACGGATCTCACAAATCAGGGTGCGGGCGTGTCTTTGGCGGCTACTTCGGCTGAAGCTGTGCAAACTACGGCGACAGTCGCAGCCACTAGCCAGGCCGCGACGGCTACCGAGGCTCTGTGAGTGACATCATTGTGAGGGAGCGTCGTCGGCCAACTAAGTGCTTCTCAGTGCGACGGCTACACGGACTGTTTCTCAGCTGGCGGGTGCCAAGTGCGTTTCCTTGTTTCTTTGTTTCCTGCATCCCCTCAACGTTTGCAGGGTTCTTGGGCACGACGCCGAGCCGACGGACAGCGTCACGACGCTCTTCAGCCCGAGTTTGACGACGATCATATCCTCCGAGGCTACGGTGATTACGTCCGGTGGAATCACGCTGTCGGCCACCGTGCCCGTCACTCTGACGTCGTCCACCTTGGTTCCTGTAGCCACTTCCACTTTCCGTGTTGGCCCGGGCGCCACTTCTGCGCCTTCCCAGGCTAAGTAAGTTTACACCACCTTCTCACACCTTGGCTATTTTTTTTACCTTCGCTTACAGCGCCAGTGCCAGCAAAATGCCAGCGATGATCGGTGGCATCGTCGGCGGTGTGGTGCTGTCGGTCGCAGCCATCCTCCTGATCCTTTGCGTCCGCAAACGCCGCCGTAGTCGAGCTTTGTATCTTGGCTCCCGGCCCGATTCTCCCTTCCGAGATCTCGAGGCTTCGGCCCCGGGCCATCCGGGCGAACCGGCCTTCTCGATGGTGGCTCCGCCTGTCGCTTCTCCGTTCAATGCGCCCAAGCCCTTCGACATCACTGACACGACCCAGGTGGAGGGCGCCAAACCCGTGACGTTCAGCTTGGCAGTCGACCCTCCGTCCGGCCCCGACACTCAAGAACCGATGGCCTGGGACTCCAACACGTTCGCCCGCTCCCTCGCGAGCAAAGATCCCCAATGGGCCTCTACCATGGCGCCATCTGATCCGTTTGCCGATCCGGTCAACCCGTTCGCTGATCCCGGTCCTTCGGTCCGGGTGTCTCAGATGCCAGTGACGCCCAAGCATCTGCGACTGTCAACGACATCGTCGGCGCTGGCCAAAGACGACAACCGCACCAGCACCGCCAGCAATGGCACTATTTATTTCGAAGGACTCGCTATGTGATGGGTTATTTATATCTAGGTTACAGTACTTACATATCCGCTGTGTTGCACACAAGTAATTGCCAATGCTCGTGTGATTTCGTTGCACAATCCTCTTCTCCTCCTTCTAAACGCGATCGCGCTGTCTTGTAGACATCTCCGCCAGCCAGATCTGATGCGGCGCATGTCGCACCTCCGGGTCCTCCTCGTAGCCCGAGCCTGACATCCCGTGGTCATAAGGCTGGGGCTGAAACAGTCGCCCTCTTGTTCGCCAGTCGAGCCAAAAGTCCAACATTCCGATCGCGAGCACGACACCCGTCATCCACGAAAACGCCAGGCGCCACGGATCGTCCGTCCGCCCCGCGATCAGCGCCAGAAGGTCGAGGAAGATGCAGATGCCGAGGGTGGGATCCGGGCCAGAAGCGCACGTCTGTCACAGAGCAGCAGCAGCAGCCTGATCAGTATCGTAGTACCGCGAGAACGCCGAGCGCCTGGAACGCACAATAAGGACCAGCAGCACCCCGCAGTGCGCTTGCTGTTGGATGCGCGGCCGACCGGCGCCGATGGACAGCATGCCCCAGGTCAGCCACAGCGCATGCAGCACGGACACCCCTGCGTTCGTCTTTGCGACCAAATGCGTCGTGCGGTTGGCCCTCGTCAGCGGGTAGCCTCCGGACGGGCGCAGGACGATCAGCGCAAAGGCGAGTTGCATTGTACAGTTGCACAATACGAGGCTCTGGGACAGCAGGATGTGATTGCTGAGCATCCCCGCCACAAACGATGCGCCTGTAAGAAAAATAACAGTCAGCAGGCACCCCGACCCACAACGCCGAGTTGTGGCACGTACCGACAAGGAGGTTCCCGCCGATGTAGAAAGGAGCATACACCATCTGTGTCGGCTCGCAGAGAGATTCAGCCTGCGCTACCGGCATGGCGTCGAAGGCCGCTCCACCATCACTTATGTTATTTTCCTCTACCTCCCAGAACACCTCGGTCTCGGGCGTTTCGCGCCGCCGCGTCCTTCCTCCTTGATAGCGACTGGCGCTCTGTCCCGCTGAAGGATACATCCGCCGCAGCCAGTATAGCTGGACACCGACCTGCGAGAGGAAGAGCGCAGCGAGGAAATATGGGTGCGGCGCGTAGGGCGAGTACCTGGCGTTGGCCTCGCCGAGTCTCTGTACGATCGAGGAAGCGGAGGCAGACCCGACGGGGGCGAGGGCGTCGAGGAGCGCGCGCGCCTGTGCGACCGTGGAGAAGACGAAGGATGAGGCGGCGAGTGCACGCAGTCGGGATAGGCGGCTCATGCTCGGTTGGATGAGAGGGACGGCGTCGGAGGGCTGCTGAGTGACATTGACAAGGTCGATCGATTACGCAGCGCCCCTATCGATTCTCACAGGCTCACAACGGCCCAAGCTTGTCCATCCATACAAGGTCGTCTGCGTCCATCTACCAAGTCCTGGAGAGGGCATTGAGAACAAGACGCGGGATAGAAGGAGAGTGTAAAGAGTCTCACCTCGGGCTGTGAACGCTGATTCTCAGCCGCCATTTCGGATCAATTGCTTCTTTGGGTAAGGAAGTTCCCATATTGGGAATACTTCTGCCACGCTTGCAGTCGCGAGGCTTCATCCTCCAGACTAATCTAGACTAGCAGGTGCACAACTCTAGAGGCTGCTGGACTCACTCCAAGCTCTACCTAATAGGCTCCGGAATCACGCAAATAGGATTCGCAGTCGCAATTACCTGCTCGATACGTGATGAATGGACGAGTGTCGACTGGGAACATAGTACAAGCGTCATCGATAATTAAGATCAACAGAGAAGGACAAGTAAAAGCCTGAACTCCCCCGGGCCCCTTGTGGGACCACCAGCGCTCCAGGCCCAGCGCAAGTGTGTGCGCGCCGGCAATCCAGAGGAAGCCTGGGAAGCCCCAACCCACCTGGGAACCAGGGTGCCCGCATCCCATTGTTGTCCCCATGGGCAAGCAAAAATTCCGCAGACATTCGGGCGGAGCTTAAAGTGAACACAATGGCTTCCAGGAGTGAGTTTACATCATCTATCAAGCGGAAGGATCCAAGCTGCATCCCCATCAAGCTGCGATAACTGACTGCCAACTTGGATGAACGCAACACTCAGGACGATGGTATGTTCCTGGATTGCCAATGACTCAAATTTCGAAAGCCTGTCAGCGCTTGTGCTTGCTGGGCCAGGGCAAGCCAGACTTCGGCTGCAAAAACCCTCCCGCCCGTGGCGTGGCAGGGAAAAAATGGAGACCGGCGCCCCCGGTGATACGCATAAAAAGCGTGGCCCCGGGGTTCATTCAATGCGAAACAATTATTTGCAGCGAGCCTTGGCGAGCTCCGGCACTACCAAGTCGCCAAGCATCGTGGCCAGTGGCATCAGTCACAGGTGACACAAAAAACGAATTGGCTAATTGTCGGCTGGAGTCGGACTTGGTTTCGCGTAAGTGGCTATGCGTGGTGTGGATGGGTTGCGAACTGTGACACGCATCTACATATGTATGTCTTCCACCACATGTCACCAACATGGAGCTCCGGCGGACCGTTCGAGTCCCGGCTCGCAACAGGAAAAATGTTGGTTGATCTTGCCAAAAAAAACGTCAGTTTTATCAGATTCTGAGCTGCAAGCTCAAGCTCATGGCCGCAAATGGGCGGACACACGTTTCGATTCAGAGGTTGTTGGACGTGGATCAGGGGCCGGGTGTAGGACGGTTGGAGTTTGCTGGTACTACCATTCAGCGAGGTAGACTGGGGATTCGAGAACGCTCGCGACTTGCACGTCCACACCGTGCGCCACAAAAGAGTCTAAGAGCCAATTAGAAATCGCCGGAACGCTCAATCCGCGTTAGGGGCGCATTTCTTCTAGCTGACAGCCCGCTGGCCACAGGCAGCATCCGTCGTCGATGATTTGGTCACCCCAAGCCCGTCAGCGAGTTTGCGAGATCAGGCTTGGAAGGGCGGCATGCCCGCGAATACCGCGCCCAATGAATGCGCAGGCGCGACGGTTACGTGGTGGTCGCGCAAATGGGGCTTGTCATGAAAGGGCCATTGTTTGTGAAAACACGAGAAGAACGGACTAGGCTACCCGTACTGTCGCTATTGGACGCGTATCGCGCGAGGCTGCGGCCGAATGGAGAACATGAGACGCGGTTACACCCCTTGTGGTCGTTTCGTAAACACAAATGGCAATCATGGAATGGAGCTGCCCCACAGCGCAACCGTGACCGCAGGGCCATCCCTGTGAGCATGAGTTCATCGATCAAGTGGGCGGTGAAATGGAGAACACAGTCTGACGGCCTGTTGATGACCCTCTCCATTCCCTTTGTTCCCGGTGGCAGGCAACGGGACGAGATGGATACGCGCTAACGAGATCGCCGCCGTCAAGGTTGCCGAGGAGAAGGAGCATGCGATCGATTCTCACGATGTCTTTTTTGGCGGTTCTGCAATTGTCTGACTTGTGCGCTGACTCGAGGCGTGCCATGCACTGGTTCAACCGATTTGGAGTATAGTCGGAGGTAGTTATGAGGTATGTTTCTACCCGCTATAAGTATCGGACTTCATTTCCCTCAATTCCTTCCGTCTTTCCCCCTTCATCATGACCTCCCTATTTTCCCTTTCTCCTCGCGCACTTCGCGACCTTTTGCTTGCCTTCTTTCGCCCAACGAACATTGACGATACCTCCCGTCCAGTGCAGCGACTACCTCCAGCCTACTCTCGCACACCTCGCTTACCCCTCGAACTCGTGCTATGCATTATGGAAGACGCATCTGACGGCGAAGGCTTCGAACATGCCGCACTGCTCCGTCAGTGCGCGTTGGTATGCCGGGACTGGTCACTCCCCGCTCAAAAGCTACTATTCCGCACCGTGCATCTGGTCACCGAGGACGCCTGTGCCTCCTTCCTCTCCGCAGTGCACCCGCGCACGGCAGCAGGCCGTGTGTTGGGCGAGTCTGTCACTCAGCTAAGGGTCGTGTTGGACTATAATCAACCCAAGGGTCTTTCCGAGACTTCCTTCGCGCACGCGGTTTGCGCGTGCCCGAATCTTCTCAGCCTCGACCTCTCTGTCTACGGGTCGACATTTCCAGGAAAGGAATCTACCGGTGTTGCCGACGTGTTACGTGTGCGGCGCTCATCACCTTCGTTCGAGGAGAAAACTCTCGAGTGCCTCAAGGCAGGACCTCGCATTCGCGCATTACAGCTTAGCAATTGGTCCGAGAACCACGAGTCCGTCTTGCGACTCTTTGAAGTGTGGCCAGAGTTGATCTCACTCGCTCTGAGCGGGTCCACGCCGACGGACGCACCGGGCTGCTGGCCGCCTTCTCAGCTGCGGGAGCTTCGCATGAACTTCCAGGCTTCGCCTTCCATCGATTTTGTCCAGTGGCTTCTACAAGATTCTGTCCTCGACGTGCTCGAGCTGACGCGCGACGTCTCCCCAGAGGTGATGGACTTTCTGCTCGACACGCAGGGCCAGACACTACACTCATTGGCACTGCCTGCCTGTTCGACTGCTGTGCAAGTGCAGACGGTGCAACGCTGCCCTGATCTGCGTTCGTTGAGGACTGATCAGCCGCGGGCAGCGGCAGTGCTCTTCAAACCTGGCTACTTCCCATCTGGGCTGCGACGCATCGCACTGGCACTGGATCATGACGGGACGTTTCTGCAACCGTTGCTCGATGTTGTTCGATTGAGAAGGGGGGAACTGCGGGGCATCACGCTCCGGATGTGGAATGGGGCTGAACGCAACCCGCACTTGTCGGCGCTCAAGCTGGTCTGCGCGTATCATGGCATTGAGCTGGAGATGATCAGAGATGCTCGGGTCTTTCGTGCGGCCATGGTGCGTGGTTTGACTGAAGCCTTTTTTACTCTTTGCTGACACAAGTTTACGCAGAGGAACGGTTTCGATGCCACTGATGCATGGAATCGAGCCAGTCTAGACCATTAGTCCATGGCCTGCCTTCTTCTACCAAGTTCACGATCTCTCACGACCCCCTCACGCGCCATTGTACATCACCCCACATCCATCTGAGCTTCCAGTACCTCATCCTATCTCGATCCCATTCTATGGAACCGGACAACCTACTATTTGCTTTATTCCCATTAATCTCTGATTTAATGCTTCTATGACTTTTCGACACTTCGAATAGTCAACGGATCTGTACAACATGCCCATAGATTAGATAGCCCAGCTGCTTGATAGTTACCCAGCAATTGCTTGAATAAACGATTGTTTACAGATCTGCATTTGGGAAGTTTGATGGGCTGATGCGAAGCGACAACCGCCGTAGAACTAACTATGAGTACTATATTCAAGGCTCACAGTCATAACCTAGAGACATCTCCAAGACACTTCAGCCACAAGTCCTAAAATTGAAATTCTTATTATCAGCCACACGGCAGGCCCAATAGAGGTGGAAACGGGCGGCATGGAAAAATCAGAAAACCAGTCCAGACATGTCTTGTACTCATAATTGCAACCTAGAGAGCGGCCGTCCCAACTCATGAATCGCACTTGTTTCCGTTGAGAACGCGAGAGCGCAGAGCGCGCGCGATGTCACGGAGCCTAATGGACCGGCATAGCCACCTTGAGTAGATGCTCCCAAACAAGACACGCTGCGCAGGTTACCACGACCAACATGTCCACTCTTTCCTCGGTAGTGGCCGAGCTTGTTCGCGCCTCGATGGGGAACTCCGTCCCGCAACAAGTCACAGACGATGATCTCGACCGCCACGTCGCCGAGCTCATTCTCAAAGAGGCCAAGAAGAAGGCAGAGCGATTCGGACAGGATGGAATCAAAGCGTACTTGCGTAGCGGGATGTAGGTTCCGTGCAATACAACGAGAGGGTGTTTCAATGACTCATCTGTCTCTCTCAGCTCGGATAGCAGCGCTCCGCGCACGAACAAACGATTCCTGACATCCATCATACGAAGCACAGACGACCACAATAGAACTATTCTACAGGCACAAGCGCAAGCGGCGCAGGAACTGAAGCGCGAGAGAGACGAGCTCGAGAGGCGCGAGCGGCGGGCGCGAGCGGAAGAGGCGGTTGCAGCCGAGAAGATGCGGCGGTCGCATGGCAGTCGAAGCGGGGGCAGCCGGAGTCACCGAAAACGCGAGGAGAAGGATGGGTGGGACCACTGGGATGGCCGCACAGCTGAGCGGGCCAAGAGAAAACCACGAAACTGGGAAACATGGGATGGTGAGGACGAGGACGAGGACAAGAAACGTCGGGACGAGGGACAGGAACGGAAGCGGGATAGAGACCACCGGCCGAGTCGGCGGCGGTCAAGGTCGACAGATCATCGACACAGGGACGACGACAAACACACTGCATCCAAGCACCGTCGCGACCGCTCTCAGTCTCGTGATCGCGGCGAGGGCAGCAGTTCGCGTCGGCACCGGGACGAAAAGCGGTCTAGTCGCAAGTCCCGGCATCGATCGCGCAGCCGGAATCTGGATGATGAGAAGGAGGCGGGGACTTCTGCAAGCGGAAAGGATCACCGCGACGGTTCACCTTCCATGTCATCGTCCACTGAAGCTGCGAACGGAAACGAGTCTCGCTCTGGGAAACGGAGACGCTCACCTTCTCCTGTGTCCATGGAGACAAATGCTGCTTCATTCGTAGATGCTGTCTCTCACGAAGACGTGCTGCGGAAACGATTGAAGACGTCTGTAGACGACACGACGGTCAAGAAGCAGGAGGACCCCCAGGTCAAGAAGCAGGAAGATTCGCAGGGAAAAAAGACGGATAAAAACGGTAAAAAGGAAGATACCAAGGGCAAGCATAAAGTGCCGTTTGACGGGCGCCCTCCTGAACCGAAAGCACCGCCGCCTCCTCCACCGCCATCATTTCCTCCGCCAGCGAGGTCTAAGCGTGAAAGCAAGCGCCGAAGACTTTCGTCCTCGCCCTCACCAGGACCCGAGCCTGCTGCGCAGCTGCCGTCGAAGATGGACAAGTATTTCGAGGAGTCGTATGATCCGCGGCTAGATGTGGCGCCGTTGACGGCACCGAAAGTGCCTGCAACTGGGATGATCAACAATGCCGAATACGATGGTTGGGATGCGATGCTAGCATTGCTGCGGCAGCGAGAGCAGGATAAAGCGGAGCAAAAGATGATGGAACGGCTCGGGGCGAAGAGCGGTAGCAGCAGCAGTAAGACCAAGTTCACGTCGAGTGAAGTGGGCGAGCGCTGGACGGGAGGTAATGCGAGTGTGATGGAGATTGAGTACGACAAACCAGGCTCGGTGCGCGAATGGGATTTGGGCAAGGACTTGAGTTTCTAGCAGGCTTATGATAGAATTCCGGTGTAGGATAGATATATATTTAGTGTACATTTACTAGTGGAGGTATCACTGGGAAACAATTCGGCGGATGACAAACATTTCTCCTGCGCTCATCTGGTCGACAATACTGCTAAAGTTGTTTGTGTTGCGCGCGGCGCATTCGCGGAAGAACGAGAGCAGATGTGCCTGCAGAAAGTCAGGGGTGGCTGTAATATTCAATTGAAACAAATGCTTGCCTGCATGTCCATAGTGGAAACAGGATCTTGCTGGAGATCCTCGTCGTCATCGCCCTCGAGAACATCATCATTGTCGAAAGCAACGCCTTTCGGTCCAATCAGCTCGGACAGGTACTGGAACTCGTCGTTGTCCTCCAGCTTCTCCTCCTCGGCCCACTCCTCGTCCTTATGCGAAATGAGATACATCGGAGGAACGGTGGCAAGGGACGCTTACCCCATCGTCTGTCTCCACATCGAAGGTATCACCCTGGGCTGTTATAGTCGCAGATTCGCCTCCCGCTTGCACTTCATGCACCAGCAGTTTGAGCGCCTTCAGATGGAACGGAATCGAGCTGAACTCCAGTGGGCCTGTTGGCTTAGTCAGTCATAGGCATCGATCGCTGGACTGGCTTTCGACGCACTAAGCTTCGTTCGGGACCGTGTCATAATGACTGCGACGTCCGCATGCTCAATGTTGCGCCGTCCACGGAAGACAAGACTTACCATTTCGGGTCTCGGGCTTGAGTATGATGTCCCCCTTCACAGCCAGACTGGTGAGAGCCGTGCGGTCCGACATGAACAACTGCGACAGCGCCAAAGTGCTGACACGCGAGGGCCAAAAGCCCTGGAATGTCACTGCGTTTTCGCACCACGTTTGGATGAGAATATCCAGCCCAGATCGACCCTCCACGTTCATAGATTCCAACAAATCCAGCACCGTGTCGCGCTGGTTGTTTATGAGAAAAGCAAAGGGAATGATAAGACTCTGCCTGTCTGTGAGCACAATCTTTCATAAGCTAAAAAATGCCGGACCTGGAGGAACGTAGCAGTTTTCGCTGTCAACATGCGGGTAATCATAGCCTGCAAGAGCTCCGGCAGCACAGGCAGCACGGATTCACCGGCTCTGCGAAGCAAGTGAATGATCAGATCCCCGATGACCAATCCGCCCGATTCATCCCGGCTCTGCAGCGCATTGGCAATCACACCGAAGACACTGTCAAGACCACTACGACCTGAGTCGGACCAGGAGAGCAGTTGTTTACAATCTTTGCGAATCACCAGGGTCAAGCATGAGATACCGTGCTACAAGAGCATCAGAGTCGGACCTGGAGCGGGAAATGTGGCGTACCTGGAGCACATCTCGATCTTCAGCCTCAGCTATAGACTTGAATAGCGCAGGTGCTAGCACAGCAAAGAATCCATCGCCGAGCTTTCCCTGCTGGGCACCGGTGATAAGGCTGCTAACCAGTTCGATTGCGGAAGCCGTGATCCAGGACTGCTCGAGAGGGGTGGAGCTAATCGCCGAGCATAAGATGGGCAGAGCTTGCTTGACCACCGTCGGGTAAATTCCTTCTGCCGAGGACGCCGCCAACGACGTCAAGATGTTATCCACATTCGACAAAAAGATCGGATCTTCGTTGTTCTTGGTCCAAACTTCGAGAATGACAGCGACTAATGCGCTTGCCACATCGGTAGTGATCCAAGAGCCCTTGTCGATGGAAACAACAACGGAAAGCGTTTCGAGAACAAGAGAAAGAGTGTCTTCTGATGTTGCCAGAAGGAACGGGCCAAGATCCTTGGCTATTCTCGAAGCGAAGGGTGCGAGCGTGAACCCATCTCCACCCTGGAAGAAACTGAGAGAAAATGAGCAGGAGTTTCCGAACAGAGCGATGAACCAACTTGTATATTGCGCGGACCGCAGAGATCTTCACCGGCACGCTTGCTTCGCTGGCCTCGACGACTTGGACGGCAGCATCTACATATTGACCCGCCAGCTGAGCAGGTAAGAGCGTAGAGTACTGGCTCGCAAATACAAACCCGCGACCCTGGAGGAATGGAAACTCTATGGGACTATCAGTAATGGGCAGTGACCGTCGACTTGTTTCTGTTACCCGAGAGAGTCAATATAGAGGGAACAACATTGCTGAGGAGATATTCGATGTCGATAGGTTTGGGGCGTTCGGCGTCTTGCTCATCCTCCACGCATTCTTGGACAGCCTCCGATTGCGATCCAATAGCGGCAAGCCCAGCTTCTAAAGGTTTCCACCTTGAATGAATGCAGTCAGACGAGGGAGCTGATGCAAGCGGAATATGGCAATATCTCACCAGCCTTTTCTACCGCCCTCTCGCCCCTGCTGGGAAGCAGTGATGATCTGCTCTATCGTAACTTGAAAAGCGTTCACTGTCCGGACTTGCGTAGCGTCGATCAAGGACTGGATCACTGTCAGTGATTGTGATGGATGCGACGTAGAGAAAACTCACGGAAAGAAGATCAAAGCCAGCGACTCGGACACTATAAGCCTGAGTTTGGTCATCCTCCTGGGCGACAAAGGCATTTGGGTCCGAAGCCCAATTTTCCTCCTTGAAGGGAATGAGATGGCGTGTCCAATGGGATCTCAAGCGAACTCACATCCTCGCAAGTCATCTGTAAGTAGTTGAAGACAGCACCAACGAAGGCCTCCAGATTCTGGCTTGCAAACCAAGCCTTGGCCCTGCTGCCTCGGCTGACAGCACCGGCGAAGTCGAAAATAGGACAGATAAGTTGTGGCAATCCGACAGCCTCATTGTCGGAAGAGCGAGGAGCAGAATCGTTCCCAGTCAGATAGTACTGAGAGAAGGTACCGAAGAGAGAACGGAGGTGGTTCAGTGACAGCGAGAGGAAATCATCGAGATGTGGGGTAAGAGCTTTCTGGAAGGAAGTGTGAATGGTATCAAGCGTCTGAGCGACGATCAGAAGAAGGGCAGCTTTGGATACCTACTCTACGCACCTTGAACACTTGGATGCGAACGGTTAGCGCATCCCAATCCTGAGCATTTGATATTTCGGCCTGAGGGTCGCTGCTCAATAAGACTTTGAAGGCTTCGAGCCAAGTGGGAAGAAAAGTCGAGATAGCGCCTTTCACAGCTTGGGGGTGCTGTCCCTTGACCATGTACAATGCAGTCACACATTGTCTGAACACCGAAACAGTTCGTGCACGGGTGAGGGAAGAGTGTGTCTTGTCTGCGTCAGGAGGCACTCGATTTGCAGAGCTAGTCACGCACCTGCGGAGCTCCCAAGATGGACAGCAACACAGGGAGTAGGTCACGGAGAACAGGTAATATCTGTGCCTCTGACAGCTCCGATTTGATGAATTCCGTGAAGACTTGCATGGACCCATGGACGGAGTCTGAGGATCCTGACGAGATCAGGCCAATGAGGGCAGGAAGTAGGTCTGGGTATTCATCCGGCCAGTCCGAGCTCGCGATCGAGGAGAGAACATGGGCCTAAAGAGATGAGCGAGATTAGCGGATGACACATGTCCATGATACTTGAGACGCACGCAGAGACTCCTGATTTTGCGATCTGGATCCGACAGGCCTGAAAACACTACTTGACGAATCTGAGCCTTGATCTACAGAAGCGCTGATCAGTCAGTAGATCATCGAGAATAGGAGAGCTAATACCTCAGCCGGGGGCTCGCTACCCTTGAACGTCGAAAAGTATTTCGACCAGTGCTCCGTCACGTATTTGCGCAGCATGATGCTCGCGGAGTGCTAGGCGGAGAAAAAGTCATCAAGACGCGTTTAAAGCTGCAGAACGCGCAGGACTCATCTGCCTAAGGGAAATCTCTTCATTTTTCGCAGAGACGAGAGAGGAAAGCGCTAGTCCCGCGTCTATTGAACGCGACGAGAGGAAGGGAGAGTTATTGATCGTGGACTAGGGAGGAAGAGTGCGGGTGACGCGCCTGGCAGAGTGAGAAATTGAGCCAGGCTGAGCTCCGACGAGATTCGGATATTCGGGTCGGCATTGAGGGTCCCCTGCAGGAACTGGACGAGTTGGGTGGTGGACGCCATATCGAAGGGGAATCTGCCCACGTGCTTTCGGTCCAGATCAGCACAGCCACTTGACTCTCCCTCGGCTCTCACGGTCAACCAGATACAGCAGAAGATAATAAGAGCTGGTTCCAAGATAACGACCCTTCCGAAGCTTCAAAAACATGGAATTATCTGATAGTCTGCTACAAGCCTTGCAAACGACGAATGCCGACAGACCGTACTAATCTTCCTTCATCCTCCACTCCCGGCCCCGCAGCCAGCGGACTGCCGTCTCCTGTGGCCAGATCCACCAAGACTTGGCCCAATGATAGAGCAGGCGAATGCATACTTGGCATAGCCTTTGCGATGACACGGGATGTTGACCATAGCATACGCTTGGGCAAGCTCGCCGCCTGGTACGTCTCGGGAACCGGGTCAACGAAGCCGGGGCGGACATTGAATATACGGAGTGAGCTTAGTGAAGGTTCCGATGGGAGCTGACGCAAAGCGCGTTCTGTTCGTCCTTTGATCTTTCCGAACAGCGTCGATGCTTTCTCAGCTTGGTCAGCGCTACACGAGATCAGCGCGAATGCCAACGACCCGCGGGACAAAACACACCCTTCACCAGATACATAGACGAAGTTGAACTTGTTCGACAGCGTTGCGAACGCTTTTGCGGCAGCCAGTGGATAGTCGTATGTTATCTTGATGTATTCACTGTAAATCGGGTGTTTCAAAAATCATCGTGTGAGTGGCGTCGTTTGTGCCCACTCTTTCGAGACTTGTGTCTGGCTGATTCCCTGAGCCCAGATGCAGCCATCGGCATCCTTGAGTTCTTCAGTCAGAGAAACTGGATACGAATTGAAGTCTTTGTGGACGATGATTTTGGCTTTGGAAGAGTCCAGGCCATCCCCTTCTGGCAAAGAAAATTCTCGTCGGGATAAGATAGAGAGACGAGTAACTTTTGAAGATGCCAAACAAGTCCGGAGGGTGGCGTGTCCAACGGTACCGGTTGCGCCAGTGAGTATGATATGCATTGCGGGGCTAAAGAGCTTGAAGGTCACGGTGGATGTATATTTGCAGAACGGCCATTCGGCAGTGTCTTAAGGCAAGTGATATATCTCGTAAGCTTGATGAGTTCTGCCACGCGTTGACTCGGCAAACGATTGGCAAACGTCGATGGCGGATGAGACGCGCATGCGCACGGCAACTATGCTCATCCCGGACCGAAGAAACGCGCGAGAAATCTTCCAAAATAGTGCTATCGGTGAGCTGGAAATACAATGGTCATCAGTAGTAATAGTACAGGAAAGTAATGTTTGACACGTGATCGTGTTTACTTCTCAGGAAGTCCAATTCGGCGTTTTCCGAGACACAGTGACTTGTCGTGCAAAGTTCCATCATCACTGTGTGCGCGGACTGTGCCCAGTCGAAAGTCGCGAAGACTCCCAGCGGCCAAACGATCGCATTTGATTCTCAAACACCAGTGATCCAGGGCATTATGGATATCAATGCCAATAATGAGACTGCGTCTCTGGCCGCATCGAGTGGCCACCCTGCACGAGCAATCAAGAAACGGAAGCTGGAAAGCGTAGAGACTGTCCAAATCGCGAAACGTATGCGGAAATACAAGGCCGGTCGCCTCGCTCTCCTTCTCTCAATCCCGATGGATGTTATCTTTGAGGTAACATCAAGCAAGTTCACTTCTCTTGCGCAACGCGCTGAGGCCTTTTCTCATGCAGATTTTCGGCCATCTCCATCCTCACGATCTGCTGCGCTTAGCTCGGACATCTAGAGAATTGCGAGGCATACTCATGCACAGGAGCTCCGTTACGGTATGGCGCGCCGCCATTAGCAATGTTCCAGGTCTCCCCGGACCACGTCCAGGGATGAATGAGCCTCAGTGGACTGATTTTGTCTTCAATACGACCTGTCAGGTGCGCATCAGAATCTCTCATTTTCTTTTTTCTGGCCTCATCGCTGTCGCACAGGTCTGCTCAAAAGTGGCTCGCAAGGTAACCATTCCCTTCTCGTGCTCTCTGCAATGACACCTGACAAGCAAAGATTGATTGGGCCCTCTTTGTCCGTATATGTTCCAAATGTGCCGGGCCAACGCAGGCGTGAGTGCTCCGATTGAGCCCTCTTTGTCTGTCTCATGCGTCTAGATTGGGCATGCGTGTATCTGGTTTGGGTTGTTTCCCCAAAACGGATGTACTCCTTCAAGATGTAGCCCCATCTCGCCGTGATTATACTCGCAAGTCGGCCATATCAATATCTTTGAATCATCAATTCACTTTTTGTAATACAGGGCATGCGAACCTCGTTTTCTTTCGCCCTTATATCATGGATATTGTGACACGGTACTTGGCTTTGGAAACCGAGGAAGCCAAGGAGGCCTTCATCAGCGAACAGACCCAGCTTGTCAAGGACTTGAAGCAGGTGCGATTGCTGTCCACGCTTCTTCCGATGCTGACGACTTCAGCACTCGATTTTGTGTGAAGCATGGTCTCGGGGGATAGCCGACAACCGGTCGCAAGAGCTGACCGCGCGCAAGGACCACCGCTACAATGCCATCGTCGATCGGCTCACCGCTTTGGGTTGGGGCTTTGAGATTACAAGCCTCGAGTCTCGTGACGATTTGAGAACGCATAAACTTGTGAAAGGTACAAATCCACTGACCGACCGCGGTACGAGCCTGTTCCGTCCTGCGTTGGCCGTAGCTGATGGGACATAGGATGGCTTAGCATCAAGGTGGAGCTCGTGCAGTACATGGAAGCCATGAAGACAAAGCGAATCGCAAAAGAGCGTGCTGCTCTCATTCTCGTTCGTAAAGGCGTCGCGAACAATGTGCTACGCAACTACAAGCGATCGCAACTACCCTGGACTGAGGTCATGCCTAGTGCTGGAGACTTTCATCGTTTAACCCAAATCGAAGACATCCTCAATCACCCGACCGAGATCGGCGTTGATGAAAAATCCTTTGACGTTTTGCTGCCCGAGTTTCCTGCAATGTTTGCGACCTGGCGGGAGCGATTAGAAACCGAGATGGTGGCTCTCTTTCGGAAACGGAATCGGACTGACTCGAGCAGCAAAAGTGACCAAGAAGTTTCGGATACACTGAGGCTTGCAACAACAGTTTTCCACTGCAATTCCTGCGGCAGTGGCTCAGCACTCCCACTCTTCTGGCCCCGTGTTCTCGGCCATCGCTGTCTGACGGGCTCATCTCTGTCCAGTATGCCCTACTTCCTCTCGCTGCTGTCAAACGGCCTGTCCGATGATCGCACGCTGTGGCACACATCGTCGCTCATGATGCATAAACGCGCGCCCTCTGTCATTCGACTGTTGGTCGCTCTGTGCGGAAAGGATCCCGACGTGACTACTGTGGAAGAGATGGACGCTTCCTCTGCTAGATTCGCTTGTCATCATTGTGCCCTTAGAAAGGTCGCAGACGTAGATCCCAGCGCCGAAGCAGGCCCCAGCAGCAGACCCGGCCAGAAGCAGATTGTGTTAGGTCCTTCGGCGCAGACGGTGGCGCCCAGTTCGCACTCCATCGCAGAAGTACGGGCGTTCGACTGGCGCAATGCGCTGAAACATGACCTGAAAGAACACAGTGCATTCGAAGGCGCATGGTACCGATTGGATGACGCTGATTCTGCCGTCGCTCGCAGTCTCGAGGTCGAAGTCACCGAGCTGGCTGTGATTACCATTGATGGAACAGATCCGAGCGAGACGGAATCGATTGCTACTGTGTCACAGCTGCCTCGGTCACTCTGGTGCTGCGCACATTGCATTGATGTCAACGGGATCCCAGAGTCGCGAACGATGGAGGAGACGGAATTGACGTATCACCTAACTCAAGAACACGACATCACTCATGATCTTGTGTTGAACGAGGACTACTACTGCAATCTGGCTTGTCCGGAGGTGCCTGGTATCGACAACCAACGACCGAGGCTTCGAATCACCATGCCTCCTGGACCGCCGACTCGTGCTCTTCAGTCGTGGGAGCGGTGCGACATCGATCCAGGGTTGTTTTGGCCCAGCTTCCTCGACACGTTCTACTCCGATGATGAAGCAGAGATGATGCGAGACATTTACGGGAGCGACTGGGACGAAGACGAAGACGACTTCTACTTTTGAAAGACCGTCAAAACCCAGTAAAAAGCTGTAAGATACGTCCATTAAGTAATCGGCTACTACATTATAATACAATCCTTGTCCTTGCCTCCTTTAGCCGGGCTGTCGTCTGGGCCGCGCTGCAGCATGCCCCCTGGCCCAACAGGCGATGTCAACGGGGTGTTCGGTGTCTTAAGCCGCTGGATCGCTCGCTTGTCCCCCAGCTCCGCTGCCCGCTTGAAGTAGCTCATCGATTCGCGCGGATTCGGCTGCGTTCCAATGCCGACCTCCAGAAAGTAACCGCAAGCATACATCGCCTTGGCCAGGCCCGCGTCCGCAGCTTTCTGTGCCCAGAGAAAAGCCTCCGTATCCGACTGCGGAAGCACACCAGGCGATCCCACAAGATACCACGCCGTCAGTGCAAAGCAGGCGTCCCGATGGTTTTGTTGGGCAGCGATGTTCTGCGGCGTTAGTGAGAATGAGAAAAGGAGTCCTGTTTCAAAACCGACAACGCACGTAGTAGTGAATCGACAAAGCCGGATCCTGCGGACATCCCATCTTCCCGTACTCGTAGCACTCGCCCAACCGATACGCACTGGGCGCGTAGCCAAGTTCTGCTGCCTGCGCCAGAAGCTCTGTAGAATACTCGTAGTCGACAAACAGCACGTTGTCGATCCCACGTTCATGGAGGAGCGCCAGCTCGTGGAGTGCGTGCGGGAACTCGGCAGTGGCGTGCTCCGCGCTGCGCTTGAGCCATTTGACGCCCTCTTTGGGGCTCTTGCTGAGGCCCAGCTCGCCATTGAGCTCTGCAATGCCCAGGCGGTACATCGCACCGGGATGCAGTGCGGCCGCAGCCTTGCGGAAGAACTGCAGCGCCTTGGCCGCTTCCCGCCGACAGCCCCACCCGTTCTCGCAGCAGGTCCCCGCGCGGTACGCAGCGTCCGGATGCCCGTGCTTCGCGGCCAGCACGAACAGGGGGTACGCGCGGTCAAAGTCCTGCTTGTTCTTGACGGTCCCTATTCCGTTCGCGAAGCAGTCGGCGAGGAAGTACTGCGACGCGGGATGTCCGCGGTCTGCTAGCCGCTTGAGCAGCGAGGTCGCCTCGCGGATGAGCTCCTCGCGCTTCTCCGTCGCGCGCTCCACCTCTAAGAGATTGCCGGGCTCGGATGCGGGTATCGGTAACGACTTGGAGGCGTCGATCATGAACACGGCGAACTCGAACTGGAGCTCGGGGTCTTGTGTCTTTTTCGCATTGGCGCGGTAGAGCTCGAGGGTGCGTTGGTGGGACAAAAGGGATGCTTGGTTGCCCGGTCGCAGGTGAGAGTGGTCCAATATCGGACCTGGTGGGGGCGAGGGGTTGCGTACAGACTGGGTGGCAACGGATCCAACGGGATAGCCGTCAGCGTATGTGGAAGGCGCATTGTTTCGTTGGTAAAAGTCGTCCTGCTCGTCGTCTGGATCGGAATATTGTTGTTGTTCGTAACGGCCGTCGTCGTACTCCTGCTCGTACTGCTCGGAATGCACCATCGGGGGAGGCCCACCCATCGACGCGCGGCCTGACAATGAGGGAGGCCCTGCTGAGGGAGGTCGTTGAGCATGAGGGTTGTACATGGTGGTCCTGTCCAGGGATGTGTCGGACCGAGGCCGGACAGCGAAATTCCCGGGGTGTGGTTTAGAACGATGGCGCCTTTTCTCGCGATGCTCGGCAGTTGGGTGTGGCATATATTACTATTCCTTGGATGGTTCCTGGGAGTACAATGTACATATAGCCTCCCTTTTACTGTAACAACGACCAGGGATTTCTTGCACCATTGCATCATCGTCTCCATCGACATCATCGGCATAGGCTCGGCCGCGACATACCGCACGTCATTAGTTCCAGGAGAGCAGAGCAGCCCAACAGCAGTTCACCTGGAAACATGCACTTACCGTTAGGGACACCACGCTCAGCCCACGAACTCAATATGCTTTGTGGGGATCTTACTCCGCGGGTAAGCACTAAACACCGCACAGCTGTCGAGCTTGAGGCAGTTCCGACGGCGAGGAGGTCTTATTTAGAGACACTGGCACGATCAGGAAGTGATCTGATTGTGTACCGACTGCGATTGTAGTCATTGGCAGTGCGACACGATGCCCCTGCAAAGGGTCGATGAAAGCTGCCAGGCAAAACAAGAGATATGATTGATTGCTCCCGCTCAGGCGCCCTGGGATTCTCTTCGGCCAAAGTGAAATCACTGCCTGCCCAAGAAACTGGTTGTAACACCCCTCAGGGTACTCGAGTGCCTTTGAGCAGTGAGAAAGGAGTCTGTGGCCGGGTAAACGTCGGCGTAATGCCGTTTCACAACTCGCATCCGGAGGTGACCAGGCTTCGAGCCAAGCGATCGCCTCTCTTTGCCTGCTGATGTCACGAACCGACATCAGTCACCGAAGGCAGTCTATCCAAAAGTTGAGTCTGATACTGCACAAGGGTCGGCTGAATTGGCTCATGTTCGCAAGATGATGCTGGCCCTTCCTCAGTCATGCTCGAAGAACAACACAATCACAGTCTCGCACTGCCGCCGATTTGACTTCGAAGTTTCTCAGGTTCGCGTTGTAGCTTGACTTGGCGATGGCTTGCGATGCGTCTGACGTCGAGTCTTACTGCAGCCGCTGCGAGCATTTGGACAACAGCAATGGAGCGAAGACACGGACTGGCACGATATCCAGAATGAGCGATCCGAGCGACTGAGAGCAGTGGACTTGCAAAGAGACGGGAAGCTGTCCACCGCGACGCGAAAAAAAAGCTGCCGACGTCGTTCTTTCTGCTCCCGGCACATTCATACCGTTATGGCCAATGATCAGGAAAAGGAAAGATCGTGACCATTCGCACGGACTTGAACGTCAAGTTGTTCAGATCTCCTGGCTTGTGTCACGCAACCCGAAAAGACTCACACAATGATTCTCGAAAAATAGCTGATGCTGCCTATCACAGGGTCAAGACGAAGAGGACCCGGTTCCACGAATCTCGCACCGATGCGTTCACCAATGTCGCCGGATATGCAGGTCCCGATTTACGACGACAGCGAACAGCAGGAAACCCGGGCACACTCGGCTGTTCTAAACGGGACATGAGTTACAAAACCAATCAAGATCACGGGATATCTGCATACAATATCGACGGAGGCGCGATCTGCTCACAAGTTCCTCGGCCAAAGTCAGCGATACGTCCGTCCGGCTTCGGAGGCTCAATCGCAGATGAGCATGTTTAGATCACACGGGATCTTTACCGAATGTATGCACTATGTCTAAGTCACCATGAGCGGCTATAGGTAACTAGTCGTACCTGACGACGTATTCAGTATTAGAACAAGAACAGGTTCCGTACCCAGCTCTGGCTCAGGTCCCACCAGCGTCAATTGATCGGTGCGAGTTCCTTGTCAACATTGCCTGCATATAGGCCTCGCCAATTGCCTAAATGACCTAATGCGTGGAAACCCGCAACGTTAGTTATCAGTAACAATGGGGTTCTCGACTCGGACAATGTCAGTTCAGGGAGCACCTCTGAACATCAGTCTGGCTCCAAGCCTGGAACATAGGTGCCGAATAGGGTTGGTAATAGCGGGAATTACACTTTGCCATAGCAATGTCTGGCAAACGAGATCCTAAACAGTGCATCGCTCAAAACACAAACCGAAGATATATGCGTGAGAAGATTGTCACTCATGAGCCAAGTTTAGTCGCCCCCAAAGTCTTGGAAAGATCTATTCGAGGGGTGAAGGTCAAAGCACTCAATATGAGAATGGTGGCAAGTCATAATGATGTCCATGAAGAGAGCAAGATATCAGTGGCAGTGCCACAGTGATCTCGCGACTTCACGGCCGCGCCCACCTCACATCAAACTTGCCTGCGCAGCAGGCCGCTCTCCTTAAGAACCTCATCGAGACGTCTCAGGGAATAAGCGCATCCCTGAATCCGTATACGATATGCAATCCCTGCGTACCAGACGAGATGCCCCGACAGGAAAGTCTCAGCGACAGCCAGCTCGCACCCCACGGCCCAATGGCGGAGCCACACCCCGTCGCGACGCGCGCAAGTCCCGCGTCGACGACAAGATCAAGAAACGGATGTCGATGCGCTACGCGGATATCTCGAGTCCCGGTGACCTTGGGATACCTTCTATGCCCCCCATCCCCGCGCTTCCGGGAAGGACGGCAGGGAGCAGGGAGCAGGATGAAGTGGTGATGGATCGGGGGCGTGAACGGGAGGACCGCGGTGCCGACGATAAGAAGCTCTTGGATAAGGATGATTTTGACCCGGATATCTGTGTGTGCCTTTTGGCTTTCGTGAGGGTGTGCGGCGTGTGTTGATTCCGGACAGTCCTCAAATTGAAGCTTGCAAACTCTACCGAATACGAGCTGAAGTCTCTCCAGTCATCGCTGCGAAATACGAAGGATGATACCGCTTCCGAGTTGCAGCGGAATGTGTTCAAGAAGTGAGGTCTCACTCCGAGATTCTGATCACGCAGGCTGATACGATTGCAGTTATGCGGAATTCGTGCTCATCTCGAAAGAGATCTCGACTCTGGAGAACGAAGTGCTCGAGTTGAAAGAATCCCTGTCCGAATACAAGTCGATGCCCTCCCTACTCAACATCCCCGATCCGACGGCCACAACTTCCGCCGGCCTCTCATCCTACCGTCGTTCCTCCGTCGCTGACTTGCGTATCATGTACTTCAATCAGATGCAGACCCTGCACTCACAAATCGAGGGCTCAGCCAAATTCGCACCGACCACACCAGGCCGACACGTTGTTGCCGAGTTCGAGAACGTGATTGGCCTCAATGCTGCGACATATAAGGCGACTGGGAAGGTCAAGTTTGTGGTGCTGGACGATGCTGTTCTCGTGGCCCGAAGACGCCGGCGGGGTGGTGACGGCGGTACCTTGCGCGAAGGAAAGCTCGTAGCGGAGCGCTGCTGGCCTTTGAACGACATGCTCGTTCTTGACACCAAGGACTCGCCGAGTATGACGAACGTCTTGAAGATTCGACAGGGAAAGGAGACCCATGTCTATCGCACCGAGACACCCGGGGAGAAGAAGGCTTTGCTGACCCAGTTTCGCTTGGTCGCAGAAGAACTTGCCGCCAAGAAACGCAAGGAACGCGAGGGCGAGCATGAGCGACGGAAAAGCATGTGGAACGGTGGTCCAACGGGCGACTCGGATCGGCCTCCGTTGCCTGATTGGATGGCAGATCTCGCGCGGAGAGCGGGGGACACCGAACAAGTCAGCGATGCGAAGGAAAAGGCCGAACGAGATGGGCGATGGGCGACCGAATGGGCAGACAATCTCACTGTGTCTATTGCCCTGCGTGAATGGGAAAAAGCGACAGAGCTGGTCGAGTCAGGTATGGCGTGTGCGCTTTTTGGAGATCATCGTGAACTCAAATTCAATAGGCAAATCCCAGCTCGCGACGAACACTCTGCTCGCCTCGAAACTTCCTCCGCTCACAGCGCAGCTGACGTCTGCTCTGTTGGGGTCGCTAGCCTCCCCGACCAATCGCAAGAGCTCTGTGGTTTCTCTGATCTCGCTGTTGCTTCGGCTCAACGCCGGGCCTGCTGCTCGCACAGCGTTCCTCAAAATGCGCACAGCAGTGATGCAAAGTCACGTGCGGCGGATCCGATTCGAGGGACATGTTGGTGCATACGTCGGGGATCTGGCTGTCGTGTACTTCACCGGTATCAAACACACTGCGGACTGGTTCTTGGCCAGCTTTAAAGAGAACGAAGTCGCGAGTGGTGAGTGATCATAGTAACTCGATGATCATCCATTGATGCTTCGCAAGCGTTCATTGACTGGGCCAAAACTCAGATCGAAGATTACGGGGAACTGTTTAGGACTCAGGTCTATTCGTCGGATGTGGATCCCAAGGTCGTTGACGAGGCCATGACCATCACATATGCCCAGAGCAAGAAGGTGATCATTTCTTTTCGTTCACTTGAACGCTCAACTCATGAAGCTATTGCAAAGCTCTTGCAAGAATACGGCCTCGACTTCCGCTTCCTCTTCAATGATGTGCTGTCGGAAAATCCCAAAGGCAATATCCTCGTCCCCACGAATTTCACGCTGCAAGGCCATCAAGTGACCAAAGCCCCGCGTCATGCCCCACCGGCCCTCACCCTTTCGGCGTCTAGCTCTAGCAGCAGAGATTTGAAGGTCAACGTCACACCGCCTCTCCCGAGCGCACCGCCCACCGCGAGCAGCCCCATGTTCAGCCCATCCCCGCCTCTGTCTTCCAGCGGATCCCGTGAACCACTCACTGCGACCCGGAGTGCTTTCAGAATCGCGCCTGTGCCACGTGCTAGCTCACCGGCTTTCTCCGAACCGCCGGTCGCGTCTCCCGCCCCCCGGCGTACTCGCTCGCCGCTGCCGACCGGTGGCGGGCCGCGATCACAGACGCCGTCGGGAACACGTGAGCGGCCGATGCGATCCCGTGCCAGTCCTGCGCCCAGTGCTGGGCCGCCACCGCGTAGCTCGAATCGGCCTGGGAGTGGGATGACGCCTCCTCGTGTTCCGTCTGCTGCCGTTCCCCAGCGAGAGGGCATGTTTTAGGCCGGAGAATTTTTGTAGGATACCCTGGAATGTCCTTTTTCAAGAAGTATATTGAGGTGGATGCCGGGATTTGGGACTGAGAGATCTTTTCTCAGATCGTCCGATCCGTCTCCTTTTTCGTCGATGAAGATGGGCTCCTTAAATTCTGCATCGGGGCAGTCGCCAGTTTCGACACGAGATAGACGTGTGCAATCGGCGGAAAGCGGCGCTCGTCATTATTCTCGTGTGGCTCATCCTGATTGTAGGGCGGCCTTCTAAAGCAGCACTTGCTCTTGAAAGATCGCTTTGATTACCGTGAACATGTGGCTAAGACATAAAACATCCAGCTGAAAGAGGAAGCGATCCGCAAAGCTGCTGTAGCGCTTGTGGACTCGAGCGCAGTCCCTACAAATGACAAATGTATCACGCCAACATTGATGGAGTGCACTTCGGTGCGGCTGTTTGAGTGTGTCAAATGGCGCCTGGTTTGAGTCTACCCTTGTACCGCCTCTCCCTCCGTCTATATATATACCTTTCACGCGTGATCATCTCGTCGCATGACTTCCTTATGCTGAGAATGATCCTTCAATTGGCACTCAAAGGTATTACGAATCTATCAATCCCAGGCTGTCTGTTGTGTCCGTTGATTACGCCGGTATATACGGACTGTGAGACGCATCCGAGAAGTCGCAGATATCCCGTTCAGCGATCACGTGATGTGCTCGAAGCACGTGTAATCTCGTCAATATCGCACCTTCGTTTACTCGATCTCACATGCCATCACAGAGAACACATTCCGATTTCCAGACTCGTCTCCTGTCATCTAGAAATAATGTGCGAGTGCGGTTTAGGCCGGGCAACCGTGTCATATGACACAGGCAACACCAGGAAGCTTCTGATTCTAGCCTTCTCTCGAGCTGCTCCATTCGAGCACGAACATATCACCTCATTTGGAACTGGGCTTCATAGGCGACGCGACACGACCCTGACCGACATCTACCGTCCAACATGACCGGTCTCCCTGCTACCAGGAAATCAATTGGCATTCGTCAAGTGCGTGACCGAATTCCCCCAAGATTTTGTGTACAGCTGAGCTGATCGATCGTGTCTTCAAAGCCTGGTGATATAGATGTCCTCGAGGCGTGTCCGCATAGATATGTAAACACAGGATCTGTCTCTCACGAGGCGGTCATCCACAGCTTCTTGAATTCCCTCTGGAACCAGCACCTGCGGAGATCGTCGTTAAGGTGCCATCATTGTCGATCCGGCCTGCTCAATCCTGACATGCGTTTACGCAGGCGGAATATCTAGGCATCAATTTCATCGATACAGTCCGTTAACGGGCATCTCTTTCGACAGCTCCGGTCGACTGACGATCGTCCACACAGTACTTTCGAAAAGGCCTGTACCCGTTGAAGCAACTTCCCTCTGGAATCGGCTCCGAGGTTGCAGGGACTATCGTTGCCTTACCGACTTCCTCCGATGTGCAAGAGGACCCGGAGTATAAGGCGCGCGGCTTCAAGATCGGAGACAGAGTCGTTTCAGTGAGCGCTCTGACTGTCCGATTGGGTCTGCTGCTCAGCATCCGAATACAGAGCGGAAGAATCACAGGTGGACACTCGGATTACGCGACTGTCAACTGGCGGGCCGTTTTGGTTCTCCCGCCGAATATCTCTACGCGCGATGCTGCGGCTGCTTCCTCCCAAGGTCTCACGGCGCTGACGTTCATCGAGGAAGCATACAAAGTCAAGAAGGGCGACGTCATCCTCGTGCATACCGTAGCTGGTGGCTTGGGACTGCTTTTCGCTCAACTGATCAAACACCGAGGCGCCACGGTCATCGGGACGACCTCGACCAAGGAGAAGGCCGAACTCGCCAAGGCCAATGGCGCCGATCACGTGATTTTGTACAAGGACGAAGACACGGTGAAACGCGTATTGGAGCTGACCGATGGGCAGGGCGTGGACGCCGTTTTCGATGGTGTCGGGAAGGACACGTTCGACAGCAATTTTGTGATGCTCAAGCGCAAGGGAACATTGGTCTCGGTCGGCAATGCATCGGGTGCCGTTCCGCCTATGGCACCTCTGCGATTGGTCGAGAAAAATCTCAAACTGGTTCGACCCATGTAACTCATCCACGGCCGTGTCTCAAAGAAAGAACGCTGACTGGCGATTTAGGGTGGGTAACTATATCTTCACTGCTGAAGAGGTGCGCACTTTGACGACCTTGATGGTTGATCTGACAGCTTCGCAAAGATCAAGCATTACACGGGAGAACTGTTCAGGCTACTCTCGAGCGGAGAGTTGAAGATCCAGATTTTCAAAGAGTATCCATTTTCTGCAGACGGAGCAAAGCAGGCACACAGAGATCTTACTGGTGGGAAGACCACGGGAAAGCTGCTGATTAAAGTTGAATAACCACAAATCTTATGGACACTGCTTGGAAGACAAATGATCCATCTTAAGCCTTAGGGCAAGTAGAAAAGGTGCTATCATTTGGGAATGCTATAAGCGTTACAAGTCTATGAATGGATGGATAGATAGATAGATTAACCGGAGTGTTGTCTTTGTCTCCTATAAAGATATTATCTATATGTGGGTAGGTCAAAATCCGTCAGATTTTTATGGTATCAAACAGTTGTCTTGCAATGGTATGAAAGATAGATTAGTTTGTTAAGAACCAAACTTGGATTTTCATGCGGTTTTTGCAGAGTACTTGGGGGTTCCTGTCGTGTCACTGATCACACTTGTCCGTTGTCTTTGTCTTTCGTAGACTAATAGTCTGGCACGACTACAAATGATTGGGCCAGTATCACGAGATCGGGATTAAAGCGGAACATGTGCCAAACCTGGTACCCGAAAAGTCGTAAGTTGCGACTTTTCGATCCCACATCTCGTCACCCTGGGAAGTCTAGAAACGTTCCTGGCCGCCTACGAGGTACCACTAGCTCGTCGGGCACCATGTGATATGGCCGAGGCGATATGAGAAAGCAGTTCATATTCTGGCCCGTCGTCTCGGGCGGCTTCAGTCCAACTGGAGTGTATTACCTCATCTGAAACTGCCCTTTATAGGCGACGCGCAACGGCCTTGACCGTTATCTCTCGTCCACCATGACTGGTCTGCCAGCTACGAGGAAATCCATCGGCATTCGCCAAGTACGTAACGGTCTCGACGGACTCGGAGCGTTACAGCTGATTTGTTCGCGCCTGCAAAGCCTGGCGATGTAGATGTCCTCGAGGTTTGTTCCCATAAGTATGGAAATGCCTGGTCCATCGCTCACAAGGTGGTCATTCACAGCTTCTTGAATTCCCTCTGGAACCAGCGCCTGCGGAGATCGTCGTTAAGGTGCCATCATCTGCCAGTCGACCTTCTCAATCTTGACATGCGTGTCTTAGGCGGAATATCTAGGCATCAATTTCATTGACACAGTCTGTCAAACTGGTACCTCCTTCGATGATCCTGATCGATTGACGAGTGCCCGCACAGTACTATCGGAAAGGCTTGTACCCACTGAAGCAGCTGCCCACCGGAATCGGTTCCGAGGTCGCAGGGACCATCGTCGCTTTGCCAACTTCCTCCGATGTGCTGGACGACCCGGAATACAAGGCGCGCGGATTCAAGATCGGAGACAGAGTCGTTTGTGTGAGTGTGTCGACCGTCCGATCGAGACTGTTCCTCAGCTTGCACACTCAGAGTGGAGGCGTTTTCGGTGTGCATACGGATTATGCGAGCATCAGATGGCGCGCCGTTGTGGTTCTCCCTCCGAATGTCTCGACGCGAGACGCTGCGGCTGCTTCCTCCCAAGGTCTCACGGTGTTAACATTCATCGAAGAAGCATACAAAGTCAAGAAGGGCGACGTCATCCTCGTGCATACTGTCGCTGGCGGCCTGGGACTGCTTTTCGCGCAGATGATCAAACGCCGCGGCGCCACGGTCATCGGGACTACTTCGACCAAAGAGAAGGCCGAGCTCGCCAAGGCCAATGGCGCCGACCACGTTATATTATACAAGGACGAAGACACGGTGAAACGGGTATTGGAGCTGACCGATGGGCAGGGCGTGGACGCTGTTTTCGACGGTGTCGGGAAGGACACGTTCGACAGCAACTTTGTGATGCTCAAGCGCAAAGGGACATTGGTCTCGGTCGGCAATGCATCTGGGGCCGTTCCGCCTATGGCACCTTTACGATTGGTCGAGAAGAACCTCAAGCTGCTGAGACCGACGTAAGTTATCCATCAGCCTTGTCTCGAGGAAAATAATGCTGACTTATGATGCAGTGTGGGCAACTATCTTGTCACTACGGAAGAAGTAAGCACTCTGATGGCTCAGTGGTTGCTGGATCTGACGGCTTTGCAAAGATCGAGCACTACACGGGAGAACTGTTTAAATTGCTTTCAAGCGGAGAGTTGAAGATCCAGATCTACAAAGACTATCCATTCTCAGCTGAAGGAGCCAAGCAGGCACAGAGAGATTTGACCGGGGGGAAAACCACGGGAAAGCTGCTGATCAAGGTCGAATAATCATGAATTGTATGAATACTGCAACTAGGACATGAACTGGGTCTTTTACCTCTATCGTTTACCCGGAATCGCCCCGTCGAAGCCAGTCGACGTGCAGATGATTGCCGCAGCAGTTGTGATCAAATGCTGAAAGACGCGTGTCGTCACACCTGTGACTTCACCGAAAGTTTCCTGAACGCGCTCAAAATGCCCTCGTCGACTACTGCGACTAAAAGCGGCGGAAAACTTCAAACTTCTTCACCTCTCGTGAAGAAGCAGCGCACGGGGTCCAAGCCGGGAGCCAAGCCTACTGATTCATCTCAGGATTCGACACAATCTGTCAAAAGTGTGAAAACGAAGGTCCGCTATGCCTTGAACGCAATCACTTGTGCGCATGCTGACTGGGGAGCTAGTTCAAGCTTTCTTTGCTCCCTTCTCTCTCTCTCGATGTCTTGTTCGAGGTCCGTCGCGTTTAGCCGCGTCGTAGTGTGACGCTAGTTTTGCCAACCGCGTTCTTGTCACCAGATTTTTGGGCACCTTCACCCATTGGATATACTGAACCTCTCGCGTCTGACTCGCGCGTTTCGTGGAATGCGTGAGATTTTTTTTCACTTGTGTTCTACCAAGCCCGTCCCTCAATTGTTTGGCAGTGATGCGCCGGTCTGCGACGTCGATATGGAAGGCTGCACTTCGAGAAGTCGGGGGGCTGCCTCCATGTCCACCCGATATGAGCTTCCCCTTCTACGTGAATCTTATGTTCAGCCAACATTGTCACGTATGCCCTCCTCGTGCAATGCTCGCCCGCTGCTCACGATTCGTTCTCGATACCAGAACTGTCTTACTGCGCGAGTGCAGCGTGTCGACTATGTTCTCCGTGTTCGACTGTGCGAAGCCTGCATCAGAACTCCTGGGGTGTAAGGCGGGACACGTCCCATTGCCGGTGCTCCATTGACCCGGCTTGTTCAGGCTGGACACGGACAACGATTTGAACATGGAGGCAAATGCAACAGATCAAGCGATTCTCGCTTGCGTAGCTTTTAGCAGCGCGTTCCGCATTCCTAAGAGTAAGTTCTGTGTCGTGCTGACACCATCAAGCTCATGTCTTGCAGAGAAGGGTCTCTGCTGTCTGCCCCAGGAGAGGAAAGCTTTCGTCTCAGGACTGGGGCTCCGGCACACCGCAGCTGAACGTTCGGCTTACGTGGATGATCGCGAACAAGCTTTGCAATCCCGCAAACATTTTGCGATTGCTTGTGAACAGTGGGCCGAGTCGATGTCGCATCAACGCTGGGACCAGTTGCAAGGCATTCGTGATCAACGGCGAACTGAGTGAGTGACTGCCTCTCTCTGCGCCCTTGCATCAATTTGAGACGGTGGCAGCATCTCTGAGAAACTGGCCAGCTTGGGCTTCACTGAGGAATTGGAATACGCTGAAGGCATCAACTATCTCACTCTGCCTCCGTTGGACCAATTCGCAGATCATCCAGACGTGAAAGTCAATAAACCACTCACCGATCGTGGTACGTCGCATCCGTCCTCTGTTCCATCCGGCAAGACCCGACCATTTGTAGCTTGGAAAACAATCGAGCCGCGTGTTGTTGCGTACATGGAAAAAGTGCGCACTCACCGTTTGGATGCCGAACGTCTCCAGGTCGTCCGCAAGCGGGAGGAGATGGCAGTGGAAGCCTGGGCTGCTTTTCGCTCGCAGAGTCCTGCCGAAAGACTGCTGCCCTCGGGCATCGAGATCATTTCGTGGCCGATCGTCAAGGATGTCCTTGAGCTTCCCTCGTCAATACCTATGCAGACTGACGAGATCGTTTGTCGGGAAGAGTCATCGGAAATTACCGCTATCACTCCCGGGACGTTCACGCGCATCTTTTCGTCGTCCTCTGGCCTGATCGACGACTGGGCGTCGGACAAACTAGAAAAGCTCAATCGCCTCAATGTCGCTGTCAAGTACGACTTTGTCCGGGGCTATGGTCGCGTCCTGAGCACGGCTCTAGATGATCTCCAACTTGCAATCAGCGTTTTCAGCTGCGAAGACAAATGTGCACTGCACTATTTTCTCCCGCCCTACGACGCTGGCGCCTATCCAGTGATGTGGTACCCCGAGTGCTTGCACCATCCTTGTAACACAGCAACTATCCGACGGCCGCGCGCCGAGGAGGATCTCCCAGAGAATCCGCTCTACAAGGCCAGCGATGGGTTCTTTGGGCGACGGAGAAGAACATGGACGTGCAAGAATCTGTTCCTCAACGAAAAGGCATCGAAGGCGGTTGAACGCCTGCTAGACGCCTGCAGCTTGAGCAGATATACGACCACGGCGAAGCTGGATGAGCTGGATGAGCGATTCATCTGTCTCAAGTGCAGCTTTGGAACCAAATGCGACGGACAGATGCCTAGATTGGTCATGTCGTGGCGCATGGCGGTGCGTCGATTGTCTCTCTCCTAGTTATCTTTGGTGATTTTCGAAACTCTGCCAGGTACAGCACTGCATGAAAGTCCATTGGGGAGACGGATCAGTCAATTGGGAACGTTTGTCCGAGGAAAGCACCCGAGAAGCCAGGTCCCTCTCCGCGGCCAAAGCAGTCATACAAGAAAAGTTCTGGCGATGTGCGTTATGTCGGTTCTCTCCTGGCGAACGGTCTAGTTGGGCCAGCCCGGACGATGTCAAACAGCACATCGCAAGGCAAGTGATCTCGGTCGCCTAAGGGCCAAGGCTGATGCTGCCTGCAGTGTTCACAACAGGGTTCCGATGGAATCCCATTTTTACAGAGCGGTCGACCTGCCCCCGGCAACGGTCCCGAACGTCCGGATGGTTCCAAAGCCCAGAAAAACAGTCGATCCCGCTGCATAGAGATAAGAAATGGATGCATTGTCTGTCAATTTACACAATCTGTTCCAGTTCACGAGCATATAGTAGCGACGAAGAGATGATCTTCTCTTTAGGGATATCGATCGACTCTTCCTCTTTCTTCACGAATGATATTGTCGCCTGATTCAGATTGACTTGCCATCCGCGCTGCGCAGAGGATAAGAAGAGCAGACACACGAGCGGAATTGCGAACCTGTTGCGCGAAGGCTAGTAATTCGGACTGAGAGGTGAAGAAGAGTAATGTGGCGGCGTCTTTTAGAGGTAGACTCTCGTACGCGGCCTCTTCACAGCTGGCGATCTCGTTCCTGTACAACATTTGAATGAGATTGGAATGCGAATTCAGCCGAATGGTACGCACCGGATGGTGCCCATCAGGCTATCGACAAAGTAGCCGTATTCGGCAGCCGGTGCCTCTGCGCGAGCTCCCCAAACCTTGGCATAGCTGCCCTCCATCAGCCAACGCTCCAGATTGACAGGGTGTGCGATAAACGGGCTCTCGAGAGCTGCGGGTGGTAGACTTTCCAAAGCGGTGTGGAAGTCTGCGATTCGGTTTTGCGTGAGAAGTCGGATGAGGTATAATCCTCGAATGGCATATTCGTGTTGTGAGTGTGGAAGTGTCCTATTCATCGACACTCAACAAAGCTGTCTTGAGATCCAAGAAATAAGGACGCACGAATAATCCGTGTAGAATGTTTGAAGTTGGGAGAAATAGCGGTCGAACGAAGGAACATCTTGTGTGCGAATACTCCAGAACGCGCCGATCTCCAAAATTTCCCCTGGGTGAGTGATAATGAGAGTTTCATCGGGGACGGAACAAGACCTACTAGCAACCACGAGGTCATTAGGATTCGTCACATCTCCCTGAGGTAACAGAAGACCACTTTGGATCAGACCAAGCTGCAAGAATGCTTGGATTAGTGTTCGTTGCTCGCCCAGACGCAGCTGATCCACCTTCAGTTTCGTCAGCAAGCCGCCACACTTTGCGAGATCTGGAGGTTGCTTGGAGAATGCTGCCTTGAGATCTTTGTATGCCGACTCCATTGTAGAACGAGAACGAGAATGAGAAAGTAAGTACCAGCAGGCGACGCGCGTGCCATCGTCGGCACGTGACACGTCAAAGTTGTATCCCACCAGCCTCCGGGAATAACACATCAATCTGTCTGCTTTCGTCTCGCGCTCTGCTGCACTCGCCATGTCTGAAGTCCCCGCCCCGGCCCCGGTCATCATGGAGGGCGTTGTCGCACCTCAGGAAATACCGCCCGCTTCTGCTCCCGCTGCTGCACCCCAAGAGCCTGAAGAGCCCGAATACACCTCCGAGACGTTATATATTCAGAACTTGAACGAAAAGATTAAGATTGATGGTATGCGTCCAGCCTCATCCTGTACGACCTATCATCAATGCCTCCTCAACCCCATAGTTATCAAGAAGTCTTTGCGCGGCTTGTTCAAATCTTATGGCGAGGTGCTCGATGTCGTTGCGCACAGCAACTTGCGTATGCGTGGGCAGGCATTCGTTTCCTTTGACTCTACGGAAGCCGCAAAGAAGGCGTTGAAGGAGGTTAGAGGGTTCCCGTTATACTCGAAACCCATGGTCAGCCCTCGTTCAGTCACTCAGATGCTCCTTCTGACGACCCACAGCAAATTTCCTTCGCACGCACACGTTCAGACGCGGTGGTGAAGAAGCTGGACGCAGACAATTACGATCAACACAAAACGCGAAGGGATGAGCATAAGAGTGCGTGACTTGGGCTGCACCGCGCCTCGTTGGTTCTCATGTATTGTCCCAGAGGCTACACGTTACACAAACCCTCTCAAACAGAAACTCAAGGCAAAGCGCACGGCTACAGATGGTGGGCTAGGCCTTTCGGTGTTAATCTTCTATGTGTCTCAATATCCCTCTAGTCGATGGTGCTGCTGCAGCTCCAGCCCCGAAGCGGCCAAATGTACAGATGCCAGACGAATACCTGCCACCAAACAAGATTCTTTTCTTGCAAAATCTCCCGGAGACAGTCACCAAAGACCAACTTATGGCGTTGTTCTCTCAGTGCGTCAAATCCACGGCTCGATTGTATTCCTGTTTCCTGATAAGCTGCTCAGGTATCCCAACTTGTACGAAGTTCGTCTCATCCCGACGAAGAAGGATATTGCCTTCGTCGAGTTTATGGACGAGACAAGTTCGGCTACGGCGAAGGATGCGCTACACAACTACAAATTGGACGGAGAAAACAAGATCAAGGTGCGTGGGTTTCTGCCGCTTCTGCACTACATTGACATCCACCCTTCTAGATTACATTCGCAAGAAAATAAGATCTTTTCCCCACTTGTTGTACATTCTTGTCTTTTGTATTTCTATTCTCTGCGGCCTGGCAGTGACTGTCTTTAGCGCCACTGTCCTCCACCGATAAGCCCAACAGCATCGAACGCTGATTGATCGGGATTGAATACATTCGACAGCGTGGGAATACGGACACGTGCCTCCTCTATCTGTAGCATCTCAGGCACGCCTCTGTAGTCGAAATCGTCAAATACTTACTCAGGATCTCGTAGGGATGATGATTCAGCTAGGAATGGAGATCTCGCGAGAATAAGCCACGAACATCCAAGCCAAAGACTTGGGCGAGACGGTGACAGAACGAAGCTGACAAGACGGGCTTATGTGCTAACGGTCTCAGATCTGGTATCCAACATCGATGCGATTTTTCTAGAAAGCTACAGAGGTAGCCCACTCATTTTTCTACAATCGAAGCGGCCCCCTCGTGGAGTCCGCCAGTCAGACTGGCCGCTTTAGGCTATTCGATTTCCTTTTGAGGAAGGTTAACCGTTAACACAATCATGCCAAGAACAGGGGGCTGTGCCCCGCTTTCCTCCTCATACCACGATGTCAAGAGCTCCCGCAGAGAGAGTCAAGCGTCGAAGACTGCCTGGCTCGTGTGATGCATGCAGACAGCGCAAAGGTTGGTGTCCACCCTCTGAAACCCACCTCAATGGTGACTGATTTGGCATCACTCTAGTTCGATGTGAGCAGACGCGACTGCGCATTACTGCGGAGGAATTTTGACTCCACTATGATCTAGGCGACAGCTCAGTCATGCCCGGGAACATCTGCTCGAATTGCATGACCCTCGGGATCCAGTGTACACGAGTGCACCATGATACTACGATTGAGCAACAGGCAAGTAACATGGCTCCACGTTTACGAATCGTCCTGATGTTCGGCGTTTGGCGTTGAAAGTACGGTGATCCGAGCATGGTCCTCCCCAGAGTAGATCCTCATGTCCAGGGCCCCAAAATCTCACTGATTCCTTTCCAGGTCAAGCGGCAACGAGCTGCTCGGGACCATGTAGCCACAGTGGTCCTGGAAGGCACCCAACACCTCCAGGACGATGAACTGCGGCGCATTCTACAGGAAGTGTGCAACTACAGCCGATCTCTAGAAAATGAACTGATCAGTATGCGCCCTGGTTCTTCTGTACCCACCGGAGATCCACTGCCGACTCTTGAGGATGCAGACGACTCCCACGATTCCGAAGAGCATTCGAATGTGATCAATAGGCTACATGCCCTCCGGCTCGACTCGGATACGAATCGCTATTACGGCCAATCTGCCTTCATTTCGCTGGTAGGCACTGCCGTCGGTCTCAAAGAGACTCTTCTCGACGGGCAATCAGACTCACCACGCTCTGCGTCGACTGTTTCACCTGGACCCACAGGTAGAAGAATGGTTTTTTGGGAAAGTCCCGTAGGTTCCATCTTGGCTTTCGTGTCTTGTTCTCAACTCGCGCAGTGGGAAGTCTTGCATATCAATATGGAAGTCCAATATCGTCAACTGGCAATTCTGGACTTTCCCGAACCGGATCTGCTCGCGACTCTCGTGACAGCCTACTTCACCCATTTCAATCCCTGTCTCCCAGTACTGCATCGAAAAATATTCGAAGCTACTCTTGCCACGGGCCGTCACCTTGTCGACCCTCAGTTCGGCTCTACAGTGCTTGGGGTCTGTGCTCTAGGATCCAAATACTGTGATGATCCCAGAGTGATTCTTGAGGGCACGAACTCGACTTTGAGTGCCGGTTTCAGATATTATCGGCAATTGAAGCCTGTAGTTACATTCCATACCCGGCTGATCACCCTGTATGAAGCCCAAACCCTTTGTGTGAGTCCAGTTCAACCGAATGGGATTGAGACTGATTTTTTCGCGATAGTTGTACATGCTATATTTACAAGGGTCATCCCAGCAAAGGGGCTGCTGGGCTCTTGCAGGAATGGGAATGCGGTCCCTTGTGGCCGTTGGCGCGCATCGGAGAAACAGATTTAGTGATAAACGCGAAGAGGAACAGTGGAAGTTTGTATTCTGTGTGTCTTGCGTTGTCTACATCGGGCTTCTCGCTCAAGATCTCATGTGTACAGGGATTATGCTTGCCGTAGACCGAATATCTAGCTGGAGTACCGATAGACCAGTCGCCATCTCATCAGAGGAGTCCGTACGTTTCTTTGTTCAAGGTGCCCTTGGATCTCACGCGGACAACAGCTGCGACGTGGAATATCCATTATATTCATCTGAGCAGGATTTTGACGAGATATCTCCCACAGAGAATTCGAATCCTCCGTTCATGTCTTATTTCGTAGCTTATCTCAAGCTTATCGATATTATTGGACTAGCGAAGTCCAAGATCGTGCGTGATATCTTTTTTTGGGCTGGGATCTGCTCTCTCTGAACCAGTATCCCGTAGAACTCGACACCCAAGAAAGACACGATGCGTCTTCAAGCTGTAGTTGCTGATATCGAGTGCGTGCCTCTTTACGCTGCGTCGAGCTCGAATTTTTTGTTGATTTTCTTGCAGTTCCGCTCTGAATGCGTGGATGGATGCCGTACCGGAACATTGTGCGTATGTTCGTTATCTTCAGAGCATTTTCTGACGGATGATGTCAGTGCGATGGAATCCATACATGGAAAACCCGCTGTTTCTAACACAAAGCGCCATTTTGCATGCTCAGTTCCATCACAGTGCGTCGGTGTCTCTCTAACGATGCCCTACCTAGTAATTTATCAGAACACAGTCCAAATACACATACATCGAATCTTTATTGTGTATTCTGGCCATCAGTCTTCTCAGATGTCTCTGAACTCGAGCGCCTCATTGGCGATATGTGCTAATTCGGCACGGGCATGCACACATATCATGGCCGCTGCCATCAACCGGGGATCAAAATTCCACTCGCATATCTTGGTGAGTGTGTCATGTACACCAAGTTCCAAAACTCGAATGAGTGAAATTTCGAACAGACACCAGTGTTCTATTCGGCCATCATTCTCCTCGTGCACATCTGGGTGGGCCGGTCAACGGGTATGAAAGTCGACCTTGCGAAAAACGTCAAGGACGTCGAGACTTGCCTGCTCATTTTACAAGCAAATGAGGGTCGATGGCAGACAGCTGGCCGACTTCGGTGCGGGACTGTGTCACATGACTGGTTGAGAATCTCTTTGACGAGAATGCACCTTTTTCATCCGACAGGGATATCATCCTAGAAGTAATGCATGCCGCGCAACTTGATCTCAGCCAGAATGGCGAAGATTCTCGAAAGCGGTCGCGTGGGGGAGAGGATCATGACGAGTTCTTCACCGGATATCACGAAAACCCTCAGTCTGTTGAAGCAAGCGTAGAAGGGCCGAAAGACGGAAGCGAAGCATCATGTTCGTGTTTTTTGAATTACCTTCCCTGGCGAGAAACAATCGACTCAGCTGTCCTCGTAGCCTGGCAGCCCGGCCAGCACTTCGACAACTTCTTCGCAGATCCCGAGTAAGTCAATTGAAATTTATACGTATGCTAAAACTCTGAGACGTCTATTTTGTAGGTGGAATGAGTGGGGAGGGTATATGAATTTGGATGCGTTGTTGCACATGTTTGACTCTGGATCGTTTAGATCAGAGTCCGAAGCGTATGATCCTAGTTTCGAGATACCTCAAAGTGGCACAGGCCCATAGAATGTCACTATTCACGCGCGAGTACTGATCGCGGGAGAATGGTCTCGCATACAGTGCAACGACGACGGTCCAGTACAGTCATGTAACTTACACATCGAGATCAAGAACCGTCCCACGTGACCGCGTAGTTTCTTTGACAGTGACACCGCGTGCTAGTCTCCCTAAGGCATCCGCTGCGATTCAGCGCGCTCGTGCCTCACAGGCTGATCTGGCGTCTGCTTTTTGATGGGGGGTGCTTGTCAATGGGTGTTTTTGCCATCACTATGTACATCACGTGGGCCGCCGATATCACCAAACAGCGGGTTAATTACACGCGTCGAAAGCCTCTACACACACTTATTCAGACACGTTACTACTCGTCGAATCGCTGTTGGATGGCTTTTAAGTAATTCGGGTATCTTATTCGTATACAAATCGGGCTCAGTAGCCTTGCTGCCAATTGGGCAAAGTCACAGTGCGATCGGTCACAGCTCAAATTTCAAATGCTCCTTCCCACTGAAGCACCATCCCTGTCCGCATCCTCGATCCCTCCTGCGTTCGACTGGAGAACTCGACATGCATTCCGATGGTTTGAAGCAGACCAAGGCTTCCCGAAGCTCCGGAGCAGAGTGCGCCAATTTGTCGACTTCGAGCTTGACAACTTTCAGGTCGAATGCGCAGCGCGATTGCTGGATGGGCAGGATGTACTCTGCATCAATGCGACGGGTGCAGGAAAATCGGCACTGATTTATATCCCTCTGATGGTTCGGGACGGCACGATGTCGATAGTGGTCTCCCCGACCAATTGTCTACAACGGGACATGGTAAGTCTCTATCTTGTATCTCGCGGAAAGCTGACCCGACTAATGAAATGTTATTCAGGCTCGCGGGATGCAGAAGAAGGGTATCACATGCCTTGCTATCAATAGTGAGACGCTCACCGCAGCGCTGCTCATGGAGCCCCCTCGAGATCTCTGGGCAATGGCCAGATCGGGGCTGTATCGTCTTGTATGCTTGGGACCGGAGACCTTGAAGTCGTCACAGTTTGATGAATTCATACTCGATGGAAATGTACGGGCTAGACTTGGTCTGTTTGCCGTGGACGAGCTGCATCTCGGGGACGAATGGGGGGCAGACTTCCGGCCGGACTTTCGTGTGATTGCGTCCATGAATGCTCGGTGCCCAGAGCACACCACACACCTAGGGCTGTCAGCAAGTATCGAACCAGGTCGCCAACTGCGTGCTTGTATCAGGCTTATGGGACTTCGCCCTGGCTATCACATCGAAAAGAAGGACTGTGAACGACACACCATTTCCTTGTTCATGCGACCTATCAAATATACAACGTCGGGACTTGTCTTTCGCGATCTTGATTGGCTGGTCCCTCAGGAACTTGACAGACCATCGGATGTGCCCAAGCGACTGGTCTTCGTGCAATCGATTGAGCAAGGGCATCGAGTCGTCTTGTACCTCCGCACGTTACTTCCCCGACATCTAAAGCCCATGGCAAAGACTATCATCCGACACCATCACTCTCTCGCATGTCCGGACTGTAAAGTCGAGAGCATGAATATGCTGTACGAGTCTGGAGAGGACAGGAACTGTCTGATTCATGTCTCGACTGATGTGCTCACCGTTGGGGTTGACATCCCTGCTCTATCCGATGTTGTCATCTTCGGGAAGATTGGCAGCCTCTCAACCCTTGTGCAACGCGCAGGGAGGCCAGCGAGAGAGAGGGGATCGACTGGTTGTGCGTACGTGTATGTTGCCAAGTCGGACTTGAACGAGGCCCAAAGTTACATTGCGTCGGAGGAGGGAAAGCGGGATCACCGAACCTTGAAGATTAAAGATACAACATCGCATGTGGAAGAAGTCCATATGGGAGAGGGTTCTAACAGGAGAAGTTCTGCCTCACACACTCAGCAGGTCGACGGAAATGTGGAACAAGATGGTGGAGAAGAGCAGGATGATCAGTGTGTCGAGGGCAGAACTGATCCCATCATCCCATCCCATCCTACCTCTTGCCTCTCTGCCACGCTGGCCGATAAACCAACACACACGAAATCCAAAGTCATTGACAGAGCGTCCAGTACTTCTCTCCTCCTAGTCTTTGCGGCATATCTGACCCACCGCTGCATCAGCCGTCAACTGAATATGATTTACGACAATCCTGGTGTGAACAAGGACTGCGGACGATGTAGCTCATGTGTTGGCGATTTGATTCCAAAACCTCGGAATCTAGACTCGGAGAATCTCATGCCTCTGCGTGCTCAGCATCTAGACATGCACAACAAAGCCTACAGCAGTATCACGAAGCTGCCGGGCTGGATGAGACTGCTTGGTCGGGATCTCAAAGTGCTCAGGGTCAAAATTCTGGCCGCCGCAAGACGGATTCAGTGGGCTAGCTCAAGGTCGGATTACATGTTCGTCAGTGCATGCATCTTTTTGCCGCCGACTGTCATGGAGCGGATCGTAACACCTGAATTCTTGTTGCTGGATTCCAAGGAAGCATTTCTGGCTGCTGTCGGTGACTGGAAGAGTGCGGAAAAGTGTGGAGATGCGATGTGGGAAACGGTACAACAACTGGTTTGTGAAATCGGACAGCAGCTCAAAGTTCGACACGAAGCCTCTCTAGAGAAACAGCGAGCCGCCCGAATCCATAAATCCCTGGTGTGTCTTGGCTTGGACAAGATCAAAAGAGTGCGGTTAGTTGTCCAAGACGATCCAGCTCATCAGCCCTCCGAGCGGCTTGTTCGTAGTTCGGACTCAGGGGTTTCCGAATCTGTCATACCAGCTGCCCAGGAGCCTGGCCCTGTCCCACCGGAGTTGTTCTATGCAGGTGTGGCAAAGCGTAAAGCTGTGACACAGACGGGATCTCGGAAACGGATAAGAATGGTATGAGAACTCATCTTCTCGCTACTCGACGGTCCGCTGATTGCATCCAGGATAAAGAGAACACAAAACCTGATCCGAGTACACTGCACAAGCCAAAGACAGCTCGTGATAGGAACAGTAACATCTAATTCATTACAATATCCAAATCTGATTCGGAATCTGTGTCTGAGGAATCATATCCGGTGCAATGTAGCATACCGTTGATGACTACATTTGGCAACGGAACCCGACAATCCATCTCCTGTGCCCAGTCCACTCTGTCATCTTCGTTTTCGTGCAGATCGGTTGCTTCTGCCATAGTCCTCTGCACGAAGTCCCTCACCTTGCCACCCTCCAATTTGAGAAATCCAGCCTCAAAATCGTCTTGAGTTTTGTAACCGTAGTCGCGTCCAGGACGAAACTTATGCAACTGCCTTTCAGCCATAGCGCGTGTCAATTCCTTCAATGCAGCTTCTTTCTTCTGTCTCTTGTGCTTCCCTCCTGTCTTTCTTAGCCCTAGAGCGCTCTTCATCATGTCATTAGCTTTCCCAAAAGCCTGAATGTTGTACGACACAACATCCTGATAGAACCTTCCTCCGAACGAAGCATCACCACGTTCCGCAGCTTTCTTCAGCAAGCGAATATTGTGCTCTTGTAGCTGATCCATTGGAAAGTAGCCGCCACGATGAGGGGTGAAGGTGCAAAGCCAATTGTCCAAGATGACATTCCGAAGATCGTGGGAATACTCGTATTCAAAGTTGCACGCAATCTCGAGCAGTTCATTGGAATATTTGTTTTTCCCGCTGCCAGTGAATGTGAATGTCCATACCTAGCAGATGTCAGATCTAATCCAGATGTTCTATATTCATTTAGAAAGAACGGACCGCCATCACATTCATTGCTCGGCCAATGTCACCGTCTGACACCGCATGCTGGAACTCGTAGTGAAGCATGCTGTCGCGCATTCGAATAATGGTGTTTGCAAGTACAGCGTCACCAGTTTCATCAAGCACAGACAGGTTCCCGACAGATTGAGGGGTCCAACGATCTCCAACCTCAAAACTGTGCTCCTTCCATCCAAAACGGGCCTTTTCCGACGATTCGACACTGAAATATGTATGTGTTAGTTGTTGTGACAGCCTGAAGAGATCTTCGAAGTTGAAAGATCCGACAGCGAAGTGTGCTGAGAGATTGTCGGTTCGTAGTAAAACTCTGCAAACGTCTCAGAACGCATTTCACGAGCAACAGCTAATAAGCGTACTTCCAGCAGTCAATCACTTCTGCTCTCAGCGTGTCGAAGATGAAATTTTGTGTTGGGTAATAGTCGGGGCGCTTGATGTTCTTGATTTTGCGCTTGAGGATGGTGTTGATAAAGTAATATGAGGACATGTCACCAGTTTCCGCACTGGTGTAAGTCTGTCCCCAATGCGTCGAGAGAATACGTTCCAAATCCGCCCAACCCATGTGCCAGAGCTGAATCAGTGGCAGGACCCATCCATATCGGGAGTAGCCATGCGGGCAATCATCAAGAAACCGTTGAAGAGTGCGAATCTTCTCCACCGTTGATTGATCGCCACCCACAATAACGAGAAGGCTGTCAACTTCGGTTTTGTCCATCCCAAGCTGGCGTAAAATCAGGTCATCAAGCACGTCTCGGTTGCCTTGTGTCGTCCCTTCATTGTGGCTGGAGGTAGCAAGCGGATGCATGACCGTGACGTGCTCATCGGGCATACGATGCTGCGCATGGGATGTGCGGAACCGGAGATTGATCTGCGCTTGGTGGCCGTGAAGTACAGGGGCTTCCGCAATGAGAAATGTCAGGCAGTGAAGGGCAATTAGAGCGTTCAGCTCCTCCATGTTGAGGCGATTCATGAGCACATCTGTAGTGAGCCGCCTTCGTAACCCGGCTTCTCGCGCTTCTCTCAATGGGGCTGGATCGAACGCCGTCTGGACATTGCAAGGCACCAGCTCAATCAGCATTGAAGCCGCACCACTCTGCATCACATCATGCTGCCCCAGGTCAGGATCGATCACTCGCCGCATGCGATTGATGTTGTCGTAGATGAGCAGAAACGCGCGTTGTTGGGCCTTGATCCGTATCGCCTTCTGTGTCGAGCGAGAGAGTGATCGCAGTGTGTCCAAGATCGTTGTGTACGAAGATGAAAGGCCGATCCGACTGAGCACAGCAAAGATTGAGGCTGACGCATTATTGGCAAAAAGCCATATGCCGAACATCTTCCTGAGGAATGAAAACCGTATATTCCGTGCATAAAGCAACATCAGGAACACTATAACAATGATCTAGCAGGGTGTAGACATCAGAGTGAGACTAACGGCTGAGGACATGAGAGAAGACAAACCACATAAGGGTCACGCCGATTCTCCCCCGATCCCGCTTCTGACTCCCTTGAAAAGTGCTCAGCGTACGTTGTGGAGCGTCGAGTCCTGTTGTCCAAGGCAGTTGCTGCTAGCAGGCGTAGAATAACTGCCCCGCCGCTTTCTAGACTTGCGATCGTTGTAGCCAGCGAGAAGTTGTCGATGAAATCCAAGTCAATTTCCTCTGAGACACGACGGAACGGACTGTCTTTTCCCGAGAGATCCTGCGCAGCGGTAGACACAAAACCCTCCACCTTTGTGATCGCCCATTCCGAGAGTCGGTGGCGAGCCATATTTGTCGCGTCCGGTCGCTTCTTGTCTTTGGATGGCGTCGCACTTTGCCGGATCTCTCTGGGAGCAGCGTCACGGCTGCTGTACATCAGCTCCACAACCTCGTCCGCTGTAGCTCCCTCAAAAGCAGCGCCGCGTAGAAAACCCGACACCATCTGTGCATGGCGAGCTGAGCGCCCACCAGCTTTACGATCCGGATAAGTAAAAAGGTAAGCCAAGAAGGATCCGAGAGTCCATCCGCCACGCTTGACGTGCGAGAGAATGTTGTCGAGACGTCGTTTGGAGGAAACAGGCTCTTCCAGTGGTAGCTTCTTCAGCTCTTCAGCCCAGGTCTCTCCGACTTGTATCGATTGGTCGGAATATGTTGTGAGTACACGCCAGGGAGGTTTAGATGTATAAGAAGCTGCCAATTCGTCCATTGCATTCATGATCAGTACTGCGTATTGCAGTGCGTATGTACCATGTGACTGATGGGTCGGAGTTTGAAATACACCTATTGACAAGCCCTGCGCGTCAGAAAGCAGACGTACGATCAAGGATTTGAGGCACGAAGGTTCTTGTGAGTTTCGTCTGCTTCAAGGAGACTACCGCGTGCCACACCTGTCGCTTTCCCTGCTCGTCTCCTCGTTACTACCTCACCATGAAGCGCGCCCAGAGCATCCGCAACTACGGGCGCCCCTCACTCGCTATAGGTGCCGACGACCTAGGCATTCTGCGCGGGGCCAATGAGACGAACGAAGATGTCTTGAAGCGACAGCTGATCGAACGGGATCGTGAGGTGGACCGAGTGCGTTCGTCGTCCTTCGATCCAGCCCCGCTGCGCTCAACTATCCATACACACAGCTGCAAGCCCTAGTGGATAACCTGCAGGCCCAGCTGGCGCAGCGTCCCCCGCTCGAGACTGTGATGGGGATGGAGGCTGAGCGGAAGAATGTGGAATTCATCCTTCAGGGCATGCAACGCGAGAACGAGCGGTCCATGGCCGAGATAGAACGGTGCGGTGCACACTATATAACATCTACCGATATTGTATCCTGATCACACGCCTTCAGCGGCAAAGCGCGCGAACAGCTGCTGGAACGTGAGCTGAGCAAACTGGTCGGCGAGAATTGGCAGGTCAGCAGCGATCAACCTTGTGGTGTCTTGTGATCTCTAGTTCACCTCGTGGGACAGGAAACACTAGAGTTATCGCCCTCAGGTTCTCCTTCGAATAACACGAGCAAGCCCATAACATCCCTACACCAACGGTCCAAGACCCTGGCGAGCACTCCGTCACCGGTGCTCTCGCACGCACACGCACCAGCGGCTGCAGCTCCACATGTGAATCCACAAGCTACGTTAGCGCATATCGAGCAGGTTCGGATGCTGGTTATGGGAATGGAGAAACGGTTGCAGACGCGGGAGAATAAGCTCGTCAAGAGTGTGGAGCGTGCGGAAAGCGAAGGGCGGCGGTTCGAGCAGCTGAGGAAAGATGTTGCCGCGTCGTGAGGATCGTGTACCGTCACAATTTCTCTTTCCCGTTTTGTCCTTGTAATCCTATATCCACCTTTGTACAACACATCCATATGTATAGACCGCAATATATCGATCACCTCATGGTGCCTCGAACGCATCCCAAACGGGAACGACGCGACCTTTGACGTCGATTTCCACCCAACGCTTGTTCTCGCTGTCGACGTAACCCATCTCGTCGACGTTGCCAAAGGCGCGTTTCCAGCCCATAGCGACTGGAGCGAATTTGCAAATGACAGAACTGAGAAAGTTAGCCTGACGAGGTGGATGATTGTAAGGTAGGACCAACCTGATGGTGCACACCAATGCGTCGGGGATGACCTGCCCATCGTCGGCCCAAGCTCCACTGAGGAGTGCAAAGTCTACCACCATGCCCCGGGTCCATTGGACTCGAGCGATAGGGTCCTTGACGGCCATGAACGTGTTCTGATCATACTCTGAGGGACTCGCCAGCTTCCTCAACTCGGGTCTTTCGCTGAGAGCCAGAGAATATGCTCGGTCCGGCGCGAATCCATCGGCCAACTGTTTCAGCGCATCCGGGCTGTCGGATGCAACGAAAACAAACGGCTGGATCAGGTTGTCCGCGTGTGTCGACGTTGGCAATTCCAAGCCCAAGCGTGTCCAAGCATCAACTGCGGCGGAGATGTAGTCGGGGATCGGGACGTAGCGCCCCATCCCGTATTGCTGCCAGGCGCGATTCCGGTCGCCTCTGCGCGCATGGATGCCGATGTACCCCGCGTGCGGCACCCGTGTGTTGAAATGTTTCACAATTTTGGCATGCAGCTCCTCCCGCGCGTCGTTGACCATCTGTTTCATGTATGCATTCAGCTGGATCGTGTGCTGCAAACTCGTGAATGCGGCATCGAAGATCGGCTTCATGCGGTTCAAGTTGCGGCCGTATCTGTGGCCAGGGTAAGTCATAGTCGGTTCAGATCATGAAAACCAGACTCACGGATCGGTATACTCTTCGTGGAAGTCGTGGCGGAGGTGATATCTGGCTGTGCGCGAATTGATGATCCAATGCCTGGCCGTCCTGGGGCAGGCAACATATTCTGGAATAGGGTTCAGCTCAGCTTTCCTTCACATCGAGCATATGAGCAGACCTTCAGCTGGAGGAGGCCAACATCCTGGCTCAGGACCCGGCTGGCCTATGAGCACATCATCGAAATAATCTGACCACCGGCCTCGGTTCCAGAATTGATCCATGATGAAAAACGTCGCATTGTGCTGTCGGAGGTCAGACTGAATAAGGAAACACACAAGGCATCCCACTCACCGTGCGCGCCAACGTGGCAACCTGTGCGATTAATGCCAAATCAGTCAGCAGCCCTGCCCACCCATCGAGCTGGTATGTCATCGTCCGCCGGCACACGGGCATCTCGTTCGACGGTCGGATGTAATCGGGGGACTCGTCCTTGTGTAGGACGTCGCGCGGTGGTTTGCTCACCCAAAACGGATGCGCGGTCTGAATTTCCGGTGTAATTTTGATGCATTCAGCGCGGTAGTCGAGGGGGTTCAGCGGGAACGTGGAGTAGTTGGCGTACGAAATGAGCTCAATGTTGGGCTCCGCCACGAGATGCGGACGTTCAGCCACCCATGACGGTCGGGGTGCGCTGGCACCGTGATGTGGTGCGGAGGCAGGGGTTGCCGTCGCGCTCGCCTGATGCAAATCCACCTTCACGCTCGTCGCACCTGCTGACGCTGACGTAGTACCAACCACATACTCTTTCAACTTCTCCGGCTCCTTCAATGAAAAGAAGACCAAAACCAGCAGCACCGCGGCGACCGATGAGTACAGCGCCAATGGGAGCCGCGACATGATTACGTCGACGCCGAGACCGAAGACCTTGGCTTTCTTTGCTGGGGAGTGCGCATGTGCGTCGTAATCATCTCCGCGACTTCGGTAGCCATGTTGCGGAGGAAAGCTGTCGCTGGCGGACGACGCTAACAGCGGCGCGTTTTGTTGTTGCGTGGCAGAGCCGTAGTGCACGTCGTCATCGTCATCGTCGATGTCGACCTGTTCCAGTTCATAACCTGAGAAGGATTCTTCTGCCCGTCCTGCGCGCGAGTGAGGGGTCCGTGGAGTGAGTTGAGCATTGTCGAAGCGGCCTGGAACGATGTTTGAGGTAGAATAGAGGGGAGTAGGACGCGACATGGCTGGGACCGGCCAGAGCCAAATTCAGAATAGAAAGGCAATAGTGGCCAGTGGCAGTAAGTAAGTATAGATGGCGGCGACGATCAACAACGTCGTTGACAGACATAACTCGGCGATCATTCATTCGTTTTCTTCGGAGAATAGCAAGAGAACAGTCTGATGTGCACGCAGATGGTCTGAACGAAATTATGGTATTCTCACTAAGGCTGCCTAGGTATAAGAAAGAACATACAACTTTAAGCGTGGCCGACAGTGTTGCCAACGGCGCCCACGGGACCCCCAGCGACACCAGCCGCAATCCCAGGCGCCGCACTAGCAGGCGATCCTCCGACGGGTCCTGGAGCGCTCCCAATCACAGTTGAGCCGGTGCCACCAGCAGTGCCAGGCGCACTGCCGACAGTTGAGCCAACAGTCGCTGGAACGCCTGAGGCCGGGCCGGGAGCAGCCGGCGGTTGGACCGGAGGAGCAGGAGCAGCCGGAGGTTGAGCAGGCGCGGCGGGCGGATGCGCGGGTGGAGCGGGAGCAGCTGGAGGTTGAGCAGGTGGAGCAGGAGCAGCTGGAGGCTGAGCAGGTGGAGCAGGAGCAGCCGGAGGTTGAGCAGGCGCGGCGGGCGGATGCGCGGGCGGAGCGGGAGCAGCTGGAGGCTGAGCAGGCGCAGCGGGTGCAGCGGGTGGGGCAGGGGGTGCAGCGGGAGGCTGAGCTGGAGGAGCGGCCGGCGGAGAAACAGGAGCCTGACGCGAGCCGAAGGCCCGGCGAGAAGTCCATCGACGCATCGGCATAGGCATCGGCAACGCCCGAAGAGCCTTGCTGTTTGCCGTTGCAAGGACACTGTCACCAGCCTTGACTACAGTGTTGACGGCGTTACCGGCGGCATCAGTGACGGGGCCGACAGTGCTGCCGAGCAAACCAGCAGCCTGTCCAGGAGCGCCTGCGACGGGGCCAGGTGGTTGAACTGGAAGACCACCGGCTACGGTACCTGCTGTACCAGCGATCATCGCGGGAGCTCCGCCTGCAGTGCCAATGATAGTGCCGGGAACGCCACCAACAGCACCTGGAGCATTCCCTGTAGCCCCAAGAACCGTGCCGGGAATGGCCCCAGCAGGTGTACCACCGACAGTTCCTACAATGGTGCCCGGAACACCACCAGCAGTGACAGGTGCACCGCCGACGGTGCTCACAACAGTGCCTGGAACATTCCCTGCTGTTCCAAGAACCGTACCAGGTATGGTCCCAGCAATGGCAGGCGCACCGCCTGCAGTCCCCACAACCGTGCCGGGAACACTACTCACAGTCCCAACGACAGCACCAGGTGCAGCACCAGGGCCGCCAGAGGCAACACCAACCACAGTGCCAGGAATACTTCCCACTGCACCAGTGACGATGCCCGCTGGACCAGAAGCCGGGCCAGGCAGAGAAACAGGCAAGTCGCGACGACCAGGAATAGTGCTTGACTGGGCAGACGGGGCGCCCCATGTAGCAGTCGAAGACATCGTGGGTGTCGTTTCTGCAGATCCAGAGCCGGGAGACGAGTCATCCTTTGAGTCACTCGAATTGTCGTTGTTGTTAGACCCAGCATGCGTTGACCATTGAGATCCATTGTTGTTGTTGTCGACGCCGCCGGTCTGATCATTTCCGTCATCTGGATGAGGATGAGCGAAACGGGAGTTGCCGTCATTGCCAGAATCTTGATCCGGATCGTACTCGGCCGCTTGCTGCGCTTGCAGGACCACGATAGCAGCGTTAAGATTCTCAATGGCTTGAGTTACAGAGATTGGGTGGGTTGAGGCTTCAGACATGGACTGTTTGTTGCTCGCCTTGGGCCCGCAATCGGAGATCAAATTGAATAGGGGACAGACGAGGACACCGAGGGGATCAAGCAGACCGCGAGAATCATGTCCGTTTTCCACTGACGGGGAGGGTCAGTATAGTGGATAAATGCGACGCGTCTCAAGCACGCACCACTGAAAGCTCGCGCCATGTTCATTGCTTGATCAACAGTGGGTGCACGCGACACCTGGTCAGATACCATGGATACGGGATGCACACTGGGCGAGCTTGCCATCGCGGCGACATCCGAGTTGGGCGGGTCGCCGGTCGGTGCAGCGAGACAGCTTGAAGTGGACGAGGATATAGCGAGAGTTGCTAGGAGGATTGAAGAGCTGGAAGAGATCTTCATGGTTGAATAGTTTGTAGGGCGAGACGCGCGTGAATGTGGGTGCCTAGATGTTGTGGTGGAGAGAGAAAGAGAGACTCGGGCAGAAAGGTGGTGAGGGGCGAGCTTTTATACGTCAAAACACCCCCTAACAGATCAAACGCGCTATGGTCGTCCTCTTGTTATTTCGAGTAACGTCTCTACTCTCAATGCACGCTATTCATCTCCCACTCCTCTGCTGCCATGCCAAATCGACCCTGCGCGGCCCGACGCCTCATTCGCAACGGGCTGTCGCCAGAGTTCCTTGAAGAAAGTAAGAGATATTCCCAGACATTGCTCAGAGCCTGTCGGGTCGAAGTTCCGAGACACGACGAGAGGAGACACCAAAATAACGCGCAAGTCCTATACAAAGCATGGCCGCGTGTCAAAAATGTCCTGATCTTGGTCAAGGATTGGGAGTTACAAAAGACCGACGAAGAGTAGCATTATGGGGAAGAGAGCAGCCATGTCGGATTCACTGGTTTGCATGAAGTCTGTTTGAGAGCTGAGCGCTGAGGGACAGTGGCGGAGACAGAAACGACTGACTGACGGAGATAAGGATAAGAAGTGTTCGACACGGCGTGACAACAGGCGTCGGCAAACTCTGATATCGTTCCAGGGTCTTGAGCTGGAACGGTTTTGTCTGTTCTGAGTTGCCCTCGAGTGCAGCAGTGATAGAGTTGACGCTAACCTCGACCGAGTTCGTGGTTGTCGCTCCAGTACAGTGGTACCTTCGCACTGATCAATCCTCAGTCCTGGTGTACCGTTGCCTCGGGTCTCACCGACAACTTCTCTCTACAGCCCAGCGACTCTGAATATGAGCGAAAAACGACTCTCCATCTCGAGTACCTCAGTCCGAACGTGTAGCCATCCAGTCAGTAGTCGTACCTTCCCAAGCAAAAGCCCGAGCCGACGCCCACGTTACTCCAGACCGACACAGTGGTAATTGATGTATCCAGGCCCATGGATCCGGAACTCGGGCTTACCCAGGACTCGGATTCAGATCCCTTTCACCTCAAAGCGGCGTTGAAATCGCCGGCAGAGATCGATGAATTGCGACGAAGGAGGAAAGGCAAGCGTTTGGCGGCCTACCAGGACAATCAGAATACTGTGAGTCTCGCATGCGGCGCTCGGCCCGCCGAATGAACCTTAACTCGATTTGAAAGTTGATCGAATATCTTTTGAAACCCATGGAAGAGCATACCCAGGATGCTCGCGCAGAGGAAGATGCTGCCCGCCTTCCGGTCAGTCTGAACAAATCCATCTTATGCCAAGTATAGGATTTAACATTCAGCAGGTCAAGATTGCTGTGTGGGCTAGTCTGGTCGTTAATGCATGTCTTTGCGTTTTACAATGTAACACGCGCGTTTTCACGCGTCTCTAGAATTTCACAAGCTTCGACAGTGTATGCCGCCATCTCTTCTCTCTCGCTTTCGATTCTTGCCACGGCAATTGATGCGGTCTTCGACATCGGGAGCAACATCCTCCTCTTCTGGCTCCACAAGAAGGCTGATGGGCTAGATGAGAACAAATGGCCTGTCGGCGGAGCCCGCCTGGAAACTATTGGAAATATTGTCTATGGTACAGATCTCGCGCTCGTTCGAGATTGTCTTCTGAAATGAATGCTCGCAGGCTCTCTGTTCGTTGTCCTCTCGAGCACGTGCCCATTGCCTGATCTCGATCGCTAGTATGGGCTCTGTTAACCTAGTAGTCATCGTGGAATCAGTCCAGTCGCTGATCACCAAGAAAAACGACAACCTGAAGACATTCTTCCTGCCCTCCATCTTGGCAGTCGCGGCAGCTCTGGGTGAGCAACATCCAGCCACTGTAACTGATCATTTGATGTATGGAAACGCCCTAGCGGCAAAACTCGTTCTGTTCGTGTACTGTTTTTCTCTGAGGAAGAGATCGAGCCAAGTCCATGTCCTTTGGGAGGATCACCGAAACGATTTATTCGTGAATGGCTTCGGTCCGTCCTTTCGTCTTGACGGTCAAGTCTGAAATCTGAGTCCGACCAGGTATATTGATGTCTTGTGGCGGCAGCAAACTACGATGGTGTATGATATCTTGATGTGTCGCCCTGTGCTTGCATCTCACTTTTTGTCCAGACTTGGACCCGATGGGTGCTATCATCGTTAGCCTGGATTCTCTGTCAACTTCATGTTCTCACATCACCACATAGATTGCTCTAGGCGTAATCGTTTCCTGGATACTGACGATCCACGGTCAATTCGAGCTGTTGGCGGGGAAATCAGCGCCGTTTGAGTTTCTTCAACTCCTGGTATACAAGTCCTCGACATTTAGTCCCGAGATCCAGAAGGTCGACACTGTACGAGCTTACCATGTCCGTTTACCTTCCCTTCCGTCCAATTCCGTCTGACTCATGAAAATGAAGAGCGGACCTGTCAGCAGCTGCTCTCAGCCGTACCCTGCACGCTTTCTGACTGACTCGAATCCAGGACTATTTCGTCGAGATTGATATCGTCATGGATGCGAGCACCCCGCTGTCGAAAGCACACGATATCAGCCAAGCACTGCAGGACAAGATTGAAGTTCTCCCGAACGTTGAGAGAGCGTTCGTGCATGTAGATTATGAGACATCACACACCCCGGTGCGTTCCGTTACAGAATCGGGCTCGCACTCTCTGATCATATGTCAGGAGCATCGAAAGACTAGATTATCAGGATAACGATTTTGTCCCTCTGTCTGCAACATAGTTTTATTCAAGCTTGCATTCAGTGTTGTATCAGAACGCCAACGGTTGATCAGACACTATTAGGGGTACCATACCTCACTCAGCTTTCTTCGAGCCACATCTTGCCATCTCCGTTTGCACAACTGCCTTCTATCTGCACGCCCTCTGCGAGGTTTTTCATCTTCATCATTATTTACAACCCTACTGCACATTTTATCGCCATGAGTCCGTTAGTTGTATCACGCTCAAGACGCGACAACACGCCCACATCCTCTGTCTCGCCTATACCACAAGACTCACAAGTCGCTACCTCCGATCCTCATGCAAATACTACACTGTCAAGTGACCCGACAACAATCATAATTTGTCTCGCGTTTCTCGTATTCGTGCTCTGGGTTATCGCCATCTGCCTCTTTGCTCCTGGGATCCACAAAAAGTGGAAAGAACGCCGTGCCAAGAAGCAACAGCAACGCGACGCGAAACTAAAGGCTCAGGCACTCGCCGAGACTCAAAAATTCCGTGGACTTGGATTTGGTTACGAAGGACTGAGCCGGGCCGAGCTAGAACGATTCAGGCAGAAGGAGGAACAGGACGGAGACAGATCATACGTTCGACAGTCGCTCCATCCACCGTCTCTATGCCAAATTCCCATTATCCCTCCTATCACTATCCCAGACAAGATTCAAGTCGAACAGGACGGTGAGGGGGGACAGGAGAAGAACAAGTCAGACTTGGCACACGACAAGAAACTGCTCGCTCCGCTAGACCAGTTCACAGAGATCTCTCTCGACACGTTGCCGGAATACGAGCGGGGCGAGTACCAGAGCAACTGTCTCCCTGACCCAAAAGAGGACTCGGCGTCGATGATCGGAGGAAATTGCAAATGGCGAAATGAAACAGGGCAACATGGGGATGAGTGACATCATCGATGTTGTCGGACACGCTGTACTGCATTTCTGGTCGTTTATTCCGTTCACAAATTCGTATCAAGCTCGAGAAGTAGCACGCGCTGTGAGTGCACATGCGGTTAGCGCGAGATGTCCAAATGAGGAAGCAACCTGGCAAGCGATTCAACGAAGACAAACAATCACCCCGAAAGTCTGACCGCGAGGAGCACTCAATAAATTAAGACGAAACCTTCCCCTTCTCCAATCATATTAGCCGTTTTTTCTCTTCTCATTTCTTCGAGGCTCTCCCGCCGCTCTCCTTGAGTCTCTCTCTCTCTCCACACTTCACTTTCCTCCGAACGGCAACCAGGCCTTTGGATACGAACTTACGACGTGACACGAAGCACGAACTCGCTCTTCACAACCTCATCGCCGACCTAGCTCCCAGTCTGCATCATGGTGGGTCGCTTCCTCGACGAATCGCCCACGATCTGACGCGTCCATCCCACGCAGGAGACCAAAAACCAGGATCCCGAAGAGTTCTACGTCAAGCAAGACCGGATCGGTGCGTCTCCTACGCCGCCAGCCCCGCTTCCCCAGTGCTGACCTTAGCTACTTGAACGATGCAGGAAAGGGCTCGTTCGGAGAGGTTTACAAAGGGTAGGTCATCATCGCGCTCCTATGTTCATCGTCGCTCGAATGCGCGTTTCGCCAGATACGACAAGCGGACGCAGAAGACGGTCGCTATCAAGATCATCGACCTAGAAAGTGCAGAGGACGAGATTGAGGATATCCAGCAGGAGATCCAGATTCTCTCCCAGTTGGACTCGCCACATGTTACCAAGTGCGTTTTAGCTCTCCATTCTCGCCCGTCCTCACCGCAGACCAGATATCATGGCTCCTACCTGAAGGGATCCAATCTATGGATCGTCATGGAGTTTGTCCGAGAGTTCGATGCGCCTCCATTTGACCTGACTGGCCCCGCAGATATTGCTCCGGCGGCTCGTGCTCAGACTTGGTAAGTCAATTTCCTTATTGAGGGCCGCGGGCCACTCTAAACTCTTGCGCAGATGAAACCCGGTGTCTTCCGGGAGGAGTACATCGCTATCATAGTGCGGGAGTTATTGCGGGGCCTGGAGTATTTGCACAGCGAGGGAAAGCTCCATCGGGACATCAAGGGTGCGCTATTGTCACACGCGTACTTCCCGAGATTCTTGCTCATTCTGCTCACAGCTGCCAACATCCTCCTCTCCGCGGGAGGCGAGGTCAAATTGGCCGACTTCGGTGTCTCGGGTCAGCTTTCGGGGACGCTCTCTGCGAAGAAGAACACATTCGTCGGTACACCATATTGGATGTCTCCTGAGGTCATCAAGCAGAGTGGGTATGATCACAAGGCTGATATCTGGAGTCTGGGTATCACCGCAATCGAACTGGCCAAGGGCGAGCCGCCATATGCGGAATTGCATCCCATGAAGGCACGTGCTCCTGTGGTTAACGAACATGTGGATATCTAACCATGGACAGGTACTGTTCCTGATTCCGAAAAACCCACCACCCGTCCTAGAAGGCAATTTCTCGAAACCATTCCGGGAGTTCGTGTCATACTGCCTTCAGCGTGATCCTCGCGATGCAAGTTCCATGCCAAACAGAACGTCTTTCGTGCGCTGATGCACGAGCAGCGGCCATCTGCTCGGGACCTCCTGAAGCACAAATTCGTGCGCATGGCGAAGAAGACAAGCTATCTGACAGAACTGATCGAACGACACGAGCGATGGAAGGCTGAAGGAGGGGACGGTCGTGACGAAGACGACTACCGCGCCGTGCCAGAAGTGTCAGGGTTCATTCCTCTATTTGGGATGGTGACTGACGGATGCTATGTCACAGTCCTGCCAGTGGCGATCCAGAAGATCTCTGGGACTTTGGGACAGTGCGCCATGTTGCAACTGTCGGACGGGCGCAACAGAATCCGGTGCAAGTGTCTGGGCCTCCTCTCACCTGGGAAAACGACGGCAAGAGACGCGCTGAGAACTCATCCGTATCTTCAGGGTCGTCCAGCACGTACCTTTCTTCGAGCTCTTCCATCACGGTCAAGGGCGAGCTTCCGCCCCTGCCGCGACAAGTCGATCAACAGGCCACAGTCCGGCACATGCCATCGGATGGCCGAGGAAGCCACATGCCTGGTCAGCGTCAACCGTCAGACGAGTACGACGAGGATTTCGAAGACGACGAATACGCAGCAGCGCATCTAGCGGACAAGGTCAGCCAAGTGCAGCTCGAGGATGATCTGCCGGACACGACCATGCTGGACTCTGTCATCCTGCCTGCGATCGCGTCGGTGCGTGGCTGTTCTTTTGTTTCAACATTGTTTAAACCTTATCTTGAAAACTTGGACAGCTGTTCCCGCGTGTGTCCTCGCAAGAAGCAAGAGTTGCGCTGAGTGCTCTGCAGCGGGCATTCACGGACGCCGAGAGGATCATCCCTGGGGTGACAATGGAGCTCGTGAACGAGATTGTGGACTCGGTTGAGCATGTCGAAGACGAACGATGATAGCACTCGCATAATTTCCCCACCATCACATACAACAACTCTGCCTGCTTTCTGTATAAGTAATAATCCGATGCATGTCATGAAGGCTGCTGTGTCCGTTTCTTTTTCCCTGTTGTTTTCTTCTTCGTCCGTGTCACAGCAATTGGCTCGGGTGTGTTGGCTCGCACGTCGTCCGCCAGGTCGTATTCCGGGAAAGACGAGATCGTGACTGGTGTGCCTGATCTTGTGACCGTGCGAGACGCCGGTGGGGAAGACACCGGTGGTGGCGTCGCGCCCTGCGGCATTTCACCATTCCGGTCCACGGAAAAGGCCACTGTGGGCGCCGCAGCATGCCTTGCAGAGGAAAGTAACCTGCTTTCGTCTACGATGGAGGTCAGCATCGCCGTCGGCTCGAGGCCAAGATTTTGCTCTTGCCTGGTGGAAGGGCTGGCATGTCATCCAGCCGCACAACCGGGATGGAGTCAATGTCATCGGCGAGCCTACTTGAGCTCGACTGGCCCCGATCTCCATGGATATAGTATGGGTCGTCCTTCTGTCGTTCTCGTCGCTCCGCCGTTCGCTTGAAAGGAGCCGGTAAGGAACCGGAAGCCAATACATCATCGAGACTCACTCTTTCTCGCTCCAACGCCTCTTCCGCCGATTCCACTCGATGGTCGTCCACATCCTCGTCTGCATCCTTGGGCTTCTTCTTGCTCTTGAGTTTACCCCCATTGATCTCTTTGCCCTTGCCCTTCTTGACTTTCCGGGCCTTGGCTTCTGCATCGGGCCGCGCAGCTTCAGGTGGAGGTGCCACGAACCACACATCCAGATCGAGGCCCTCCGGAATTGGCACGCTTGCTTGAGCGAGCGCCGCGACGGGATTGAGTTCGTAAGCGTCGTGCAGCGGATGAATCAGATACATGCTCTTTGGGAAGCGGAGGTCGTTGTCCGATGGAGATGCAGACGCTCCAGCGAAAGGGTTGTTGCTGTCTGTAGGTGCTTGTGGTTTGTGCGTATTTAGATCGGCTTGCACGAAAGTGAACAATTCGAGCGCGTTGGCAGCCTGAAAAAGGGTTTAACACAACGGAGAACGGACGTGAGAGTTGACAAACGCACTCGCTCCTGAACTTCAACGTCTGTGTTGCTCACAAACTCGCCCACGCTGCTCAGTATGAGCTCCACCGCGCTCTTCACCTCGACCAGATCTTCCTCGTCCCACCGTTCTGCCACCTGACCAGCCCAGTATCCGAAGATCTTGGAAGAGGCGTGGATGTAGACCGCGATGATATCCGATTGCAGGGTCGCGATCCCTGGCTGCAACAAATACGGAAGCAGTTTTTGTGGGTCCGCAAGCTCACTGCAGCGAGATAAGATATGTGCGGGATGCGAAACCAGTTGCCTCACCTGCAATATTCACCACAGATCCAGGCAGCTGCCCACAGCACCTCGGAGCAGCTGCCCTCTTCCCGAGCGTTGTGCAGCAACGTCTCGTCACACAAAAGAGCATGCATCAGCTTGACGGCAGATCGGCGCACGCCTCTGACCCTGCCTACGACGTCTACCAACTGATCCCTGATCTGGGGACCGATATCCACATTCGCGACCTGCGACAGATCCACCAAGACGGAGAGGTACCACTCGAAATTGGTCACGTGTTCGTACATGTTCTGTGAGCACAGCGTGATGATCCGCTGGGCCAGCGTCAAGCGGTAGGCTGGAGATTGGCTGGGTGAAATGTCGTGAACATGGGCAGTAGTGGGTGACAAATGCATGGTGTGTTTCGCCAGAGAAGCGGCTGCATCGGTTGTTCCCGGCGAATCCGAAACTAGATGCGTAAGAAGTTGCTGAACGATTGTTTGCAGATTATTGCTGGTAACCTGTAATTTGTGAAATCAAGTTCAGAGTACTCAAGAATGGCGTTACCATAGCTGATACAAGGTCCAGAGCTCGCATCCGGATACTGATGTCGGGGTCATTCACGCTTGCAAGGATGGTGTCTTGATACTCCGCCACGAGATAAGGATGCGAAGGTACGATTTTCACCAGAGCCAACAGCGCGATGTATTTCACTGACAAAGAGCAGTCAGAGCCTAGGAGAATGGCTGAGTAAGACACTAACAGTTCTGATCGGAGTCTTCGATGAACGCAGCCAGTTTTGAGACGCACAATCTCGCAAGTGAGTCGCCAGAAGACCCTTGAAGCATTCCACCGATGATGCAGGTGTGCACACATTCATACAAGAGAGATATTGCTGGCGTTGTCGAGATCAGGTCAGTAATCGGGGGCTGGAGCTTCTTCACGAGACGAGGTTCGTGAGGACACAGGGTTCCGAACTATTACTGGTGTCATTTTGCTCGACAACATGGAATCGAAGAGCACATACCAGCTTGATAATCTTGATGAGCATCCAGTTGTTGGAGGAGGTGGTCAGATGGTGGAAGAGTTGAGGTGCCATGATTAGATAGTCCTCGGGATGCTGTCGAGCAAGTTCACAAAGCACATTGACCGTCGCTCCGACGACACCTGAGATGATCGGCGTTTGACGGAAGAACACACAGAGCATATACATCAATCACTCACCTGGGTCAGGATCCTCCAACTTCTCCTTCAGGCGAGCTATCCCAGGCGCAACGGCGTCCGGGTACTGAATCATGACTTTGTAAAGGGCAAGGATAGCGCGTTTCCGGATATTAGCTCGGGAATGTGTGAGCATGGTGAGCAGCTCAGAGGATAGATCGCGCCCAAGGTCGTGGGTGACAATGTGCGAGAGTCCGTTGAGAGTGATGGCAATGTCTGCGGGGGTAGACGTCAAGTCCTAAGCCGTGCGTTGAACGTTGGAATAAGAGTTGCTGCGGCAGGCATGCGCACGCACCTTCTTCAATAGATTCGTGGTCAACATTAAAACATCCGTCTCTTGGTCGAAAGATTGAACGGCGGCAAGGTATCCCACACTCTTGAGGTGGAAGCGCGGCGAAGACATGACCTCCACTACATTGAACGATGCCCAGCCCATGTCATACCCGAGCATCTCGAGCTGTGACAAAAGTCCGACTGAGCATACACCAAGAGCAACAAAAGCCATGGAATTTGCGCACATAGGTAAGCTTGAGGACCGCACCTGCCTTGAGCTCCATATCGTCACTCTTGATCTCAATACGAATCTCGTCCACCGCCTTTGCGATAAATTGGGCTTCATCTTTCTTGTTCGAGCGCAGACCCCGAATAAGATCTTGCAATGTCCTCTCCCACATCCAGAATTACGCGTCCACTGCGCGTGCCAAAGGTTGGGTGGTGGTGGGTGGACACTTTCTGCGACAGGGATGACGAAATGGACTAATCGGGTCGTGACGCCGTCCCGTCACTTGCTGGATGTCACGGGAGCTTAACTGCAGCCTTGTCTGATTCCTAGTATATTGTCCCAAGTTCTATCGTACAGATTATCTAGAGCATGTTTATGTTCTACTGCATTCCGTCCTTGTCATACACATATTCCCCGTACGTTGGACGCCACAAACCCTGCTGCACCTTTTCTCTGACCTCTTCCTTGGTCCATGAGACCTCGGCACTGCCTTCCTGTATCGCCTGTTCTGCGACTGCGATCGCAACCTCGAGATTAACGGCAGGTGCGTCAGCAAAGTCGGGGAGCAGAGCCTCGTCCGGATCTTTCAAGGCTGGCGCAAGCGAAGCAAGTCGTCGGGCACCTGCGATGAGCATCGTGTCGGTCATGCACTTGGATTTAGATAGGATCGCTCCCAAGCCAAGTCCCGGGTAGATCAGGGCATCTATAATCGTCAGCAACATTTCGATCATCTAGCAATGAACTCACTGTTGCATTCGGCGATAACGTAGTCCTTGCCATTCGGCATTTTGGCAGGCGGGAACGGGCTCCCGGTCGCAAGAAGTGCCTTGCCCTTTGTCCAGTCATTCGCGTCCTTGGGGTCAACTTCGACCAGCTTGCTGGGGTTGGAGAGCGGAAGAATGATAGGTCGATCGCAGTTTGCAGCCATCGCCTTGATAACCTCTTCGGTGAAGGCTCCAGCATGAGTCGACGTGCCGATCATCACCGTTGGCTTGATCTTATTCACAACTTCCAGTAGTCCGATCTCTTCGGAACTGTTCCACTCTTCGTCAGCTCTCACAAACTCCTTCAGGTCATCTCGGATGTTGTTGGGTCCCAAGGACTGCTTGATCAGACCATGCTTGTCGATAAGATAAAAGCGGGAAGTCGCTTCCTCCACTGATACGTCGTCCATCGCTACAATCGCATCGCGCAGCTGGCGAGCGATCCCTGTTTGTAATCGTTTAGCTTAGGAAGAGAGAGAGAGATACCAGTTACACACCCAGTCCAGCCGATCCAGCACCGTAGATGATGTAGCGCTGATCCGCCAATTGCGTCTTGGTAACACCAACAGCGGCCATGATGCAAGAAAGCGTCACAGCACCAGTGCCTTGGCTGAACAAATCCATTAGCGCCTGAACAAAGATGGGCGTTATCACGGCCTGACATATCATCGTTGAACACAGCGTGGTTATCTCGGTACCGTCTCAAGATACGCTGGGCGTTAGTCACTCCGAAGTCCTCAAAATGGAGCAGACTGTGCGGGAAGTACTATGGAAAGTTTTAAGTGGAGATTAAGCACGAAGCTATGAGAAGCAAGTACCTTCCGAACAAGTTGGACGAATTTGTCGATGAATTTGTCATATTCTTCGCCTCTCACCCGTTTGTGCGGCCATCCCTGGAAAGCTCAATTGAACAGACCATCTAATTCTATAGGAGATCACGTACGACATAGAGTGGATCATTCAGTAATTGCTCATTGTCAGTTCCCACGTCGAGAACGACAGGCAAAGCACAAGCAGGATTGATGCCCCCGATGAGTCTGACAATCGACTTTTAGTACAACGCCCGGATTACCCGTGAGCCTACATACGAGTAAATCACAGATTTGGCCGAAGAAATCTTGAACGACAATCAGAGTGAACGACAAATCGAATTACATCCACACGCACCCCGATTCCCTGGAGGTCGCATTACATTCGTGAGAACACGTTTGGTTTCGTTTGGGAATGGAGTACTCACCCCGACGCCCTGGTCCCCGATTCCTAATATCGCTTCGCTATCGGAGCACACAACCAGATCGATATTCACTCCTCGAGTTTGCTGAGGGGATGTCACTGACTATCGGGGGAATCACACTTGGAACACACCTCGAGGAAGTCCTCTTCCATGCTATCTTGATTGTCGAAGGTCAGATACAAGCCTTCGCTGCGTCTGTACAAGTGGGAATAGTCTGAGATAGCTTCTGCCTAGAAAGATCGTTCAAGGACACCGGATACATACACGGAACAGACACACACCTCTGTTGGCGTGTAGATGATAGGACTGCATTGGGCACTTCTCAGCGAGAGATTCGTGGATAGAGGAAGGGCAACCCACATGAGCTCTCGCAGATGTCTGGGGCCGTACGTCAGCAGCTAGAACGACCCTCTGTACGACTGACTGAACTCACTTGGCGAGCAGAGTGTAGTACAACACGATGTTCTGGGTCTTGAGACTCTGCAGGAAAGAGTTTTTCCTGCAAGCCACAATGTCAGCATAGATATGCGGAGAGATCGAGGCCTACGCACCGGATAGGCGCATCGCGACTCTGCAACTGCTGGTATGCCCGCTCACATTGCTCGTCCAGGGTGTTTACCTGACGCAGGATCATATCTCGTCCGATCGCACACTTCCAGTTGACGCACTCTGGATGGAAGACGCCCAGTCAGCCCAAACGCTTTGCGCTCCTTGATGGTGAAGCCAGTTCCTTTATTGAAGCGGGGATTGTTGAGGAGTTCATCGCCGCGTAAGGCGACGCGAAATACAGGATCTTCTGACATCGTGCGGAGTTTGAAGTGCCGGGGGGAAGAGGAGACCGCGAAAGAGCGGGAATGGCGACAGAGCCTAATCATAGAGGGCATGTGTGGTATTTATACAGTCCCAATGACATCACCGCTCATTCTGACAGATTGAGAATGGGATTTGGGGCGGTCACTTTGGGAAACACGGATCGATGTGAGGACCGAAGACTTTGAGTGCTCGATTTCGACGCTCCGACGCATACAGTATAATCAAGAGTTGTCCGAGTGTGTCCGAGAGCTGCCCAGAACGCGGTCAGGTGATCCGGTGATGGCGGCTTTCTTGACGTGATTCTGGTTTTTAGGTTGGCCAGGGATCGACATGGATCAGGACTCCTCATCTCCGTGTGAGATTTCTTTCTTCGAGATACAAATCCGAATTCCTGCATACCATGTGAGGACGTTTCACGAATATCAGCATCGACAAGCAGCCGGTAATTTTTATCACAAGTGAGGCAGCAATCAAGACATGAGGAAAACTCGTGCGTTTACCTTCAGCTCAAGTAAATTAAGGCGAAATATCACAGAATACTCGAAACGCTGTCGATAAAGTGTGCTGACACGTCTCACGTCCACAGGCGATTTCCGACACAGATTTTTTTCAGTCCATCTGACTTCCAAGAACTTTCAAGTCGTACAAAGTAATACGACCGAAGAAATCGGAACTCTCTTCGAACTCGAGTCTCAATCTGTCCACTCCGCCGACAATCGGATCCTCCGCTCCATCGTGGGCCTTTACGGTGAATGACTGACGCCGATTTGTGTCTTCGGGATAGATCCTTGCGGCAATCTTCCACTCTTCTAATCCGGCGGCCACTTTGATGACACATCGCGTGGCAACAAATCCGCCTTGGAATGTAAACTCGACGATCTGAGGAACGACAGGTTGTGGGAACGTGAACTGAACATATTGTGGCAGGCCCTGAGAATCAGTCTCAGCTGGCAACATATCGTGGATCGGGGTTTTACTTGTTGAGATGTCCAGCATGTTTCCGGGTTGTTGTCAACGAGATGTTTCTTGCCCACAGATTTGTGTAGCGTGGAACTGACCCTGCGAGGCACTTAGGCTTCTCCATCGCACACGTCGGCATATGTTTCACTCGCCTGATCGATATATCGGGAGAGAGCAAGGACTGGGACATGGTCGGGGTACAAAAGGAAGCGATAGTTGATCGCGTAGATATCCCTATTTCCGCGACATGCCGATGCTTGATGCGAGACTACCGGGCAGGATGGGGCGATTCCGTGGCCACGTAACTACTCTTCAAATCTTCACTTATTCACGACAGCCCACGAGGAAGAGAATTCGAAGCTACAAGAATTCGAAGGGAGAGAAGACAAGGGATATCAGAGACCGGCGAGTGTTCACCTCGAGGGCTGAAGGCACAAATGGTCTCGGGATCATTGGACAAACATATGATCGTCGCCTGTAGGGCAGGGATTTGCTTCGAATCTGTCGGATACAAGTCAAAAGCCGCGCTACGTGCCCGAATGGAGCTCGCTTGCTCGCTCATGGATCACGTGGCATATGTCTGTAACCTGATCCAAATTGGATGACAGCTACATTACGATCTGATTTGTCGAGACACACATGTTCGACGGGCTCTCTTGGCCGTTTTTCAAGTTGAAGGGCGCGTAAGTATAACTAGGTCATGTGATCGATATCTGGTCCTCATTTGGGCATCATATTCTCATATTTATCTTCAGAACGTATTATCAATGCGACTGTGAGCTCCAGGCATCTTCAACGACGAACATTGTCTAGGCTGTGCGTTCGAATTCGGATAAACACTACCAGGCTCCGCGAGCCGATGGCTTATTTGGGAACGGATCAACGGATAAATGTATCTTCTCATTAGTAATCTCCCTTTCATAATATCCCCCTTGGGTGCTATACTTAGCAAGATACTTATGTAGCAAGACTTGGCACTACGCTCGTTATTCAGGAGATCAGCAATCTACGCCTAACTTGTCCTCAACTTGCAAATCACTCTCTTCAACATTCAGACTACATCACACTCTCCAACTAATGCCCCCTGTACAACTCAAAACTGGGACTTGCGCACGGTGTCGATCGAAGAAGACCGTGCGGCGACTCCATCAATAGCCCTTGTCTTCATTCTCATTCTCTTGTGCAGCGCTGTGACGGGAATGAGCCGTGCAACAAATGCTCCGCCGCGAATTCGACATGTAACTATCCCGATGGTGCGAAGGAGGGTCGTTTTGGGATGGAGTTAAAGAAGGGTGCTGCATGTATCCCTTGTCGGCGAGTACTCTTACGATCGCAGGTGGCAACGGCGACTTACTCTCCATTTCAGAAAGAAGAAAAAGGTGAGTATGTGTGTGGTCTGTTCGCAGCCCTCACCTCTCGCTGAACTTTCGTGCATCAGCGCTGCGACGGAATGCTGCCCTGCCGAACCTGCATTGCAGGCCGGCATACCATTCCCTGCACATACGCAGACAATGTTGAGCCTCTTCGCCGTCCATCTCCCGGAAGACTAGAAACCCCCAACGCCTCGCCTCTACTGGATATCTCCTCGGCGAGCAGCGCCTCCTCGTCCACTCTATCCGATACTTCACCTTCTAGTGTGGATGAGCATTTCCGCTTCATTAATTCTCGTGGATTTTCCCCCAGTCCCTTCGTCGATGCCGAATTGCCTGACTACATCACCTTCTCTGATTTGTCTCAGGCGTAAGTGTCTTGGATTCGGATGGTCGGAATTACTTTTGATGACCCGTGCAGGCGAGAACTGTTCGTAGACTTCGCGGAGGATCGAGACTTGGTCGGTCAATTCCAGAATATGCGCAAGAATGATCCTCCAAAACCTGACACTCCGACATTCGATCTCATCTTCGAGTCAGAGGTGCAGGGGCAAGTCTACTCGTTACCCGAGACTCCAAAAGACAAGGAGGATGAATTGGTGACGATGTATGAATGATTATTATCCCGCTGTCAACTCTCACACGAGCACAGTCGCAAGCTGTTCTTGAATCATCGTTGTCAATTTGGGCTGAGCGTGCCCCAATCGGCACTGGAAGCGCTGAAGCATGGGAAACCGCTCGACGAAGAACACATGCATCCTGTCCTCCTCCACGCCTGTCAGCTACTCGGCTATATGCTCGCTCGGCACTTACAACATGGGACTTGGGTCCCATTACCCGGCCAGAGCGACCGCGAAGCGGAGCAGATTCAGCTTTGCCTTGGTGCAATGAAAGATGCTTCGACGGTGTCGTATTTGCAGACACTTGGGCTCATGTCGAGCTACTTCTTCAACAAGGGCGATCTCGTGCGAGCACGAGACATGATTGAGAACGCGTACAGGCATTTGCAGGAAACTGGATGGATGGAGACACTATCGGGCCCAGATTCTGAAAAGGAACCAGAGCCCGCAGAGCCCAGTTGGGGCTTTTCAGCCGGACCGAAGACCAAGGCAGATCAGGCCGAAGCCGCGATTGCTCAAATCGTGTATCTGGATCTGGTGCACATGCTCATCCTGAAACTTCCTTCGTTGCTTTGCGAGAGTGCTCGAGACCGACTAAGGGACCAAATGGCAGGTCCCAATACTTGCATCGGCGGTCCATTCTGTCTGACTGTTCTAAAAGGACCGACCACGTTCAAACGCCGAGGTCAATTTCCTTCGCGCCAAAAGTGCACTGCTTCTCTGGGATGCGCAGCAACTGGCTAAAGAATACCCCGGGAAAAGCTCACGTATGAATGGGGTTCATTTATCCGGGCATCTGCTGAATCTGTTTCAGCCGAAGCATTGTTCACTGGTTGGCACGAACAACTGTGGAAATTGATGGAATCCATCGCCGTGCATCGGAGCTTCCTTTCGTTGACGCTGAACAAGGGTTCTTTCTGTCCGAAGTTGCGCTTCATCATGCTGAGCATCAAAGTCTGCATGATTCTGACGATGACGGCCCGAATCACACTGACCGAAGTGTTCGAAGTATCCAACAAGGAGATGTTCGCCTCGAGAATCGATGCATGCTTAGAAATCATGAGCATCACCAATGACTTGAGTCCGGAGGATTGCGAATATCTCGATCCCGTTCTTTCCGTGAGTCACTTCTTCAGAGCGGTTCTCAGCCAATCTCAATGATTTTTTTCCCTCGAAAGGTTTGTTGGACCGCGCTAATCAAACTCGTGGATTCCTGCACACACCAGCCAACGCATGTCAAGCAGACCATGATGCACGACCCTGCGGCCCTGGCGTCTGTAATCCGGGATCGCAACCAGACCTTGCAGAGACTGCTGCCATTTACACTCACCTTGAGCGATCCTCCGTCAGATGCCTCTCAATTGCCATGATGGACTGCGTTGAACCCCGCTCCTTGTCTTGCTTTTGTTTTGTTCTAGCAACGGACTTTAAATAATCGCTATCATCTCTGTACCTTAATACTATTGCAATTCATTCGTTTCTCTCTCGTCCTGATACAGCTCAATTGCATGCGAGCAGCTAGATGTATGGTTACTCACAAATACTGGCCACAGGGCATCCGTGCTCTCCCGACGCGGACATAAGAACCTCGTCCGTTTCTCTCCCTGTTTCAAGGATGCGAAAGCTTCAGGCAGTTGACGGCGTGCCGTATCCCGCATCATTGGAAGAGGGTCAACTCCTGGCATTGGATCGGGCACAGTGAATGCGTCTGTGAAGTTCTGCACCGCGGATGAGACAAAGTATGTGGCACAGGAAAGACAGGTCTGACAGTAACAAAACCTTTCCAAGCACCGGCCACTCGCTTTGACATGTTTCTACTCGCTTTCGATGACATCGATGGAGACGCCGACTGCTCGGCCTCAGACTCAGCCGGTTTTTCGTCCATGGAGGGATTGAAGCTAGTGATGGAAGAATGCTGCGAGCTGACGGAAGATGTTGATTGGCCAGAGCAGAAAGAGGAAACAGACGTGCGGCGAGAAGGAGACGAGGCAGGGAAGCTTGTTTTTGTGGAGAAGAAAAGTGCTGGGTCTTCCACCTCATATCGAATCATCCTATTGGCGTCACAATGTCGTCCTGGCTTCTCCCCTCTACGTCTGCTGCTGGCAGGCTGCTCGCCGCACGCGGACTGACTCCTCCAGCTATGTTCTCCGCACTGGCACTCTCCGTCGTCGACACCCTCTCCCTCCTGAAGCTCAGCCCACGAGAATCTCCGCAGATCTAATGAGTCCCGGATCACACGGCGTTTCCAGCCGTCTACCCGCTGTTGGTGGGTAGCTTTCAAGTAGGCTGAGTGTATACATTGAGAAGCATCATAGTCTGTTTGCTTGAGGACCGGAATGATGATGCCGGTGGCAAGGAAGACGTTCGGAGCGGGGGGATAGAATTCATGATACTTTTGCTTAGGCTTGAAAGAGAACTTCGAGGAGGAGGAGGCCTGGACTCCAGGCATGATAGTCGTCAACGAGAGAAGAGGGAGCCCCAGTACAGCGTATGCCCTGCATTCTCAGTGTCCGAGACATGTAGGCGGATCAGCGAGATGGGGCCAGTACATAAGTTAATTGAAACCGTCAAGAGATTCAGATTGTCCGTCACGTTATCGTTGATTACGTGATTATGTCGTCTGCGGTACCTTAAAGTTCTGCCCCGGACTTCCTTGGCCTGTAGATTTCCTACTCAATGCTGCCAAACAGGTCAAAGGACATTCAATTATAGCTATCGCCTGGCATATGTACATGTGTGACCAGCAGTCAGTCAATCAAATCCCAATCTTACCAGATGCGTCCTTGTCCACTCCCATCCAACGTCGCCATGCAAGTCGAACACCGCGTTTCCACACCGTCTTGGATCACCAGCTACTTCACCTCCCAGAAACAGCAGAAGATTGTGCATGAAGCTTTGAGGAAACGGGAACGTGCTCGCCAGGCCATTCGCAGTTACCATTTGGAAGGACTCCAAAATCCACCTAAAGACGTTCCTCGGCCCATCTTTGACTTCTATTCGATCGCACAAGGGACTCATCCTGATCATGAACGGAAGAACCGTTATTGTGATATCGTTCCATACGACAGGACGCGCGTTCTTGACCCAAGGGACTCTCAGGTGCGTGCATAATCTTTGCAATTCGCTAACCTCAACGTAATTGCAGCGATACTTGAATGCGTCATGGGTACTTGAAAGATTCGGTCACAAATGGTGGATCGCAGCCCAAGCCCCTTTACCGCAGACATTCCACGCGTTCTTGTCCTTGCTCCAATATCCATCGACCCTCCCCTCACGGACGACGGATGGACCGAGAAGTACACGAATACGGACAATTGCTCAGCTCACACCGTTCATCGAGGGCGATCGAAGAAAGGCGCACGAATATCTGCCAACCAGAGTCGGCCAGAGTCGCGTGCACTCACCGGAGGCAGGAAATCAAAGCCCTGCGTTGAGTTTGAGATTGCTCCAGGTTGAGCAGATTGAAGAAGCGTGCTGCATCAAATCCACTGTTTCCATGTTTCCTGAAGGCGACGAAAGCAAGACAGTCATCTTCCATCATCTATTTTACACAGCGTGGCCCGATCATGGCGTCCCCGAAGGGAAAGACGAAGAAGGTCTAATGGCTTTCCTTCGTCTGGTGGATAGTTCGAATAGAAACGATTCGGACGACCCTGATCCACCGATTGTGGTCGGATGCAGTGCAGGTGTTGGCCGGACCGGAACTTTCATTGCTCTCTCCTCAATTCTCCGTTCCTATGACTTTCTCCCCAAACCCAGCTTCCCTGACGAGTTGTCGGCTGACTCGCCACTGGGTCCCTTGCCATCCGCTCTTGACAGCGACGTCGTTGCCCAGGAAGTCGATTCCTTGCGCGAGCAGAGGACCACGATGGTCCAACAAGACTCGCAACTGCAGATCATATATGCTCTTCTCCGTACTGCCTTTCGTGTTTGAAACTGATGCGAGTCGTGTATGCATGTCCTTAGTGGAATATTATCAGTCCGATCTGAAAGTGGAGTGTCTGGATGCCCTCCAGGCCAGCCCTTATCACACACATCCTCGAGAAATCGCGCAATTAGAATGACAAGCGCACGCAAGATGGTATCGTCGTCCATCTTCTTCTTTACTTACTCATACTACAAGATAGCGAAGTCGTCCCCGGTCAGACCGCATACAAGAGAGTGAAACTGCTTTATAAGGAGATGATTTCCCTATGTCACTTCTTACCTTGTTCCGCAACCTCCATCATCTGCCGCGGCGAGCTCGCTCTCCACCAGGACCTTTAAGCGCCCTCAAGTTCTTTGCCACGAAGATGTCCGTCCCTGCAACTAAACAGGCCATCGCTTTCAATCAGGTGGGTGCTGGAACCTCGTGAGAGAGAGGGAGACCACTGATAATCGCTCCATGCAAGCCTGGCGATTTCGATGTACTGGAGGTTCGCCAGCTGGAGATCACCCTTATCTTGAATCCCTGATAACAAAACACGCATGTGCTCATCAGAAATTGACTATTCCGTTGAAAGTGAGTCGACGCGCTCGATGAAGCCAAGGCATCATCTGACCTTCTCGACGGAAGGTCTCTCCCGGCGAAATCGTCGTCAAGGTCATATACATTGCCTGAGAAGCGCAGTGACTAGAACTGACGTTGGACAGAACGAGTACCTTGGAATCAACTTCATCGATACTGTGAGAACACAAGTCTGTCGGGAATCGCTAACGTTGAATGTCCTTTCCAGTATCTGCGGTAGAAACTTCTCTGCTTTCCATCCCTTCATGCAGCTGAATCCGAATCCGAATCAGAAAAGGACTGTACCCTTCGAAGGAGTTCCCGGCTGTGATTGGAACGGAGGCAGCCGGCGTTGTCGTCCAGCTTCCAACAGATCCTGCTGTTCTCGAGGATCCCGATTTCAAGAAGCGGGGCTTCACCGTTGGCTCGAAGGTTGCTGTGGTGCGCCTTCAAGTTTTGTGTCAAGTTTCTTGGACGAAGCATGGAACAGGGTTGTGGCACCTTTGGCATGCACGCCGACTATGTCTCGCTGCCTTGGAAATATGCGAGTGTGCTGCCCGAGGGCGTCTCGACGAGCATGGGAGCAGCGGCCTTACTGCAGGGCCTCACTGCACTCACTTTCGTCACGGAATCTCACAACGTTCAGAAAGGAGAGACGATCTTCGTGCATACGGTTGCTGGGGGGCTCGGCCTGATCTTTGCCCAGTTGGCCAAGGCCCGCGGTGCCACTGTCATCGGAACGACCTCGACACCCGAGAAAGCGGCATTGGCCAAAGCGCATGGGGCTGACCACGTGATACTTTACAAGACGGAAGACACCGTTGCACGCGTCATGGAGCTCACCAATGGAGTGGGCGTCGACGCCGTCTTCGATGGCGTGGGGAAAGACACGTTCGACAACAATTTCAAATTGTTGAAGCGCAAGGGAACGATGGTGTGCGTCGGTAATGCTTCTGGACCCGTTGCTCCTTTTGCTCCTCTTCGATTGGTGGAGAAGAACCTGAAGATTCTCCGTCCGACGTGAGTCGGTCTTTCTAAGCTACTGACCGGTCCATCTGAAGAGTTGCAACTGTAACAGAGTGGCCAACTACTGCTTCACTCCCGAGGAGGTTGGTCCTCATCTGATCCCGCGGAAGTGGTTGGGCTGATATTTGTGAAGATATACAAATACAGAACCGAGCTGTTCTCTCTGGTTGCGTCAGGCGCGTTGAAAATCAATATCCACAAAGAATACGCTTTCACGCGAGACGCTGCGATCGAGGCACAGCAGGACTTGACTAGCGGCAAGACCACCGGGAAATTGCTGATCAAGGTGGAATGAAAAAATAAAAGGGAAACTGTGTAGTTTTGTACTGTACATTCGAGACATACGGGATATATGAACCCGAGATGGCGCCGCTGATTTTGATACGGCCGCCAATCACAGCCACACTCCGCTCTCTTGACCGTGACGCACTCCGAGTAGTCTACTCGACACTCGCGATCGTCGTATATCCCTCCTTCGATACCTTTGACCAGCCTTGCAGTGGACTCTTAGCTGATGGACGACAAAGAAAATCTCAAAACATCACCGTCACGGCGGCCGCTTCCAACGCCTGGCACTACGCAGGCGCGCGCGCAGCCGTCGATCGCAGCAGACGAATCTTCCAGCACTTCTGCTGCGCCGCAACCTACTCAAGCTCACCAAGCCGCGATTACGACCTCCTCGTCGACGGAGATGGAGTCAGCATCCTCCGACACATCGATCACTGAACCACCAGCTCCTTCAGAGAGAACGGATTCGACGGTCATTCCGGCCTCGAGCTTCTATGCTTCAAAGACTGGCTCCACAGTCTCGTCATCCCGGCCGCAGAATCTAGGCTCGAATCGCACAGTGGTGTACGAGCGGCCCAGCAGTGCAGCCTCCACCACGGCACACTGGGGGGGAGCAGAGTCGTCGTGGACGTCAGGAGCATCATGGGCGGACCCTCTACCATCTTACGGCGCGTCTGTTTCGAAAGTATCAAGGCCTGCAAGTCATATGGACTTGGACGATGACATCCCTCCGTTGGTGCCGGTCGAGGATACAATGCATACAGATTACAATGAAAATGTGGCCTTCGATGCATCGGCATGGTCAACCGGGCCGTCTTGGAGTGCTGCGGATTACACGTCGCTGGTTCCGATCGATGGTCGGGAGATGAGTGAGGAGGATGACTGGTGGGATACGAAGCGGAAGATCGAGGGACGACCTGGCCCTGGTATCTTGCCTCCCGTTCTTGCGGACAGCCTCCACAATCCGGATCACACACTGTGGTCTGTCTCTCACACTGAGCCTGCACTAGCCCCTGCTGCGGGTGCTACATCGAATGCACCTACGTTTGACGAAGTCAGAGCATCAAAGCCGCACCCAGATGCGCTTTACTGTCCCAAAGACCACGGTTGGGTCATCATTCAATGGGGCGAGTCAGACACACTCCCTAGGCTGGCGCCATCGTTTGAAGCGTCAAAACACCATCCATTACCCCGACGACCCTCACAGCGAAGTCCGGACAATTGTGTCGATCCGTCGGCTGCCAATGTAACGCATCATATCCATCGATACGAAAAGGCTGTTGACGCGCGGCTGCTCAATGTTCCTTATCATCCTGACCGATGGGCGGCAACGACATTCGGGGATGATGCCATGGACGTGGACGACGACGAAGGGTCCTTGTTCGACTTGTATGTGTGTTGCCAATGTACATTTTATCTCGTTCGCTCTCCGGTCATCCCCGCGGTCATTCCTAGATCCCTCTTCGACAAGTTCGTGGACGAGAAGGTGGCGAACCCACCGCCTGGCAGGTCCTCGGAGCGAGCTACCGCGATGGGGATGGAAACATTGTTGATGTGAGCCTCTGTGATTCTCCTCCGTCTGTTCTCCAACTCATCCATGATAAGGGCCATTGAAAATAACCTGTGGAAGGGAGAAATGCGCATGTTGCGGGTTGAACGAGAAGGTTTCAGGAAGAAAATGGGCTGGAGCCCTGTCATCAAACAAGTTTTCGAGTTGTTGGGATTTCGCACTGATTCAGTTGACGGAGAACTGTGCCTGCAACCTCCGATCACAAACCCGGACACACCGCAGGGCAAGCACAACCGCGCGCGTTTCCTTCGCGCCTGGACGGAGATCGCGGCCTGGACAGCAGACTACGAAAGAATACATCGTACGAAGCTCTCGTTACATGACCGCGGGTTGCTCATCGGCGCATAGCTGCACTCTACCAACATGAGCATAAGGGATACCGTCTCTGGGTGTCTCTCAAGCATGAGAGGGAGAATTACCAGAAGGCCACCGGGTCGCATCCCGATCAAAGTCAGCGTGCTGGTGTTCTCGAGTTCCTCTTGTCTGACTAATTATTTCCAGTCCCGCGCAACGATTACAGCAGTGAGATCCGAAGCGAACTGGAGAAGAAGTTCCAGGACTGGAGAGTCCTGGGACTGACACCCATCACCTTCTCTGACGGTGAGTCAGCTAGAAATGCATGGTTCTGATCGTCTGACTCTCGAAACCCAAGAGCTGTTAACATTCGCCTACTTGGCACAATGCCGATGCGATCCTCGAAACACCATCCAGTACTACACAAAACTTCGCTCGATCGCCATGACATTAGCGGCCGTCGTCCCTGATGTTCCTCTGGTTACTCAATTGCTGCACAACGAATCGGAGCGTGGTCGATTCACGTACGAGGACATTCAAGCTGCGGCACAAATCCTGGGCTTCGGCGCTGAGGGGTCTCTCAGGGTGGAATACGAGACGGATGTTCCTGACGAGTTTGTCGAGAATGCATGGAAGGAGTGTATCAAGCGATCTTGGCGAGATTCGGCCGACGGAACGGTGCTGCAGAGCGAGGCAACCAAAGCACTGAAAATCTTAGCACAATCACGTGCAAGTCACACGTTGATGCGCGTGTGGGAGCAGGGTAAAAACGGTGTGATGAGCCCCGAGAAGGCATATCTCACGATCGAAGTCCCGGAGACGACAGACGATGATATGCTCATCACAATCTACAACATGAGGGTAAGTTGATCCTCTGTTGCGTGCGCTCAGGGGGCTCAGCTGTTGGATAGATCGAAGACGCTCCTCTGCAGATGGACAAGATGCGAGAGGCTTTGACAGTCATTGCCGAAGTGCGCGACAGTGAGCGGCTACGCAAACTTTTGAACACAGGCACAGATCGTGAGTTGTTTTCTCGAGACTGGATCATTACTGAGGACGTGACAGCTGGTTTCATTGCTCCTCAGACAAGACCCGATCTTCCTCGCGGCCTCAATCAACTGGGAAACACCTGCTATCTTAATTCACTACTCCAAGTGCGTTCTCCGACTTTTGCACTCTTGACAACCGTTTGAGGTCAACGCTCTAGTACTTCTACACTATCAAAGACTTGCGCAACGCCGTGGCGCTAATGAAGGAATCCGGTGTCAAAGCCGCCGAGGAGGATAAACTCACTGATGATGATCTGAAGCGGCACCGAGTAGGAGGCCGATTGGTTACTAGGAGGGAAATAGTCCGGTCTAAGAAATGTGAGCGAGTTCAATTTATCTAATCGAGGTACTCACGGGCATTAGTCATATCCCTCTTGGCATCTTTGTTCTTCGATCTCGAATATGCAGAACACCCTGCTGTCACTCCAGCCCTCGAGCTGGCCAAGCTGGCTCTGGTGACGTCCAAGGACGAAGAAGAGGACGAAGACAAGGGGGGCACCGACTCCTCAAACGACACAGATGCTACCCTGGTCGAGGATGGTCCTGCCCGCGCGACCAATCCAGATTCCATGGATGTCGATCCTCCAAGAACAACATCGCCTGTGCAAGGCGAAGCCGGTTCTTCCAAGAAGCCACCGCCGTTGCCCCCTCGGAAGCCAACCGAGTCTAGCTCGACGATGATGTTCGGCAAACAGCACGATGTTGCCGAGTGCATGGACAACTGCATGTTCCAGATCGAGACAGCTTTGCTCAGATTTGATGGCATGCAGGATGACAAGACGAGTGTTGTCAAACGGTCAGCTTGCTTTGCTGCATGGCAAGGGCGACATTGATGATTTATAAGACTGTTCTACGGGAAGATCCGGCAGCGCATCTATTCAGAGGCCGCGCGATCATCTGTGCATGAGAAAGAGGATCTCTTCTCCCATCTTCCGGTCAACGTCAACGATGAAGGAGTGGACATCTACGATGGCTTGAGCACCTACTTCGATGATGTTGTCGAGTTCGAGGGAAATAAGGCGCGAATGGAAGTCACATTGGTGGAGACCCCTCCGTTGTTACAGATCCAGTTGCAGGTGTGGTGCCTTTCTCTCGCATTGACATCTTCTCCATCTGTTACCAGAGAGTCCAATTCAATCGAGAGACGCTGCAGCCATTCAAGTCTCAGGCCTACGTCAAATTCGGAGAGACCATCTACATGGATCGCTTCCTGGACAGTGCCGATCCCCAGAAGAAGTCTCGCGGGAAAGCGATCCAGGCTGAGCTGAACAAGAGCAGAGAGCGCGTTCGTGAATTGCAAACCAGCAAGGTCAGGAAAGTCCCAGTTCATCTTGTTGACTCTGCTGAATGTCTTGTAGAACAAGCACACATTCAGCTCAAAGCTGGACAAAGCGACCCGTTACTTGGCTTTGGTTCAAAGCGTGACGTCTCTGGAACAAGATGTCTTGGAATCCATGAAGCAAGACCAGGCACGCATCGGCGAAGAGATCGAGGAGGAAAGGGCTCGTGCTCGCCAGCTCAAGGAAGAACTGGAGGCCCTCTGGCAGGACTCCACTGATGCACCATACGAATTGACCTCTGTCTTCATCCATCGCGGGTCCTCACCTTCATTCGGCCATTATTTCTTCTATTCCCGCCATTTGCCAGAAGCCCCGGATGCTTGGTTCAAGTACAACGATTCGGATGTCTCAGATGTTGCGAAGAGCGAGGTTTTGGCCGACACCACGGGCTCTACTGCCAATCCCTACTTGGTCAGTGTCTGCCCTGGCCTGACATCCATCCCCATGCTAATTACCGTACCCACAGCTTGTGTTCGCTCGGAAAGGCTCTGAAATCGTTGATACTGTCAACCGAGTCGAGGTGGTCGCTGATCTATAGCCTAAATATTCCACATTGTATCGTTACCCTCGGCATTATTTAACTGTATCGTTGCTCTCTTGTACTCGTCAAATGGTGCGTAGCGGATTGGGCTGGGAACAAGGTCGGAAACAAAGCCTAAACACCACAGCTGGGATGTACTCACCAGATAAGCCAGCCGCTCAGTCCGTCTTGGTCTCCTTCGTCTTGCTGTCTTGCTGGGCGGCGAACTCTCCCTCCAAGGATTCCAACAGCGAGTCCAGATTCCCGATGAGAGAGTCTAGTTTGCTCTCCACGCCTTTTGCTACACCGTTCGCACTTTCAAGGCGCGAAAGCAACTCCGCCAAGTTCGCCTCCCCTGCTTCGTCCAACGTCCCTTTGGAGAGGAGATCGGTCAGCTCGGCGAGATCGGCTTCGATGGACGCGTCCAGCCGAGGTTCAGTGGAGCCATCTGAGGCAGTTTTGATTTCTGAAGAGTCGTTCACTTTGTCTGGAGATCCATCTGCGCTCGCGGACATGAGAGAGGCAAGTAAGCGAAAGCGTGATGAGTGCCCGTGATCGGTGATCCCCATGTGATGCGCTCCAACTTGGCCTGTAATTGAACTGATCAAAGGGGGATACTTACGGCCATGTCAACTTCCCTCAGATCACGGCTGGCCACCCTCCTAGACGCATTGCCTGTGGCGGAATCGAAGCCATGGGACCAAGGCACGATAAAGGAGCTCGTGGAAACTGCGCTTTCCGACCTCGGAACCACGTCGGCACCAGAGAACCGCAAGACCCAATGGGAGATCCTGCTCAGGCAGGAATTCTTCAACCTCGCGGTACGTGATGCATCTCTTTGCATTCTGACGCGTCTGAATTGGTTTCATGAATGAAGAGGGATGAGAGTCGAGCCTTGAAGGATCCGAACACGCTTTACTATGCGCGCCTGCGCCTTCTGCTCGATGTCACTTTGGCCTTCGCCGAAGCAGGTGTGCCTGTGTTTCCCTGGTTTTCGAGTGGCACTCAGGCATCTTCTTGCAGAGGCGCTCGAGCAGCAAGTCCCGTTCGAAATCTTGCGCGACATGTTCGAGACGCACACGATCCAGTCCTGCTCGCATATCTTCTCGTGGATCGAAGAGCGCTCCGCCAGACTCACTGCAGGGATGGCTCCACAAAAGGGCAAATCCCTCATCCTCTTGCGCACACTCAACGACCTTCTCCGACGACTCTCCAAGATGGGCTCGACGACGATCTTTTGTGGACGAATATTGACGTTCTTGAGTGGCGTGTTTCCGCTGGGAGAACGCAGCGGTGTCAATCTACGAGGAGAGTACGGACCTACTTGGGAAGGCGTGCATATTCCGGTCAAACCTCCGACCCCAGCAGCGCCAGAACCAGAGCCCGGACAGGATGTGGTCATGACAGACAAGAAAGAGGAGGAGGACGGGAAGGAGAAAATGGACGTCGATGGCGCGAAGGCCGAAGACAAGAATGCAGGTGTGGGATCCATTGCACTGTTAGATTCTACTCAACGAGGCCTCAGTGTTCTACAACACGTTCTGGTCGCTCCAACTCCCATTTTCCAACCCACACTTTTCTCTCAGCCGGGAACCATTGAGAAGTTTCAGGAGGCAGTCAACATTGTGCTTCCTGCTATTAAGGAGGCCACTGCAAAGGAACGCGCCATGATGGGCAGCCGAGGGGGTGGCGCTGGATCCTTGAAGCGCAAACGCGAAACTGAACCGGCAACGGAAAGCAGCGCTGTAACAGAATACTTCTTTGCCAAATTCCTGACTAGCCCGGATCTCTTGGAGCTCGAGGTAACGGAGAACGTGAATCGCTGAAATGAACTGAAGCTGTTTACAGATTGCCGACACTCAATTCCGCCGACAAGTCCTCTTTCAACTTGCCGTGCTGCTCGCCCATCTCCAGACATTTACCAAGGCTGAGAAAGCCACCTGGGTCAACATCCGCAATCGCTCGTTGCACATGGACTTTACATTAGAGCCTCCTCAAGCGGAATGGGCACAAGAGACGTTCAACAAAGTGATGGATGAGCTGAAGCAGACCGCGCCTAACGGTCGCGCTTTCGCGGAAACCACCAGCGCCATTCTCGAGCGAGAGAAGAACTGGGTGAAGTGGAAGTGCGATGTCTGTGCTGCGTTCGACAAAGATCCGTGGTCGACCATGATCGGGGACCACAAGGTTGGACTCGAAGAAGCGACACGAGAAGTTCGATTGAAGATGCGGGAGCGACTAGAGGAGTTCCCTCATGAAATGGGTTCAGCTTCGTTGACGGAGATCTGGCAGATGGGGTATAGAGGTCTTGAAGATGTACAGATGCCGTTCCGGTGAGTCCACTCCAGTGCTATCGGTTTATCTCAACGGACGTTTCACGTAGCCCTGGAGATGTTTCGTCATTTCTGCAAAAGATCAAGCGAGAAGACGCCAGGATTGAGATGCGACAGAAGAGGTTGGACGCTGCCGCCGAGCACAAAGCTGCGATGCAAGCTAAACTCAAGGCTGAACAAGAGGCCGCCGCCGCCGCCGTGATATCCCCGGATGCAGCGGTAACAACAGAAGATGTCTCCATGAATGATGCAACGCCAGCTGCGACTGCGTCAGCTGTTGTCGCACCACCCATACACCCATCGCTGCCAGCCAAGCCGGGGACCCCGGCCCTGAGTGCCGCACCGGCCCTACCAGACCCGGTAGCACCTGCACCAGCCCCGGTCGTAATACCCGTGGTAGCACCTGCACCATCCACAGATGAGATGATCATCAAGTTTGAGGAGGTTCGCCAGCTTCTTTCGTGGTATTCCATGATCTTATTTGTTCCAGAACAAGCAACGGGAAGCCTGGCTGGCTCTACGAGCGGCCCGGGACCAGCATCTGCAGCACTTTGGCAAGATCGGCACAGGCGATATCGAACTTCTGGTCAAGGAGATTGAGGCCGAGGCTGAAAACGCAGGAATCCGACAACCGGAGACGAATCTGAGGCAGCTGGGACAAAAGCACCTTCCCCGTCTGATAATGTCAGCGACGAGAAGGATGAAAGTGGAAGCACAACAAAGACAGATGATGGAGATGTTCCAATGGGGTCGGTAGATGATCGATAGACTGGATATAAAAGGAGTCAACTTTTTGGAGCCCCTATAGACACACCCCCACTTGTCGGTTAGACGATCGCATACGGAATACAAACGCAACTTGGCCTCTGCCTCCATTTTTGAACTCCTCCTTTACCCATGTCTCAGCTCCCTCCCCTCCAAGTAATGCCACTCGACCTCAATAGTCTCCCTAGTCTAACCATCCCCTTAGAAAGTCCTCGTTACGGGTGGAGCAGGCTACATCGGTTCGCTTTGCTTCCGCATTCGCTCTAGCGGAAGAAACTGACCAGTCCTTACTGGCAGGCTCGCACGTAATCTACACACTCCAGAAAACGAGACGATACAAGGTCATCTCCATCGACAACGGCCACAACTCGCACCCCAATGCACTCGCACGCATTTCCGCGCTCTCACGCAGCGAACTCCCGGAGAACACCTCGGAGCGGGACATCGAGACAACGGAGATCGAGAGCTACAGCTGTGATCTCACGAGGAAGGAGGACATTCGGGGGGTGTTTGAGAAGTATGGCAAGGGCGGCATATGGGTTGTAGTGCACATCGCTGTGAGTCCTGCCTGCCACCATCGATGCGGATCGGGCCTCCGACTGACTGGAACTGTGACTGTAGGCCTATAAGCCGTCGGAGAGTCGACGGAGGTCCCACTCACGTATTACGAGAACACGTCGCCGCTACGCTCTACTTGCTCCAGGTCATGGCCGCGTTCGACTGCACGATAGTGTACTCGTCCTCGCGACCGTCTACGGGATCCCACCCGAGATCCCGATATCCGAAACGACACGGCTGAAAGCCGACAGCCCGTATGGGAGACGAAAGTCATGTGCGAGACGATCATGGACGACTTGTGCCCGGTCAGTCATCGGCTCCGACGTCCTCGTGCTCCCGCCACTGACCTCCCCGCTACATCCGACTCGAAGGTGGTCTGCTATCTCCCTGAGATACTTCAAGTGCGTAGATTAGATT